TATCCTACACCACTGAATTACATTGATACCTTTGTGCAAGAACAGTTGACCATATAACCATAGGGGTCAATGTTTTAACTTTTTTCATATACAATGAGAATAACATGTTTTTATAATACACGGGGCAGCCACCATCTAGAGCAATAGATTGATTATAATCAGCACCCCAGTGTTTATACTTTCCTTCTCCATAGGCAAATACTATAACTTTTCCTGTTTTTGAACATTGTATCCTATATAAATGGAATTATTATGTCTGACTCCTTTCATAAAAAATGACATGTATGAGAGCCATCTTTGTTGTTGAGTATAGCAGTTTTAGTTTTCTTTGTTCTGTTGTTGAAGGATTTTCAGGTGACTGGATGTTAGGTTGGGAAATAGATTATGGTGAGGCAGAAGCAGCACAGAGACTGGTAAGGTAACTAGAATAAATAAGGTAAGATTTCATCATGAGGAGATCAAGAGACAATGAAGTAAATAAATGTAAGATAACTGGAAGGTAAAATTCAGGCAACTTGGTGATTGATTAGATAGAAGTAGGAGCAAGGGAAAGGGATGTATTGAGATTCCTAGGTTTCTGGCCTGAACAACTGATAGGTGGATGTTGTGTTTATTTCTTGAGAGAAAAGAACATATTTAGGTAGAACAAAAGCTGAGTTCATGGGGCTGGGTTGTGGCTCAGTGGTAGAGCGCTTGCCTAGCACACATGAGGCACTGGGTTCAATCCTCAGCACCACATAAAAAATAAATATATAAAATAAAGATATTGTGTCCATCTACAACTAAAATAAATTTTTTTTTTAAATGAGTTCATGGGGCTGGGGATATATAGTTCAGTTGATAGAGTGTTTGCCTTGCATGTACAAGGCCCTGAGTTTGATCCCCAGCACCACAAAAAAAAAAAAAAAAAAAAAAAAAACTGTGTTTATTACTGGGTATTTTAATATACTAGAGGAGCCATTAATCAGATATTTGTATTATAAGTATGGGGCATACTGGAAAAAAATAGAAGTTTCCAAAGTAGGAACATTTTTAAGATAGCTGTCATATAAAGAACACTTGTATTGGAGTTAAAAAATCTGAGTTTTACCATTTCATTCAACTTCTGTTGGCTGTGTGACTAAAGGCAAATCACTTGGTCTTTTTGAGCTCTATTCTTTCTCATCCATAAAATGGGAATAATAGTTTGCTTCATAGGATTAAACATATATAACATGTGTGTCAGTTTATAGGTATTTGACCCAGTAGATGCTCAAAAAAGTTGGTTCATGAACATGTAGTCTGGGTCAATAGGAAAAAGTCAGGTTATGGAAAACCTTGAAAGGTGTAGAGGAGATTTGGCATATTATGAAACTATATAGTTTCTTATTATGGGAACAGATTTATGGAAGTTTGGTTTCAAGAAGTTGTTCTCACTGCTGTGCAGGAAAAAGTTAGAAGCAAGAAATATTTAGAAAATCAGTTGTCAGAGAGCTGGGGATATAGCTCAGTTGGTAGAGAGCTTGCCTCATATGCATAAGGCCCTGAGTTCAATCCCCAGCACCACACACAAAAAAAAAAAAAAAAAAAGAAAAAAAAAAAAAAAAGAAAATCAGTTGTCAGGCTAGGATTGTAGCTCTGGTAGAGAGCTTGCCTCTCAGGCATGAGGCCCTGGGTTCAATCTTCAGCACCACATAAAAATAAATAAATAAAAATAAAGATATTGTGACCATCTACAACTAAAAAATATTAAAAAAAAGAAAAAAGAAAAGAAAGAAACTCAGTTATTATAGTTCAGTATAAGGTGCTTGAGGGCCTGTTTGGTCTGGATCTCAACATGGTCAGAGATAAAAGAAGAAATCAGAGATTTCAAAGGAAGAAATAGCAAGATTTGCTCAGACTAGTTTTATGACTTAACTGAGAGAGGAGTTAGTTACTTAGGAGCCTGAGATGTCTAGCCTAGGAAGCTATAAAAATGGCCAAAGGAATGACAAATCTTGGGTAGTCTGAAAGGGAAGTTGAGTTAGGACAAGGATGGTATATTCAGTTTTGAATGTGTGACGCTTAAATTTATAGTACTGCATTGGTTGTCCATTACTTTCTGGCAGTGAAATATTGTGAAAAAGAGCACAGATTAGAATTCAGGAGATTGTTGTTTTTTTTTTGCTTGTTTGTTTTTTTTAAAAAGTACTGGGGTTTGAATCCAGGGGCACTTGATTACTGAGGCACATCCCCTGCCCTTTTTGTACGTTATTTAGAGACAGGGGTCTCGCTGAGTTGCTGAGGCTGGCCAGCTAGGAGCACAGACTTTGGAATGAAACTGCTGAGTTGAAGCCTATCTCTGTTAATTACTAGCCATATGTACTTGTTTAACTTATCTCTGCCTCTACTTCCCCATCTGCAATGAGAGATAAGGATAGTTAGAAGGATTACACTGTATGTAAAGCATTTAAAATGGTGCACAGCACCTGCAAACTACTATTTAAATGTTAATGGGGGTTATTAGAATAGTTGTTATTTTGTCAGTTGTCAAGGAATAAAATGCATGAACAAAAGAAATGAATTGTCTCCAGATGGGTAGCTGGAGAAGTGGAAATGGTACAGTGATAAAAATCAAGAGCTTTAGAGTCAGACATGCTTTATGGTTTAAGCAGCCCCTAATCCCTCTAATTGTCACTTTCTTTAATGTATGAATCAGAAATCACAATATTTCTCTTATGGGTAATTATGAGGGTTAGTTGAGATAAGTCTAAATTACCTGGACCATAGTAGATGCTAAAAAAAAATAATGCTGTCTGTCTATTCCCCACCCTTTGCCTCTTCCTTAATGTAGAGCAGTTCCAGGAGTTTGATTTTTTTTTTCTTGTATGCCTTCTTATTGCAATTTTGGAACCTGTAAAATCATTTGTTTGCTCACAGAAAAATAATTAATAGCTTTAAAATTGAATGGATATACCTCAAAAGTGTATTGTCAAGTTGTGTGTCCCTCTTTCCTTTGCTGTTTTGGATTAGTTGCTTTATCATTACAAAAATAAATCTTGCTAGACCCAATATGGTGGCATTAATCAGTCACAGAATTGACCTGGTATGTAGTCTCAGATTCCTTCATCACTATATTATAAGCAGCTGTCATCAGAGTTGATACAGTAGTAAAAAACCTGTCTATTCTCCCTGCTTTAGAGTTCTGTAGAAGAAAATAATAGAATAATAAATGAGCAGTCCATTAATCCTCTGTCTCGAGATGTGGATTTATCATACTTCATGACAAGTAGGGTGTCTTATAGCAGAAGCTTATCTATATTATAACATTGTTGCATAATGTGGGCATCCTTAGAAGCAATAGTTTTGAGAATATAATACAGTTGCTAAATGCAAAGATTATAATACTAGTATCCAACAAAAGATGTGCATAAGAATCAGCTGGGATATGGTCTTTTTATTTTAATTTTTTTTCCCTTTGGCACTAGGGGATTGAACCCAGGGATGCTTGCTTAACCACTGTGCCCCATCCCCAGCTCTTTTTAATTTTTTCTTTTGAGACAGGGTCTCACTAAATTGGGTAGGGCCTCCCTAATTACTGAGTCTGATTTCAAACTCACAGTCCTCCTGCCTCAGCTTCCTGAATCACTGGGATTATAGGTGTGCCCCAGCACACCCAGTTTGGGATATAGTCTTAAAATACTCATGCTTGGCCTCCTTGTCCAGATTTTTTTTTTATATTTATTTTTTATTTTTTTTTTTAGGCGGACACAGTATCTTTATTTTACATTTATGTAGTGCTGAGGTTCGAACCCAGGGCTTCATACAAGCTAGGCGAGCACTCTACCACTGAGCCACAATCCCAGCCCCCCCTGGCCAGATTTATTGAATCAAAATCTTAAGAAGATGGACCCTAACATGTGCATTTTCTAAAAGTAACTCCAGATGATACTGCTATATATACCACTTATTAAAAACAACTAGACAATGGCAAGAATGTAGAGAATTAGGCATTCTCGTATGCTACTGGTATGAGTATAAATTGAAATAATACAGCCAACAGAACAGTTTTGCAGTATATTATCAAAATTTCAGATCGTTCTATAGGAATACATATAGGCACAAAAATGTAGTTTTAAGAATGTTTTCCATAGCCCTGTTATGAGCAACTAATTGATTTTCAGTACACAAACAGTTGAAGACATGATAGTGATATCACACTTGTTTATTATTCAGCGCTTTAAAGGATGAAATATGTATGAAAATTATACATGCCAGTATAAAATACATCTAGGATATGTTATTAAGTAAGCCTATTTTTAAATTATATGTAAATATTATAGAGAAAGATGTGGCTGAATGCCCACCAAAAGTGTTTACAGTGATTGTCTATGGCATAGAAGAGTGGGAACGATATGGAATTAGTCTTTTTACTTTTATATTAAAATATTTGAAATAAGATTTCATTTTTATAATAACAGAAATTGAACAAATCATTAGTGGATTTTAAGAAATCTTGAATGGCAGCTATTTATATGTGTCAGGACACTGCTTGTTTGGCAAATACCAATTTTAACTGGGACTTAATAATCTAAAACTTGGGAAAAGAAAGGAATGTTAGGACAACAAGTCTCAAATAAAAATGCCTGTTTGCAGAGGGTAAAAATTTGTTGCCAAAGTTGTTGTGAAGGTAGTCAAGAGTTTTGCTTTTTTATATATATATATATATATTTAGTTTTAGGTAGACACAATAGCTTTATTTTAGTCATTTATTTTTATGTGGTGCTGAGGATTGAACCCAGTGCTTCACGTGTACTAGGCAAGTGCTCTACCACTGAGCTACAACCCCAGACCAGGAGTTTTAAATAGACAAACATTTAAGATAAAATTTGATCTGTGTGATACTTATATCATCTATCTGTCTATTCACATCTGGATATGAAAATTAGGTTTGAAACATTGGGTTTAAACCTTTCTCAATTGATTAGCCTCCTGCCTATGAGGATACTAACACATTTTAATCCCTTCTTTTATAACTTCAGGCCCGATGAGAGAAAGGGAAAGTTAAGGATGCTGGAGCAGAACAATGGATTTCTCTTTCTCTTTCATGCAAGGGATCATGGGAAACACAATTCAGCAACCACCTCAACTCATTGACTCCGCCAACATCCGCCAGGAGGATGCCTTTGATAACAACAGCGATATTGTTGAAGATGGTGGCCAAACACCGTATGAAGCTACCTTGCAGCAAGGCTTTCAGTATCCACCTACAACAGAAGACCTTCCTCCACTCACAAATGGCTACCCACCATCAATCAGCATGTATGAACCTCAAACCAAATACCAGTCATATAATCAGTATCCCAATGGGTCAGCCAATGGCTTTGGTGCAGTTAGAAACTTTAGCCCCACTGACTATTATCATTCAGAAATTCCAAACACAAGACCACATGAAATTCTGGATAAACCTTCCCCTCCACAGCTACCACCTCCTCCTTCGGTACCACAAACTGTGATTCCAAAGAAGACTGGCTCACCTGAAATTAAACTAAAAATAACCAAAACTATCCAGAATGGCAGGGAATTGTTTGAGTCTTCCCTTTGTGGAGACCTTTTAAATGAAGTACAGGCGAGCGAGCACACAAAGTCAAAGCATGAAAGCAGAAAAGAAAAGAGGAAAAAGAGCAACAAGCATGACTCATCTAGATCTGAGGAACGCAAGTCACACAAAATCCCCAAATTAGAACCAGAGGAGCAAAATGTAAGTTGAAACATCTTTTTTGAAAATTTTTGTAATCTTTCACATTTACTGGAAATCAAAGACATCTTTTTTAGTTTGAATCTCTTCAAATTTGAACATCTCTGGTAACTTCTGAAATCCCCAGCAAGGTACTTGGGATGTTATAATAGATGCTAATAAATATTTGTTGAAAAAAATGAATGGGGGCTGGGGATATAGCTCAGTTGGCAAAGTGCTTGCCTTGCATGCACAAGGCCCTGAGTTCAATCCCCAGCACCACAAAAAAAAAAAAAAAAAGAAATATTTTAAAAGCATATACACCAAGAATTTTGTTTATGTTTCTTTATCTTAGAAGCCTCAGTTATTTTTACTTGCTTATGGTAAACTCCTGGTTTTTGAAGATGAAAAGGAAAGTTTACGAGAAACACATTTTTCATTTATTTTGGACCAACTTTTGCTGATACAACTTGTATTTAACACTCATTGCTAATGTGTTTGCTACAAAATAAGCTGATATAATAGAATTCTTTTTATTGAAATCTGTTCATGGAGCCAGGGGTGGTGGCCTATACCTGTAATCCCAGCAGCTCGGGAGCCTGAGGCAGGAAGATGGCGAGTTTAAAGCCAGCCTCAGCAAAAGCCAGGAGCTAAGCAACTCATTGAGAACCCTGTCTCTAAATAAAATACAAAATAGGGCTGAGGATGTGGCCCAGTGGTGGAGTGCTCCTGAGTTCAATTCCTGGTGCCCTCCCCACCCCAAAAAAATCAGAGTTTGTATTGATATATATTGGTTAAAACTTCAGGTTGAATATTATTTATAAAACATCCTTCATGGATAACTTAAGATGCATGTTGTCGAATTTTTTAATATTTGAAGTTTCATAGCAATGATATAATATTAGAAAGTATGTAGCTAATTAATTCTAACTTGAATGAAGAGTTCATGATATGAATTGTAAATGTTTCCTAGACATTGATTTGCAAAGAAACTAATGTTTATTTTTGTGACCGTTATTTGCTTTTTATATTTGATATACCTGAGCAAGTTAAGTTTGTTTTCTTACAAACTGATCTTTTCTTTGTACAACTGAAATGTGATCTTTTTCTGGAGTAAAGGTCACAATGGTTCTATCAGAAGCCCAAGTGTGTCATTTCAAAATGTTTTCTCATTTTCTTACTTATTCATTGAACACATTGATTGACTGTCTGCTCGGCCCCATTCTGAGAATTGAAGATATAGTAGTGAGTGAAAAACAGAGATGCCTGTTCTCAGGGTGCTTATATTACAGTGTGAGGGACTGGAAAATACATAAATCCACATATACATAGCTCCATATGTTTCGAAAGTGTCAAATACTATGAAGAAAATAAAACTAGGTAATGAGGTAAAGAGTTCTGCATCTCTAAGATGAAAGACTTTGAAACATAATTTCTGAAATGCCTGTTGGGTTCTTTTGTCATTTACCAGATACCTACTACTGAACCTAACTCATGTTTTTTATTGACTGCATATTGAGTAAATGAATAAATGGAAGGAGAAAAGTCAACTTTGTGCCCTCTGAACATGTTCACAGCAGCATTTCTTACCTAGATTTGCAGTGAAGAGACATGTGATGCACTGTGGCTTCAGGACATCACAAAATGCATGAATCCTGGATTTGATTATTGCCTGGAGACTGTCTTGCTGCCTTGTCTTGGTTTTGCTCTAGAGAATCTGGCAAATAGGGGACCAACCAGTTTTATTTATTAGGCTAGACTTTTTGCCTTTATTGATAAAGTTAGTTAAAAAAAAATATATCTCAAAATAGAAAAAGGGCTGGAACCTACAGAGGCAAGATAAAATAGTCTATTCTTTTCATAACTATTTTCTGCTTTATTAGAATCCAGGAAAAATTCAGTGCAGTGATGGTTCTAGAAGTCACTTTACAGTCAGATTCTAAAATCAATTCAGTCTTGTTGGATATCTGTTATGCCTAGCTCTTTATATCACTTAAACCTTCATTTAACTGTGGTATCCATGGATTAGAATGTTTAGATACAATTTAAGAGTTTTAGTAAAATCCTGCTGAGCACAATTTAATATTTAATTATTTAGGATCTTAAAATATCTTGGAGTAAAGCAACATCAATTTGACCCAAGATATAGAGGTAGAAAATGGTATTGATTGCACTCAATATTACTAAAACCATTGCCTGAACATGGAATTTTGGGGGGAAATTCAAAGTTTTTTTTATCTTCTCTTTTACCCCCTTTCCTTGTGCTATCTTCTGCCTCTTCCTTCCCTCTTTTTTCCTCTTTCCTTCCCTCCTTTAAAAAAAAAATTAAAGATCCAATTTTGATAAATTGAAATTTTATCACACATAGGGGCAATTGTAAGCTTAAGAAGTAGGTACCATAAAAGTTGTCCTTCATCCAACCATAGAACTTCAAAGCCAGAGCTCCCAAGGCTCTTGCTTATCTTGTGTTCTGCTTTTGCTAAACTAAGTAGGTGACTAAAGCTGAGCAATGATTAATCTGCTTTGTAACTTTGTGTGTTTTAAAATTTGGCATCCTTAATATGAACATCTATACTCCTTCCCCAGGACAGTTTTTGTGTTTTTTGATTCCCTTATGCTTCCTAGTTTGTACCTGGAGGACCTAGTACTTGTGTTAAGCAATGTAGGGGGCTTAGAAGTAAAGGGAAGCTCAGAGAAGCATCTGCTGATTCCACTGGACAGCTCCTCTCTCCTAGATGCTTCAGAGAAGCAAAACCTACTTAGAACTGTAGGCCTGGAGAAAAAGCCTGAAATAATTGTCCTGGAGCTGGATTTGCTTTTTCTTGTCTGTCTGCCTTCCTTCCTTCCTTTCAAAAATTATTTTTGTTGGTAGATTATAATTATATATATATTAGTGGGATTTGTTGTGAAATATTTATACATGCATGCAACATAATCTTTTCTTTCTGGTTGATGTTGTTCCTTAAAAGTCTACTAATAGGTTCTTTTTTTAGTAATCAAAATGATACACTTGAAGATTTAACCCACAGGAGCTCCAGTTGTAGCTCAGTGGTTGAGCACTTGCCTCAGTGAGTTAGGCACTGGGTTCAATTGTAGGCACCACATAAAAATAAATAAATAAAATAAAGATTGTGTTCATCTACAACTAAAAAATATTTTTAAAAAATTTAACACACAACTTTTTTTCTTAGTACTTGATGAGTACATACTTCCTCCCAGTTCTGAGCTGCTCGGGCAGCTATTACTTGGAACAACCTTAAGTATGTCTTCTCAACAATGAAAATGTGTCCAAACATCTAGGCAGCGGGAGACCTGAGATCACAACTGAAATTGTATATTTTAAAAATCAGCTTTAGCTGTTTTTCCTCCCACCAAATTAGAAACATGTGGAGATGTTTCTGCACTTCTTCTCCTTGGCAGGTGTAATGCCTCAGGCATTTTAGTGTAGGCTCTATTCAAACATTCATTGGTCTCCTTAACACTTCAAGACCAGTCTCATTAACTCTTAGCTTGCCATTTCCAAGTCTGGTTAGATCAGTCTCATTAATACTAAGTTAGAGGTTCATTTCACTATCTTCAGAATATTAGGCCTCAAAATTTGTAGAAAATATTTACATACAAAATGTTCCTTTTGGACATGTTCTTTGCTTTTGTTTATTAACATATTTATTTATTTATTTTTGTAGTACTGGGGATTATACCCAGGGACTCTCTAATACTAAGCCACATCTCCCTAACTTTCCTTCTTCCCTCCTCCTCCCCTTCTCCTTCTCCCGTTTAAAAAAATTATTTATTTATTCTAATTTGTTATACATGATGGCAAATGCAAGTATTAAGTTGCCCAGCTGGCCTGGAACTGGCAATCCTCCTGTCTCAGTCTCCCAAGTCACTGGGATTATTGGGATGCACTACCACACCGAATTCCACATTTTTTGCTTTTAACATTATGAATCTTGGTATTCATGAAGTTAAAGAAAAATGCACAATTCATTGCCTCAATTTTTTTTTCCAATTTGAATGTTGATGTTAGTTTTCTGTTCTTTCTAGGGAACATGATTTTGTTTAATATTCTTGAAAATTATGTAGGAGAGCTTAAAATTCTGCCAGATTTGATGCATTTTAGTGATTTTAATGAATGTTTTATTTTGTTTTAGCAATACTGGGGATGGAACCAAGGAGCACTCTTTGAAACAGGGTATTGCTAAATTACCTGGTCTGGCCTTGAACTTGTGATCCTTCTTGCCTCAGCTTCCCAAATTTCTGGGTCTTAGGTTTTAATACAATTACCAAACCAGAAATTTTTAAAAGAAATATTTAGGATAATGTAATTTATTATAGCTATTCTCTTAATATAATTTTTTCTTGTTTAACAGTCTTTAGCCGGGCTCAGTGGCACATGTTATCCCAGCAATTTAGGTGGCTGAGGCAAAAAAATTGAAAGTTCAAGGCCAGCCTCAGCAACATAGCAAGACCTTTTCTCAAAAATAAAAATAAAGTAGCCAGACACAGTGGCACATGCTGTAATCTCATTGACTTGGGAGGCTGAGGCAGGAGGATCACAAGTTTGAGGCCAGCCTCAGCAACTTAGTGAGACCCTGTCTCAAAACAAACAAATCAAAAGTGCTGGGGATATGACTCAGCATCCCTGGGTTCAATCCCTATTACCAAAAAAATTTTAAAGTAAAAAGGAATAGAGATGTAGCTAAGTGGGAGGGTGCTTTTTTAGTATGTGTGAGGCCCTTAGTCCAGTCCCCAGCCCCACCAAAAAAAAGAGAGATAGTAAGAAACTTTACTGTAATTCTTTTCTGGACAATAGGTCTTTCCATGTGGAATAAATAAATATATTTTTAAAGTCATGTATACACATAAACTTGTAAATTTAAAATTAATACAAATAGGGCTGGGGCTATAGCTCAGTGGCAGAGTGCTTGCCTCGCATGTGTGAGGCACTGGGTTCAGTCCTCAGCACCATATAAAAATAAAATAAAAAAATAAAGGCATGTTTTCCATCTATAACTACAAAAAAATTTAAAGAATACAAATAAAATTAATACGAATTGAACATAAAGAAGAGCTAATTTGGGGTGGGGTTGTGGCTCAGCAGCAGAGCGCTCGCCTAGCATGTGAGAGGCCCTGGATTCTATCCTCAGTACCACATAAAAATAAAATAAAGATATTGTGTCCATCTACAACTAAAAAATAAAATATTAAAAAAAAAAAGAAGAGCTAATTCACAGTCATCATTTTCTCTGATGATTTCTCTTCCTAACATTCACGTTATTTAAACCTCCCTTATCTTTGTAACAGCTGTAATAGATTCAGAACTATTTTATCTTTTGGCATTTTTCTGATTCATTATTTTTATTGTTATTATTTTTACTCAGGATTTGACTTCCATTGTCCATTTCTTCATAAAAGCTTCTCTTCTTGGGTCTGTGACCCTCTGCTATACTTGGTTTATCTTAATCTTCCTTTGAGCCCCAAAGATCTCCAAATGCCTACTGGATATTTGTTTTGCAAATGCATTATCACATTTTATGCTATTTTTAAAAATATTTTTAGTTGTAGGTGGACACAGTACCGTCATGTTATTTATTTTTATGTAGTGCTGAGAATTGAAACCAGTGTTTCTCACACATGCTAAGCAAGCACTCTACCCCTGAGCCACAACCCCAGCCCCCATTTTATGCATGTTTACTCTCTATCTTGCACCGTCTTTATTTGACTTCTTTTCCCTCTCTTGTTTATATAAGAAAACTTAGAGTAAATCTTATTGGGTTTTCTTTCTCTTGTCACCTTTCTTTTAAAAATGACTATGAAAGTTTCAGTTCTTTGAAAGTGATTTTGACAGCATTTCAAATCAGTCTGAATGAAGCACCAGCAATCTGGAACAAACCCATAAAACAAAAAAGATAATGCATTTGAATAAGAAGATTTTGAAGGAAATTCTGTCTTTAATCCAGAAAGGGAAAAAATGTTAATGGTTTTCAGATCAGTTCTTGCCATGATAGTCTTCTGTTGTATGATAAAGATTAGCCACTTCTTATCTATTTGCCCTTAAAATGAGGCCTAGAGACCCTTCCCTTTAGACCTCATGAAGATTCAATGTGTGGTGGAAGGAGCCTCGTTTTCACAGTTACCTGTTCTTCAGGTTGCCCTGTCTTCCTGCTGTAGCTTGGTTGGAATGAGGAGCTAAGGCGAAGACTTAAGCTGTCTATAGATTAAAATGAAGCTATTGAATAAACCTATGCAAACATGGGCAGTAGTTCTAAACTGCTTCATTATACACTAATGATCAAAAAAATTTTTTTTCCATTTGAACATATTTTTCTTTCTTTACTCAATGAGCAACTCTCAATAGATATTTATGGTACCACTATGAAAGTAACCAACATAGCTAATTTTGTGCCTCTCAGCCAACTGCCACTATCTTTTTAACCTGGAAGACTGCAAGGACTCCTAATTAAAACATTCTGCTTTCCCTCTTTCTTCCAAAATACTCACTACCTAACAACCAACAGGATCTTTTGTTTATTTTTATTTGGGGCAGTACTGAAAATTGAACCCTGGGGTGCTCTGCCACTGAGTCCCCAACTCTTTTTATTTTTTATTTCGAGATGAGGTTGTATTAAGTTGTCTGGGCTGGTCTCAAACTTGTAATCCTCTTGCCCCAGCCTCCAAAGTAGATGAGATTATAGGCATGCCCTACCATGCATGGCAGGTTCTTTTTAAAACATAAATTGGTATTTGTTATTCATCTACCTACATCTCTAGAATGGCTTTTCATTGCACTTAAGATAGGATCCAAACACTTTACTATGGTTTACAAAGACCTTATATTCTAATCTGCCTCTCCACTCTTAATTTTGCAAGCTCTCTCTTCCTCTGGCAATTAGGTCATTAGTTGTGACCTTCTTAATTTTAGGTACCTTATACATTACTCCTTTTTCCTCCAGTGTTCTTTCCCCCAGTTTTTGACTAAACTAATTCCTCCTTTGATTCTCAGATTGTAACTTTAGTAGAAAGGTCTTTCCTGATCTACACACACACACACACACACACACACACACACACTATTCTCTCTCTAAATAGCTCTTACTTCCTAAGTGAATGTCTGTGTTTCTGTTTGTTTAATTTCTGTCTTTCCTATGTATCTGTAAGTTTCTTGAGGTCAACACCACATCTGTTTGTTTCTAACAGTTTAGAGGCCTGGATTCTAATACTGTTACTAGAGCTTCATCTGCACTTTTGAGTGAATATTGATACTTGCGGTTTGGGATTTTAGCCTAACATTCATAAAATACCATTGTCCTAACAGTTAAAAACCTTTTTGTACTTCTTTTATTTAATAAACCTTTGCTTTTACAACAGTGCCTTAAATGTCTTGAAATAATTGAGAATGAAAATTTTAAGTAGAAGTAACTATGTTCTTTTAGTGGAATTAAGACCTTATTTAATATATCTGCCCTCTTCTTTTTTTTTAAACTTGTGTACATGTCACTGAGGTTGCCAATTTATTTATTTTTATTTTTTATTCTTTTTAGTTATACATGAGAGTAGAATGTATTTTGACATATATACATGGAGTATAACTTACCATTCTTGTGGTTATACATGATGTGGAGTTGGTTGTATATTCATGTGTGAACATAAGAAAATAATGTTCAATTCATTCTACTGTCTTTCCTATTCTACTGTATTCCCTATTCCCCCTCCCTTTCCTTCATTCCCTTTTGTTTAATCTATAGGATTTCCATTCTTCCCTACCTGTCCCCCTTATTTGTGTTAGCATCCTCATATCAGAGAGAATATTCAGCCTTTGTTTTTTGGGGATTGGTTTATTTCACTTAGCATACTATTCTCCAGTTTCATCCATTTACTTTATGCCCTCTTCTTGAGCTATCTGAATTCTGTTCTCTGACAAATGAGAGACCAAAAATATTTTAAATTGTAGAAATAGTTTGCTTTTTACAGAAAATGTAGATGATAAAAAAGTTTGAAAGAGCCTTCTTCATTATTTCCCAAGATAATTACTGTTAGCGATTGGGTATACATTGCACGAAATATTTTCAAAACATATAAGCAATTTTAAAATAGAAGAATGGAAGATGTTGCTAGATGTATAGATCACTGGCATGAAATAATATTGTAGTTAGCATTCCTCTGGTAAGATTTTCTTACTTTATTTCTGTAGTTAAGTTTTTAAAATGTAATTGCTAAATTGAAGAGTATACATATTTTGAGTTTTTATACCCATTTCCAAGTTGCCTCATAGAAATTCATTTTTAAATAACATTTGTGGGGCTTATGATTAGAAAAGTAATGTGATGTTTATTAGAAACAATTTAACAAATATTGAAAGCATCCTCCAAATATTTTATTACCTGATAGTAACCATTTTTATCCTTTGAGTCTTTTTTCTGTGTAGATAAAAAGATTATTTTTTCAAGATTAGAATGATTATATTCAGACTACTTTGCAATTTACTGTTTTTCAAATAACATAGTTAATGTTATTTAAACTATATTGATATTCTCTTAATCTATACTGTAATTTATTTAATTCTACATTTTCAAACATTTACATTGTTTCTGTTTTGTTGCTCTTACAATATGCACCCTATTTATATACCTACTCATATATTTTTTGCACCTTTCGGTACTTTTTCAATATACATTTTTAGAAATAGATTTGCTGGTTCAGAGACTTAAAAGTTTAAGGATTTTCACATATATTACCAAATTGCTGTCCAGAAAAGTTCCAGGTTACATTTTATGAGCAATTTCAGAGTTCCCCTTTTTTCCCTGCAATCTGATAGAATTAAACAAACAAAAAACAATTTAGTTGATTTTTTTTTTTTCTTTAAGTCACCGTTCTTTGGTTTACTGCCACTTTATTCTATTCCTCTATGGCTTTTCACCTAGAGACCAAATGAGAGGGTGGACACCATACCTGAAAAAACAAGAGAAGAGCCAGTACTCAAAGAAGCCACCCCGGTGAGTTACTTTGTCCAATACTGTCTGACCAGCTGTGGTGTAAGAAGAATGTGAAAGTAACACAGTTAATTGTAATACAGTTCCCTTCTTCTTTATTTCAGAAAGTATACTGAAATAAATCTCAGAGCTCGTTTAAGAGATAGATATTTACAGTGCATTATTTTCCATTTAAAAACTGTCATCAATTTTTTTATTATTCAAATAAATCCTCAAGATGCCTTATCAGCAATTTAGCAACAGAAGCCTTCCATCTTATTTTTAATATTTGAGGCTTATTAATTTTTCCCTCTTTCTTCTTCTCCTTGGTAGTTATAGGTAGCAGGTATCAGATAAAAGTATAATTGAAGATAAATTTTACATTGTTAGCATTTTTAAAGGTACCTTACATAGTATAAGGTTTCTTTTTTAAAGAAAAATTTCTGATGGGAGTTTTGTGACCTTTTCCTGTAGATTCAGCCAGTACTATCTTCTGTTCCAACAACAGAAGTATCCACTGGTGTTAAGTTCCAGGTTGGAGATCTTGTGTGGTCCAAGGTGGGAACCTATCCTTGGTGGCCTTGTATGGTTTCAAGTGATCCCCAGCTTGAGGTTCATACCAAAATTAATACAAGAGGTAAGAAATTACATAAATAGATATTGAATAGAAAGTTGGTAGTAAATAAAAGTGAATTTTAAATGTATGTGAATATAAGAATATATGTGTAATGTATAATCTGCTTTAAAAATATATTTATGTATATTAGTTTTTGGTAACCAGTGGAATAATTATGGTCATCTTAACTTGCAGAAATCCTCTATAACTGATGTAGTCCTTATTTTCCCTTATAATAGCTTCATTTGCTTATAATATCTCTCACACCCTTTTTAAATTTTTTTTTAATTAATTTATTTTGAAATAGTAAGGAGTGAACCTAAGGCTGGCATACATCCCACCACTGAGCTACATACCTACCCCTTTTTATTTTTGAGGCAGATTCTGGGCTTAGTTGCCCTGACTAGCCTCAAATTTGCAATCCTCCTGTCTTAGCCTCTTGAATAGCTGAGACAGGTATGGGCCAAGTCTTCTTTGAACATTTTTATTTCCATCATTTTCTCCTATACACAGTACTATTTTTTACCCAGACAAGTACTTTTCAACCTGATAAATTTTGCAGGATGCTTTTTCCCTTCTCTGCTCCATTTTTGAATCTGTAAATTTACTGTGGCTTCCCTATATGTTTGGTATTACATAGAAGCATAGCTTAAATCTGTCTATATATAACATAGAATTTTAAGAATGTCAAAAATTAAGAAAAATGTATTTACACTTCTGTCTCTCTCTCTCTTTTAACCAAAACATGATATGGACTAGATTCCTAAGATTGTAGCATTAGGAAGGGACTAGCTTTGTAACCCAAGGAATGTTTGAGCTCAGAACTTATTCCTGGATATTTGCTTTGTGAACTCGCTCTAGTTGTGTGTTGAGTTCCTCATTGTCTATGACTGCTTTGCACCTAATTTTTTTTCTTTCACTTAAAGAAAGTTCTGTTGGTTCTATTAAGAAAGACCGGGGGGGGGGGGGGGGTCCACTTAAGTCTGGTATATCAGGTTTGTAACACCATCAGCCATATCCATGAAACTTTGCTATGTAGGCCAGAATCTGCCTGCATATAGCAAGCAATGTGTCTTGACCATTTTTCATCTTGTCAGTATTATGTACTGATTAAAAGTTGGGAGAATAGAAGTGTTAGTGTGGCAGAAGTGAAAAACCAGCATTGTTAAGTGTCTACTTTTTTTCATGTGTTTTCTTTATGCAATTCTTACAGCCTCAACACTATGAAGTATGTAGTATTATGTCCTATGTTTCAGATGAGTCTCAAAGAAATCTCTTTCTATAACCCCTACTGTTGAACATTACTTAGATGTCAGAGGGAAATCTCTTGAATTTATCCTGTCATAGTTGATAGAATTTGGGGGAGGCAATTGTTGTTCATGTGTTTATATAAGAAGGGTATTGGAACAGTATCTCTGAAGCACCTCACACCTCTAATAACCCATGATTCTATGAGTAGGGAAGAAAAGATAGGATTCTCTAAGAAAGCCAAGTCTTCTAAAATAAAACAATTCCTGTCCCTATCTGGGCCTCCAGAATACTCTCAAAAATTGTATCCTAAGAGAGTGGTGGCTCTTCAGTTCTCACCTCAAGGGAACATTCTTTTGAAATGTTTCACATTTAATTTCTTTATGAAAATCTTCTGATTTCAGCTTTTTTATGAGATACAAATGAGAGCACAATTTATGCCTCATCTGTATTTTAAAGGAAGTATTTAGACTTAGTTATATTAATGAAAACTAATCCAGTCTAGTATCCCCTAGGCAGTCTCCTAACTTTAATGCCAGAAAAACTGATTTTGTTTATTATTACCACCAGCAATCTGAGAACTTATGTTAAAAAAGAATGCATATTTTGATAAAAATCTAAAATGTTCTTTTTGTCTTGTTGAGATATAATTCACATACCACAAAATTTATCCCTTTGAAGGGTGCAGTTCAATGATTTTTAGTACATCAAAGAGTTGTACAGCCATCACCACAATCTAATTTAAAAAATATTTTTATCACCCCCCAAAAGAAATTCTATATCCATTTGTTGTCACACCCCACCCCCAGTCCTATGCTATGAGTAACTACTGCCTTTCTATAGATTTACCTATTTATGTGACTTCTTTCACCAAGCATGATTTGAGGTATATCCATATATCCATATTTTAGCATGTATCAGTACTTTATCCCTTTTTATCATCAAATAGTATGCTCTCATATGGCTTTGTAGGATATTAAAGGAAGTAATTTCCTGACAGTTTTTCTAAAAACCAAAAAACACAACATAAAAAATTTTGTTGATTATGTTTCATACCTGATGATTGGGAAGCTTTTGTGTTGCTTATTATCTGAGCTATTTTATAAATTTTTTTCTTCATCTCATATATAGTAATTGTTGGTTTCCATATTGTTATTAGTAATCATTGTTACTAGATTCTTAGTCTTGGAAGTGTATTTAATGGTTTTGCATACCATTAAAAATAATAAAAATTCTTTGCAAGACCATGTTGAAAGGTGTTTGGATAACATTTCTATTTTCAGTTGTATTTCATTGTTTAGGTCTCATTTTAAGTTTAAAAGCTAAAAATTAAATGCTTTTTCTGCTTTTGAAAATATTGTGTTCAATAAACCTAACAAGTATATACGGGGGTAGATGAATAATATTCCATTGCATGATATAGCATGTTCTCTTTATCCACTTACTTATTGACAGATAGGTTTTTATTTAGTATTTTTTTCAGAGTTTCATTCATTTGCTCCATGAATATTTACACAAATATTTGATCACAAATATTTAGAGTAATGACTACATGTGAGGCATAGCTTAAGGAGATGGAGAAATAGCACTTGAAAAAATGGATCAAAAATCCCTCCCCTCATGATATTTACATTCTGGTTGAAGAGACAGATTGTAAATAAAATAAATAACTAAAATATATAGTATGCTAAATAGACATGTGAAGTGGAAAAAACAAAGCACAGAAGGGGAGTTGGATAGTAACTAGAAGGGGGCCACAAAAGGAACTTTCCGAGGATCGCTTGGCATTTTCCACTTCATTTGTTTCATTTTATTTATTTTGTTTTTAGTTATACATGACAGTGGAATATATTTTTGCAGAATATGCATAATCTTATTCTATTAGGTTCCCACTCTTGTGGTCATTCATACATGATATGGAGTTACCCTTGTCAAATATGTAAATACAAGGCTAGGAAAGTTATGACCAAGTAATTCTACTGTCTTTTCTATTCCCCTCCACTTCTTGATATAGGTGCTGACTATATGAGTGTGCTCAGTTTGTGAAAATTCAGTATATGTACACTTAAGATTTGTGCACTATTCTGTACATATTGTACTTTAATAAAAGTTTTTTAAGCCTGTGTATGTGTGTGTGTGGGGGGGGATGCACATACTCTCAACTTCAAAGTGTCAGAATATGTAACTATAATTAAAAGTTTGGAGGTAATTTCTTTTCTGTTTGTATAATTAATAGATATGTAAATAAAGATTTTTATTGAGAATTTTAATTAGTATTACATGATACCTATTTTTACTTTTTTTTACTAAATAATTTGCTTTTATTTATAAAGTATTTCATGTCTACTGCTTGAAAATAGAGAGTAGTTTGCAGTAATAATTTGTAAAACTACATTTTAAAAAATTTATAACAGTATTTAAAAATTATAAAACAATTATTAAAATTAACAAAGTGCATTAAGTAACTTATTTTTTATTTATATATGACAGCGGAATGCATTACAATTCTTATTACACATACAGAGCACAATTTTTCATATCTCTAGTTCTATTTTTACTTTTAACCCCAGCAATATTTTTTAAGTTTAAAACTAAATGGCTTTATCTTTGCCTTATTTTTCTTTTTTTTAATATATATTTTTTAGTTGTAGATGGACACAATACCTTTATTTTGTTTATTTATTTTTATATGGTGCTGAGGATCAAGTCCAATGCCTCACACATGCTAGACAAGTGCTCTACCATTGAGCTACAACACCAGCCCTGCCTTATTTTTCTTATATAAAAACATTTCCTTGCTGGGCACCGTAGCATTCTCCTATAATCCCAGTGATTTGGGAAGCTGAGGCAGGAGGAGGCCAAATTTGAGGCCAGCCTTAGCAACTTTAGTAAGACCCTGTCTCAAAATAATAAAATAAAAAAGGGCTGGGCATATAGCTCAGTGGTGGAGTACACCTGGGTTCAGTTCTCAGTATTCCTCCCTAAAAAGGTTTTTTTTACATTTTTCTGTAGAAAATTTAGTTCATTATTCAGAAACAGATTTGCTTGTTTTTTTTGTTTTTCGTTTCTTTAGGTTTTTGTTTCCCTCTTATAATTTTTAGTTACAAAAAAAGAAGCACTAACAAATAGGCAGATTGTCTGACCTTCTTCCTCTAAAGTAAGTAATTCAATGGAAGAGTTGAAAATACAGATGAAGGGCTGGAGATATAGCTCAGTTGGTAGAGTGCTCACCTCACATGCCAAGAGGCTTGGGTTCAATCCCCAGCACCACAAAAAGAAAAAAGAAAGAAAGAAAATAGAGATGAAAATGATATTATGTCCCCTATGAATTCTAGTTTTTGTGTTTTTAACTGTAAAGTCCACTGGGATTATGTTTGCTTCTGAATGAGTAACTCTGACTTTTGGGAACAGATTATGTGCTAGATTCTTTTAATTCTACTTCCTATACCAATCCACCTAACCTCCAAACTCACCTAATTAGTTTAGGTTATATTTCTGTTTTTCTCCCCTAAATTGGATGCTTGGATTTTTTTTTTTAATATTTATTTTTTAGTTGTAGTTGGACACAATATCTTTATTTTGTTTATTTATTTGTATGTGGTGCTGAGGATCGAACCCAGGGCCTCGCACGTGCTAGGGGAGCGCTCTACTGCTGAGCCACAACCCCAGCCCCAGTTGCTTGGATTTTTGATAAATTTTCCTTGATTTTTTTATAATTAGATTTGTGCTTGGTTCTTTCTTCTCAGATTAAATGTGGAAATCTAGGTTGTGTGTGTTTCTCTCCTATTAGGTTATTTTGCATATGAAATGTTAATTTGTTTCCAAAATAATGCCTTAGATAATTTTTCATTAGTGTATAATAAGATGTGTGAAACCTAAACTGTAATAGATTTTAGTTGATGACATTAGTACACTTTCAGCCTATCCGCATTGTTTTTCTAGTCACATCTATGTTTTGTCTTTTTCCCTACCTGAATTATCATGGACTCCTTGAGAAGACCCATTTCCTTCATTTTTCTATTGATTTGATACTTTTTCTCTAGAACAGTGTTTTTCAAATTACCTCTGATAGAAGACCAGTTTTTGTTCTTTTTAAAGTTTTTAGTACACCATAGACCAATACTTATATAAAATTAAAAAAGCTTATTTTTAAAAAATGAAAGCCTCCCCAGCCCATTCCAATACAGAATGCAAGATCTCTGATCTTATGTCTGGGTGTCTCGATAATATCAAATTGATAACATAGTTTCTAAATGCTTACTGTCGTCTCTATTACTTAGTTTGTTACAGTATGGCTTATTTGGACCATGCTTTCAAAGTACCACTGGTGCTTCTAAGACTTTAATACTAGGGATTGAACCCAAGGATGCTTAACCACTAAGCTACATTCCCAGCCTCCTTTTTAAAAAAATTTTAAACATTTATTTATTTTTGGTACCATGTATTAAACCTAGGCTGCTTAACCACTGCATCTCATCCGTAGCCCTTTTTATTTTGAGACAGGGTCTTGCTAAGTTGCCAAGGCTGGCAATCCTCCTTAAACTTTCAATCCTCCTGCCTCAGCCTCCTAAGTAGCTGGAATTATAGACATTTGCCACAGTGCACAGTGTAGCACTGCTGTTAAACAACAGTTCTTGGGTATTTTGGTCCCAGGACTCTTTTTACCAAAAAGTTTTTGTTTATAGATTTTTTTTTTATTTATTTCTGTGACAGCGGAATGAATTACAATTCTTATTACACATATAGAGCACAATTTTTCATATCTCTGGTTGTATACAAAGTATAATTTTGTAGGTTATATCTATTACTATTTATATTGAGAAATTTTAAAAAATATGTACTAATTTATTTAAAATAATACTTTCTTATATTAATTAAATTTTTTGAAAAACCTTTTTCCCAATAAATATTAATGAGAAAAGTGGTATTGTTTACATTTTTGTAAATCTCTTTAGTCTCTGGCTTAATGAAGATGCTGGATTCTCTTACTTCTCCATTCTGTCATAATTTATTGTTTTGGTTGCAGTAAATATACTACCTCAAACAAATTTTCAGTAGGGAAAGGAAAGAGTATTTTAATAACCTTTTTAGATAATTGTGGATATTTTTCTTTGGTATTAAACCAAAGCTCAACAAGTGGTGGGTTAATTACAATGTAGAATCTGAAATAATTTCAATGAGCTTTTTGTACTTTGTAACATAAAAATTCACTGGTTTTACTTGCACTTTGTATGAATCTTTTATCTTTCATGATTTTATAACACCTTGCATGTATTGCCCATTTAAAAACTCTTGGTTCCTGAATCATGTGGCTTTTTCAAATATTGACACATTCCCTTATAGATATTCTTTTAAAAATTGATTATTGGGAACCTGGCAGACTCTGGAGCAAAGACAAATTTTTCAGAATTCTAATTTTGCTTGAAAGATCAGATTTTATTATTGGCACAAAATAGTGTTATTTTCCTTGAAATAAGAAAGATCATTTTCAAGGAGATACCTGCCAAATACTCAAGTTTGAATTACTATAATTCTTTCAGTCACACTTTCTAGTAAAAATAGTATTTATGGAAACATGGCCAAGTCACCCTGCTTCTCAATCACACTAATGTCTTTTCTCAAGACAACAGGCATATTACTATCTGCAAAAGTGTTTTATTCATTCTTTTATTTCATCACACAGAGTATTGAAGGGGCATGTATTCAAGGTCCAAGATTTAGTAAAATTAATAATTTGGACCACTTCAACAGTGATAAATAGACTTTTTTAAAAAAGTGCCACTTTATGGCTATGAAAAACACAGTAACAGTGGTGCAGTTTGGGGCCTTCTGTTTGTCTCTGTTTGTGCTAGGATGCCAGAAGTCTCTTCTGCTATTGTTTTTGCACTAGCAAAAGTGTAAACGTCAACATAATGAGAAAGACAAATAATTATTATGAAAATGGTTTTGACCTCACAGAATTCCTGAAATAGCCTCACATTTATTTAGCTTAGAAGAACAACTTGATCAGTATTTGGCTTTTAAAAGTCTGAGGAAACATCTCAAAGATTTTTTGAAGGAAACATTATTAATTTATACCCTACTTGGTTTGTAAAAAGATTGGAGGCAAATAAAAATAAATCTGATAATTAGCAGACTTCCTGCTTTTGTTCTTTTATAACTTGCTGCACTGATTTTAATCATTTGGAGTGATTTTTACAGTAGCTATTAGTTGTATAATTGGTAAGTACTGGGATATATCTTTGGATAATTCAAAATATCTGGGTTTTAATGGGAATGATACTGAGGAACCTGGGGTAGAGGTCCTTTTGGCAGTGTATGTGGATGTTTACATTCTGAAATGATTAATAAGAATTTTTATTTACAGGTGCCCGGGAATATCATGTTCAATTTTTCAGCAACCAGCCAGAGAGGGCATGGGTTCATGAAAAGCGGGTACGGGAATATAAAGGTCATAAACAATATGAAGAATTACTGGCTGAGGCAACCAAACAAGCAAGCAATCACTCTGAAAAGCAAAAGGTAACTCAGTATCTTATTAATATGTTTATTAGTCTGATTTTTTTTTTTTTTGGTTGGGTGCTGGAGATAAAATCCAGGGCCTTGGGTTTGATCAAATGCTTTCCCACAAAGGTACGTACCAGGTTCTTTAATTTGGGAGTTGAACCCAGAGACAGTTGAACCCAGAAACATTTTACCACTGAGTTAGATCTATAGTCCTCTTTTAAATTTATTTTTTATTTTGAGATAGGGTCTCACTAAGTTGCTGAAGATCTTGCTAAGGTACTGAGGCTAGCCTCAAACTTGAAATTCTCTTGCCTCAGCCTCTTCAGTTGCTGGGATTACGGGTATGTGCCACCACAACTGGTGGTATATATTTTTAAAGAATTTAATAATTTAGAATAATTTTTCATACTTGAATTCAGACAACTGTTAGAATGATTTGTTATTTTTAACTTTTTAAAGCTCAGTTTTAATAACTGTAAATGATCAGTAAGTTTGTAAGTATGTTAATAAGTTTTACATAAAAATATTGTTATATAAACAACGTATTACTTTTATAAACCTTAACTATCTGCTTAATACAATTCTGTAAATTGTATGTTGAGCACATGTTAGTGAAATGTAGAGTTTGCCAGGGATTTTTAATCATTTTCCTCCTGTAGCATTGTTAAGTAATTCCTCTATTTTTTTGGCGGGGGGGGGGGGGGGGGGGGGGGGCGGGGGGATTGAACTCAGGGGCACTCTACCACTGAGCCACTTCCTTATCCCTATTTTGTATTGTATTTAGAGACACGGTCTCATTGAGTTGCTTAACACCTCACAGTTGCTGAGGCTAGCTTTGAACTTGAAATTCTCCTGCCTCAGCTTCCAGGGCCGCTGGGATTGTAGACATGCCGGCTTGTTATTCCTCCTTTTTAAAAATTTAAATTTAATTGTGTGTGTATGTGTGTGTATGTGTTAGATTTTTGTTTTTGTTTTTGTTTGGGGTGTGTGTGTGTGTGTGTATGTGTGTGTGTAGTGCTGGGATCAAACCCAGAGCCTCTTGCATGCTAGTTAAGTGCTCTACCTTTGAGCTACATCCTCAGCCTAAAGATTTTAAATTCTTCTTTACTCTTAATTAACAAAGTTGTTTTAAGAAAATAAAGTCTATACAAGTGATGGAACCAGGAAATATGTTTTATATGGTGGTGGATAGAAATTTGATGTAAACTCTTGATGATCTGTCTAGTCAAGCTATTTTTGGTTTATTTGTTTGTTTGGTTTTTGGGAGTGCTAGGGATGGTATCCAGGGCCTTGCACATGCTAGACAAGTGTCCTACCACTGAGCTACATGCTCAGCCCAGAGATTTTAAATTCAACTAATTACAATGTGGGTCTCTTGTGATTCAGAAATTTGACATTTTTATACTTTAAAGGCTAAGTTTTGTCACAGATTTTGATTAATTTTTATCAGGTTTTACATTTTATAGATTTAAATATCAGTATTTGACATAGACGATACCATCTCATAGTTTTATTAACTAGTTTCTGTCAGTTTAGCTATCTGAATAACTCCTAATTTTTTCAGTCACCTCCTATACTTCTATACCTGTTTTATTCATCTCATACACCTTGAGCTTTCTTATCTCTTGCCAATATAGTCTTCTAATTAGTCCTGGACTTAAAAGGCCTGTGGAAATTGTGATCCAAGCTTATTTTTCTTTCAAACATACCTGTTTTTCTTCATCTTGTTCCTTGTGCTCATGCCTTTTGCTTCATTCTGTCCTGTCTGCATTATGGTACAGACTAGCAGTACATCTTTAAATGTTGGCTTTCTGCAGTTAGTTTTGATGTGGAGATCACTCTCCACAGCACCGACTTACCTACCCCGAATCCCTAAAAATGGAGAGAAAATAGGAACTTTGGGTCATTTTTAATGTTAGTGTTAATTGGTCACAAGAAGTAATTATTTTTGTAATCCTTCTTCTCTCTTCCCTTGTTATCGATAGCTTTTTATGAATATGAATGAGGACAACTCCCTCTTGGGGACTTGTGCAGCAGAGTGGTCCAAAGAAGAATATAAAAATAGACCTTTATGCCATCTAATAGAGTAATGCTAATTTGTCACAAGTTATGGAGTTAGAACATTCAGTTATTTGAACTCAAAATATTAATGTACACTGGAAAGATAATAGGATATATGTTGGTTTTAGTGTACCTCCTAGATTAAAGCATGTCACAATGATTGTACCTTTTTTAAAGATTCGGAAACCCCGACCACAGAGAGAACGTGCCCAATGGGATATTGGCATCGCCCACGCAGAGAAAGCATTGAAAATGACTCGCGAAGAAAGAATAGAACAGTATACTTTCATCTATATTGATAAACAGCCTGAAGAGGTTTTATCCCAAGCAAAAAAGAATGTTGCCTCCAAGACTGAAGTTAAAAAAACCCGGAGACCCAGATCTGTGCTGAATACTCAGCCTGAACAGACTGATGCTGGGGAGGTGGCCTCCTCACAGTCGAGGACTGAGATTCGGAGACAGAGCCAGAGGCGGCACACAAGCGTGGAAGAAGAAGAACCACCTCCTGTTAAAATAGCTTGGAAAACTGCAGCTGCTCGGAAATCCTTACCAGCTTCCATTACGATGCACAAAGGGAGCCTGGATTTACAGAAATGTAACATGTCTCCAGTTGTGAAAATTGAACAAGTATTTGCTCTTCAGAATGCGACAGGAGATGGGAAATTTATCGATCAATTTGTTTATTCCACAAAGGTAACCTCCTTTTTTTATGGACTCTTGGGGAAGAGTATTTTAAACATAGTTAACCTTGGCATTTAAAATAATAACATAAGGACATATTTAAATGCTTTTTGTATCTACCACATTTAAAATATACAATCATGTTTACTCTTTCCACAAAGAATACATAGGCAAAAAGACTGTTTTTCTTCTGTTTTTCCCCCCTCTTTTGTAATATTCCCATCTGTAGTCGATTAATCTGAGCTATGCAGCCAAAATTGAGCTTAGCTCCCAAAAGTCATGGGAAAAAACTGGGCAATTTGCCTGTTTCTAGTTTGTATAGTTAAGATTTTGTTGTTGTTGTTGCAAAGTTTGCTTCTTATTAAAATTATTTTTTTCAGTTATCTGAATTAGCCACTGCTATAAAAACTACTGTAATAATTGTGCCTGCTGGCCTGTTCTGTTGTACCAGCAGTTTTGTTAGACCCCTTTTGGCTTAGGTTGTCTAACTACATTTTAGAGAAATTCCAGTACTATGTTTGTCCCTCCCTTAATTAATTGTGGTGATAACTTGGGTAATGGGTAGAAATAGCCTCTACAAACTGATTGTCTCCATCAGGCTGCCCTGGGCCTCTAATACACTTACACTTTAGCTTCAAGACATTAAAACTCTTTCATAACTTTAGTATTATCTATATACCTTCTCACCAACATCCCACAATTTTGAGTTTATGATTTTGATTTAGTTGTAGCTCACACACTGCACTTTAAAGAATTCTGTGCTTATTTTTTTCAAACATAGTCATGTGGACATTAAAATAATTAATTAAATATAGGAATGCCCCATCAGCAATATATTTTCTTTTTTTTTTTTCTTTTGGTACTTAGGGATTGAACCTAGGGGTGCTTAACCACTGAGCCATATCCCCAACCCTTTTCTTATATTTTATTTAGAGACAGGGTCTGCTGAGTTATTTATGGCCTTGATAGGTTGCTGAGGCTGGCTTTGAACTCATAATCCTCCTGCCTCAGTCTCCCAAGCTGCCGGGATTTCAGGCATGTGCCATCACGCCCAGCAGTAATATATTTTCTTAATTAATCTTTTTCTGCCATAAGTTCAACGGATTTCAGTAAGGCTAAACTACTTGCAGAAGCTTAATTTGCAGTTTCTACTTGATTGTTTTCATGACAAATGAATATTTTGCACCTTTTAAAAAATGTGAATTGGCTTTATTCTTAGAGCTACTTTTATCTGTTTCAGTATGCACAAATCAAATTTTATCACTCCTCTTCCCCCAAGAATGCTACTTAAGATTTGAGATAAAATTGAATTTTTAAAACTCTATTTTTACATTAACAAATTACTTCTTTACTTCTATTCCATTACATTAAAAATACCTAAATTGAGACCTCAATTAATTGTATCTTCCTCTATCTTCTCCAAATTGTTTATTTGGTCACATTTTGATCACTATGAATGATATTTCTGTATCTAAGGATGTTCTTGTCTCTTAAGCCATGTCGACTTTTCTGTTTTTGTTACTTTGCTGAAAGAAAATGATTGGAATTATCTTACTATTATATGTGTAAAGGAGGAAATAATTCAGACTAGAAAATATTTTGTTTATGACAGAAAATAGGGTAAATAGACTCATTTTTAAGGAATATTTATTGTCTAGACTTAGATCAGTTTTTACCTTCCACATCATTTCATTGTACCTTTTAGAATATATATACTGTGATGCCTTAATAAAATTGTTTCAATACTAGCTAGGATACATTAAATGTAATTAAAGGCCATATAAATTCAAGCAAATTATGATCAAGGTAAGCCATCTTTATAAGTCAATGATGCTATTTGCCTGATAATCAATTATTTTTACTTTGCCTTATTTTAAAGGGAATTGGTAACAAAACAGAAATAAGTGTCAGGGGGCAAGACAGGCTTATAATTTCTTCACCAAACCAGAGAAATGAAAAACCAACACAGAATATATCATCTCCTGAAGCAACATCTGGTCTAACAGGTGGGTATAAATGAGTAGTATATAGATTCACTTTGAGAAGTCTCTTTTCTGCAATAACATGGTAGCTCTGTTCCTAAGAAACTTCTGTTATCAAAAGTAAATTACAGGCCAGGCGCCGTGGCACACACTTATAATCCCAGCAGTTTGGGAGGCTGAGGCAGGAGGATCATGAGTTCAAAGCCAGCTTCAGCAAAAAGCAAGACACTAAGCAACTCAGTGAGACCCTGTCTCTAAATAAAATACAAAAAAAGGGATGGGGATGTGGCTCAGTGATCGATTTTGCCTCTGAGTACAATCTCCAGTACCCAAAAATAACAACAAAAAGTTGAATTTTAAAAGCAACTGTTTCATTAGGAAAGAATGGGTTGGAAGCTAGAGAGCTTTATCCATAGTAACAGTTATTTTTTTCCTACAGGAGTTTAAATAATGGGTTGGTTCTATTAACCTATAGCAATAAAATCTTAATATGTATGAGTAAATGCACCATTTGATTCTCTTTCCATGAGAATAAAAGTTTTATATTTCTAGTACTTTTAGCATATTCTTACCATTTCTTCCTTTATCCTCTGTTAAACAATCTGCAGATGCCAGAGCATTTTTCATTATTCTTAGTTGTGCTACAGGTGCCTGGGACCTAACTGTCCTAATGTAACCTGTTCTCTAATTAACAGATACATGAAAATGAGACTCTTATACTTTCTTAAAGAAAAAATGCCTATATTTGGTAATGTTGTGTCTTTTTTTTTTTTTTTTGTAGTGCTGGGACTTGAACCCAGGGGTGCTCTACCATTGAATCACAAACCCAGCCCTTTTCATTTTGAGACAGGGCCTTGCTAAGTTGCCCAGGCTGGCCTCAAACTTATGATGTCCTGCCTCAGCCTCCAAGTTGCTGGGATTACAGGTGTACACCACCATAAAGTAATTTTTTAAGGAGACTGACTTACTAAGGTTCTGAAGAGTTTTAACTGACTGGTGGTTTGGTTTTTAAAATAGTTTTTTATCAGTAGTATTTCTGTAATACTGCTTCACATAACCATCAAGAAAACAGTTAAGTATTAATTGGCTTGGTATTTGAAATCTTAAAGAGACTTTGTTTTACTTTGTTCTTTTATTTTTTATTTTATTTATTTATTTATGTTTTTGCAATCAATGAAGGGACTGTATAACAGGAAAGAACAAAAATGATAAACTGTTTCTGTCTTACTGTATTTTGACAACACACACTTAATTGAACTACATAGGTAGGTAGGGTTCCCCCCCCCCCATACTAATTCTCTAATACCACCTGGGTGTCCTATGATTCAGTTCACTTCTCACACTTTCTACCTGAAGTTAGTGTCAGATCTCACAGGTTAAGGGTTCAGTCCCACAAGACTGCCTCTCCTTTAGATTTCTCCAGAATTTCTGATTGACCAGCTATACATTGAGGTTCTCATAATACCCTTCTGTGGTCCAGTCATTTGCTAGAGTGACTCACAGAACTCAGGAAGGTACTTACGTTTACACATTTATTTTAAAGAGTATTACAAAAAGTACAGCAGTATAGGAGAGATGTATAGGGCAAAGTATGTGTAAAGGGTTATGGAACTTCCATGTAGTTTCTGGGATCACCACTCTACCAGGCACCTCCATTTGTTCCTGAGCCCAAAGTTCTTCAGACCCTATGGTTCCAGGGTTTTATGGGAGCTTCATCACATAGACACAATCAGTTATTAACTCCATATTCAGCCTATCTCCTCTTCTTGGAGGATGGGGAAAAACTTTTCATCATGGCTTTGTCTTTCTGGTGACCAGCCTCTTCCTAAGTGTCCACCAAGAATTGCATTATTAGAACAGAAGACACATGGCCATCTAGAAAAATCCCAAGAGATTGGGAGCTCTGTGTGGGAAACTGGGGTCAAAGATCAAATATTAAAACAAAAGATGCACCTAGAATTCCTGTTATGGGGAATTACAAGAAATTTAAGGAGCTTTGGGCCAGGAACCAAGAGGCAGAGACTAAATACATACATTTTATTATATCATAATATATATTGTATTGATCACAGTGTTATAGTAATCAAATAATATTCTAGAAGGGTCAGAGTCCTAAGACCTGAAGTAATATTCTTTAATCGGTAGTAACTCAGGCAAACCTGTGATGGAGAGGCATGAAGTTACAAATATTTTTGCAAGGAAATTTAAGTAAAATTCTGATTTATAAAAGCTAAATGAAGGAGCTGGATTTGTGGCTCAGTAGTGGAGTGCTTGCCTGACACATGTGAGGCACTGGGTTCAGTCCTCAGCACCACATAAAAATAAAGGTGTTATGTCCATTTACAACTAAAAAATATATTTAAAAAAAAAAAGCTAAATGAAAACAATCACTGTTCAGAAAAGTATTTGAGTCAGCTTCCTAAAAACAAGTGATGGGGGCTGCAGGATAGGGAGAGGTAGTGTAGTGGACATGGAACACATACATTGGATGAAGCATATTAAACAGTATGCCTTCATGCAATATCTAGTTGGGAAAGGAAACTGAATTTTAAAAAGGAGGGAGTAGCAAGTTTCAGAAAATGGATGGTAACTTGTGTAATTTCAAAATACATAAAACAAAAAATACCATTTAATAAAATGAAATTGTAATGTTGAAGGAATGAGAAAATAGACTTATATTTTGCGTTAATTAGTCATAATTAGAAATGTTTGCTTTCCTCTTTCTCCGGTGTATTGTAAATTATATAATATGTCCATATTATATTTAATTTGTGTATATGTATGTGTGTGTGCAGTTTTGGGGAATGACTCAGGGCCTTGCACATAAAGTGCTAGTAGGTAAGCATTTTACCACTGAGTTTTGTCCCCCGCCCTCTTCTTTCAATATATTTTTTAATATTTATTTTTTAGTTGTAGTTGGATACAATATCGTTAATTAATTAATTTATTTTTATGTGGTGCTGAGGATCAAACCCAGGGCCTTGACCGTGTTAGGCGAGCATTCTACCACTGAGCCACAACCCTTGCCCCCTCTTCTTTCAATATTAAACATACTTTTTAGCCTCAACTTTTCATAATTAGGCATATCAGTTTTTTTCTGTTGCTTTAAACTATTGTTGTCTGAATTTAAGCGTGATACTTGAAGGACCTTAATATTTAAAGTCCTAACTAAGGAGAAAGTAAATTATACTCTTATTTTACTGGAGTATATTTTTTCCCTTTCCCTCTGCTATGGAACATTTTATTTTTATGTAATTTTTCACTGTAAGATTTAAACTTTATGAATTCTCATTTTCCTTTTTTTGTTTAAGTAGAAGGTATAATTCTTTACATCTGGAAAAAGTGGACTTAGTACCTTCCTTAGGCAGGTGCATATAATTTAGGTTGTAAATTAAGATTGGACCTTACTTTAGGAATGGGTTCTCTAAAGTTTGGTCTGGATTTCAGTTTGATTACCATCTGTGATTGAAAAGCATACTTTTGTCTTTTTAAATGGCCATTTTGCATTTTTGTGAAAATAACTTTTAGTAGTGGAAAAGTCAGAAAAGAGACGTGTTTTCCCTTCAGAAATCAGTTGCCTTGTCTCAGCTGATGTTAACAGTTGAAGAAGCATTTCTGAGCTTTTTCTTAGTAAACATAGGGAATATATCAAATATATGGCACTGCTACGTTTTTGTAGTTTGAAGAATTATAATTTCATTTACACTAAGTTTCTGAGCTGTTTTCCAGATCCCAAGATGCTCACCTTTTTTTTCTTGGAAAATGAAAATAGTACTTGTTTTCTGTTTCCAGAGTAATTCAAAGAAGTCATGTTGCCTACCCCTCTGTAAGGCAGTAGATAAAATCTCAACTGCACTTCATTGTGCAATTATAGTGTCATCCTCAGAACAAGTACAGGTTTTTGCTTGCTTTTTAAAAATTATTTATTTATTTTTGTAGTTGTAGATGGACAGAATGCCTTTATTTTATTTGTTTGTTTTTATGTGGTGCTGAGGATTGAACCCAGTGCCTCACACATGCTAGGTAAACTCTCTACCACTGAACTACAGCCCCAGCTCTTTTGTTTGCTTTTAAGCAGTTTCATTTTCATTTTTGTCTGCCTTAGTAGTACTTGAATATTGGTGATTATACTGAAGAATGGGTTTCTGGTATACTCCTCCGGTGGGTCTATGAGAATAGGAGTTGTCTTGGTAAACATTTTCATCAGTGTAAGAATAGTGAGAGTAAAGGAAGAAGCCAACACCTTTGTGACTTCTCTGCTAAAAAGTAACCAGACTCCAAAATACACTAATATAAAACTACCTACTCCTCAGCAAAAACAAATTGGTGGGGTCTTTCTTTGTTTTGGTTTTGAACTAAGGTGAAGGAAGCCATTTACATATGTCTTAGAGCAGTTAAGTTAGAAAATGTAAAGGTTACCTGGAAAGCTCTGTCAAAGTAGCTTCCATCTGATTTTTTTTCCTTTCTTTTTTTTTTATTGGATTTTTTTTATATGACAGAATGCATTACAATTCATATTATACATATAGAGCACATTTTTTCTTATTTCGGCTTGTATATAAAGTATATTCACACCAATTTGTGTCTTCATACATGTACTTTGGATAATGGTGTTATCACATTCCACCCCTCTGCCCTATCTATAGAGTTCATCTCTTTCTCCCATGCTCTTTCTCCCTACTCCACTATGATTCAGCCTCCTTATATCAGAGAAAACATTCAGCATTTGTTTTTTGGGGATTGACTAACTTCACTTAGCATTATCGTCTCCAACGCCATCCGTTTACCTGAAAATACCATGGTTTTATTCTTTTTTTAATGCTGAGTAATATTCCATTGTGTATATATGCCACTTTTTTTTTATCCATTCATTTACCGAAGGGCATCTAGGTTGGTTCCACAGTTTAGCTGTTGTGAATTGTGCTGCTATAAACATTGATGTGGCTGTGTCCCTATAGTATGCTGTTTTTAAGTCCTTTGGGTATAGACCGAGGACAGGGATAGCTGGGTCAAATGGTGGTTCCATTCCCAGTTTTCCAAGGAATCTCCATACGCTTCCCATATTGTCTGGCTTCCATCTGATTTTATAGGAGTTCTTAATATTTTCTTCCTGAGGCAAGCAGAAGGAAGGACCAGTCAGGTGGTCCAAGTAGTGAAGAATAGCTGCTGTACTGAGGGTCACAGAACAAAAATCATCCCTGACTTAGTGTTCTTTCAGTTGTGGTCTTCAGTGTAACTTATTCTTTCCAAAAATAAAGTCCATGTGAGTTTTTAAAATACTGTATTGTTTGAAAATCTTAGTTCTTGTTTTATCATTTATTATTAAAAAGCTTAATAATTCATTTCAAGTTGCTTTCCATTACTGATATTTCTAAGGTATTATTAAAGTCCCTTGATAGTAAAATCAGTGGTTTGGTTTTGGTCACATTTTGGTGCCTTCCCTGATTTCTCACTATGATTATTAATAACGATAGCAAAACTTAGGTAAGTACACTAAACACTTAACTATTTTACCTATAAAATTGATTCAGTCTACTTGTTAGGATACAAAATGTGTACTACTGATTGAATTGGGGGTGGGTGATTACCAGGGATTTACCACTGAGCTATCTTCCTAGCCCTTTTTGAGATAGGGTCTCACTAAGTTGCTTAGGGCCTCAGTCATTTGCTGAGGCTGTCCTCAAATTTGCCGTCCTTTTACCATAACCTTCAAATTACTGGGATTATAGGCATGCACCACTGTACTGGACCAGATTATATTTTAAACCAATAATTCCTGGTTTAAACAGGATAATAAAGTCATTTTTAACCTGTATCTTTAGTCCTTTCATCTCCTCAATTATATTTATTTACACTTTATATTTATTATATTTATAAGCATTTTTACCTGCCCTCAAAACTAAATTGTGCTTCTGCTGTTTTGGTTTGACTTTATAATTTTAAAAAATCCAGTCCCCCCCCCCCTTTTTTTTAAGAGAGAGAGAGAGAGAGAAATTTTTTAATATTTATTTTTTAGTATTCAGCGGACACAACATCTTTGTATGTGGTGCTGAGGATCGAACCCGGGCCACACGCATGCCAGGCGAGCGCGCTACCACTTGAGCCACATCTCCAGCCCAAGTCCCCCTTTATTTGTATAACAAGTTTCCTTTGTGGATCCCAGTCTTGGCTTACCCACTGTTACAATTATATATATTAAATAATTTTTGTAGTCAAGTATTTAACAGCTTTTTCATGATGTATAATTACCCAAAGTAATGGGTAAGAAAAACAAAGAATCTTGTTAACTTTTAACTACACAAATATCAAGCCATCCTTAAATGAGTGTTTGTTTGTTTCTGTGTTTAAATCATCTCTTAGGCTCAGTAGAAAAGAAGCAACAGAGAAGATCAATTAGAACTCGTTCTGAATCAGAGAAATCCGCTGAGGTTGTGCCAAAGAAGAAGATCAAAAAGGAGCAGGTTGGCTTCCTACATGTAGAGAGTTAAAACATTATATTTGTAAATGTTGTGGCTTATTTCAATACTTTAAAAGAAAGAGAAACTTCCCCACCCTCTATTTCCTTTCTGGACTGTCTTACACTTCTGCCTGGTGGGGTCCAGTGCACAGTTTTAACATAACCATACCTGTGATTCTGCTTCAAGCATTTTCACAGAAAACAGTCAGGCTTCAGGAAATGGGAAGCCAGTGGTGCAAGACGTTTATAAAAATCCCTCACATTTATTTTGATATTTCTGTTATGAGCAAAATGATTTCATGTTTTCATGATTTTTATTTGGAACCATCATTGAGTTCCCTTTTTGTTATTTTTATTTTTGGTTTAAGATGCTGGTATGTATTTTTTTTAAGCAAATCAAATTAACTTATATTCTTATATTTAAGAAGCAGATAATCATAGATGATCTGGTTTTTCTGTTGATATCATAGATTTTTTGGAATATTATTTTCCCAATGGAATGACACTCACCTGGTAACATTGTCAGATAAACAATATACAGGTAAAAAGGAAGTACATTTTGACTGAATATGTTCAATTTGTGTAATCAAGCCAGTAATAATATATGTGTTAAATTACCTTCTCAAAGAGATTTTTAGAAACACTTCTCCTTTAAACTCACAATCAAAATTTTCTTAATTTTTTTGAAGAGAAAGAATGTCCTTTTTTACAGCCCAGTTCCAATAAGTTTTATAGTTTTTAAAACCATTAAATATGAAAGAGTGTGGACTTTTCTATTTAAAATATTGCCTTTATAATTTTAAACTTCCAAAATTAAAAGCTAACTTTTTGGGTGCTCTATGGTATCATAAGCATGTAAAACAAAATTTTCCAGAATATTTAACTGAAATTTAAATATAATACACTAATTTATCTTTAATTTATCATATTAACCTTCATTCTTAGGAATTATATTCCAAAAAATCATTCTAAGCTCTTGAAAATTTACCGTATTCATTAACAAAATGAAGTTGTGATTTTGCCACCTGATTCCCAAAGCCAGTCTGTGACCAGTTAGTTTAAAATTGATAAGCAGAATGAGTACAAAAAATGGGACAAATTGTTAATGCCACTGTGTCATAGTAAGTAGTAGAATAATCCCAGTGATTGTTTAGAAGATTTTATATTTGTATGACTAATTGTATCTTATAAAAAGCGTTCTGTTGTATGTTTTTTTAACCTGTTGTAAAAAAAAATAAAAATAATTTTTAAAAAGTTTAGAACAATCCTTAAATATTTACAAAATGTGTTTCAACATGCATATTTCACCACATCCTTAAAGAAACATGAAATTCAGTTCATAGCTTAAACAGGAACTCTTCCAAACAGCATCCTTTCTCTAATTCCAATGGTTCAATCCTCAAATTACCACGTGTTTTACATATACATTGGCAGAATAACTTCTGATCTCGCTCTCCTAATGTAGGTCAAGACACTGTTCATAAGACACTCAAGAAAGTGCTTTTGCAATATCACAAACTTATTTTCTTAAGTTTGTACTAGCAGCAAAAGTATTGAGCTTCCAGCTGTATGGAGCCCTGTAGCACTCTCTACAGAGAGGGTCCTGATTCCCAGCAACTTAGCTGTGAGTGCAGGCGCGGAAGGGTCTTAAAGTGGCGTGAGTTACATTAACCTGAGTATCATAGTAAGTAAAAATTTATCCTAACGTCTTTGGGGCGGGAGGGGTTTATAGCAACATCCGGGCTGGTTGCAGAAACAACCCTCTCCTGCCTCCCAGACACTGAGGAAAGTATCTTGTTCTCTTCATATACCAAGGGAATGGTGGGAAAAGACTTTGCTAGAGAGCATGTGGCTGTGTGTTGTCACTTAGTATTAAGCACAGGCAGCTAGGATTTAAATCCTCTCTGACCTTGAGACAGGGAACTTGACCCACAAGATGGGACTGAGTTCAGATTTCAGATAACATTGATCACTCTTCACTACTTAGATTGATGAAAGTGTTATTTTTTTTCCCTCTGCAAATTAAAAATCAAAAAATTCCCTGTTAATTCTGTTTTTTTCTGTCCAAACAGGTTGAAACAGTTCCTCAGGCAACAGTGAAGACTGGATTACAGAAAGGTGAGTTAATATTATAGTGTTGCTTTGCATTTCCTGATTAAACCGATTTTTAAGAATTATTTAATTTGTACTTCATGTATTTTGTCTGTCTCTGTAAATCATTGTTGTTGCTCTTCAGTGTGAAATTGCAGTATTCCCCGATGTTTGTGTGTGCGTGTGTGTGACTTTTAGAGTTGATCTTATTCTGTACCTCCACGTGAAAAGTCTTACTTGTTTTTGGTAAATTGGAGAACACCATCTAGCATTGATACTGTTTCCAACTTTTCTCCATAAGATTCTGGGGTTTCACTGGCTTAAAAACTAGGGATGTGACGAATCCAATTTTTTTGGTATTCGACTGAATACCGAATAGTAGCTATTAATGTTTGTCAAACATGGACTATGACAAATCAGACAAAACAACCTTATTGAAAAAAATCTTGCCACATTTATTTTTACAGTGCTGTAAAATCTTTTTGTAAATTAAAATGACCCATAGCATATTTATAGCCACTCTTAGATGACCTTATGTGAATCTATTTGAGATATGCACAAAGTTTAAGAAACCTTAAACTTATATCTGTATTTTCTGTGTGCAATTTGACTACAGTACAAACTCCATAGCATGATTCATGCGTTTTTGGTGAGCTCAAACTGTATTTAATACCTGTAGTTTACTCTGGGCAAATTGCATTATTTAAAATAAATAAATAAAATAAAACACCAGCCTCTCTGCATTCTCGGGGAGAAGTCTGCAGCGATGGTCTCCGTGGAGATCCTCAGCAGAACTGAACAGCCTCTCGGAGGGAACACTGCTTGGCGGAGCTCCAAGAAAAGACATCGCGATCGCTGCGAGATTAGGAGGCCTGATTGCGTTGTGTTTCCACCATTCCACAGGGTCGGCGGACCGGGGAGTGCAGGGCTCTGTCAGATTCAGTGACAGCTCCGTCTCCGCAGCGATTGAGGAAACTGTGGACTGAGATTCCTGTACAATTTCATCCCAGAAACTCCAGACTTGTAGTCTCCATGCAAGATTTCTTTGTCGGCGGCTCGAAAAACAGTTTCTTTGTTTTCGATTTCAATTTTGCCAATCATCATTATTGGCACTCTCCTGCCTGGTTTCTTCTTCAAGACTCTGAACAATTGCTTTAACATTCAAATGATTTTTTTGTTTTTGTTTTTGTTTTTGTTTTTTTGGTCTGAGCTGGATGGGTACAGCTTAAATCATGGGTCCAGCCTAAAAACCACCGTTTAACTTACACTGATCAATTCCAACATGGACTGTTTTTTGTTTTTTAATAAAGCATCATTAATGCACATCTGCAGGGTTTTGCCAAACAACCCAACCTGTATACATTGCAATCATTAAAAGCTCTTATTTTTTTTTAACATTAGTGCCGTTATCATGGAGAACAGCATGACAGCTGTCTTTGGCAGTCTGTCATTTTTCTAGCATTTTCAGAAACTCATCGGAAATGGCGGTACCTGTGTTTCCCTTCGAAAGCCTCTCAGTACAGCACTCCTGTTCCTCTGTTAAACTCCTTGTTAATCCAGTGATCTTTTAGGCCAAGGAAATATTTTGTGGTGGTGTTCTGGGTCCATACACCAGCAATGAAGGAGATAGATTTGTGTACTTGTGTTTTTTAATCAGCGGTAACTCGGGCAGGCACCCTCATTTATAGCTGTCAGGAAGCATTCAGTGAAAAACTTGTAGAATGGGATGTGATAACGAGGTTCCAGTAATCTGAGCAGTCTCCCGAGGCCCACATCCTTCACCACAGAACATGGCTATACACCAAGTGCTGCTCCCACTCAGCCTGTTGCGGATCTTCATGGCCTCAGGAGACTTGTCTCTCCCGGGTCTCTTCTGGACTGCACACTTCCACCATAGCTTGCTGGGCTGGTCTAGATGTCTGTTTATTGTATGGAAATTTTGGGGAAAAAATTCAAAACACAAACTGTGGGTGGAAATATTAACCGTCTCCTTGGTTCCTTGGTATTCACCGTGCCTGACCTGCACATTTCATCGTGGCTGTTTCTGTATAGCCTATACTGCATTAGCCCAAGAGATTGTTGCTTTGTAACTTTTTGCACTATTGTTTTGGCTGGATTTGTATTACACACAGTTTTAAAAAAAAAATTCCACACTATTCTCTGCCTTTTTTTTTCATATTTATTCCTTTCCGTACAAATTCCACATAGAGGCCTCTCTCATCCAGCTCTTCGTGATTTGGCTGTACTTGAACACTGATTGTCCATTTACAGCCCTCAGCAATGTGCCTCCTAAATGGCATAACATATATAGATGTGCTGCAGCACTTGTTAATAATGGTCATAATAAATGCCACTTCACCAAGGAAGTCTCAGATGAACAATTATGAACATCCAAAATCTATTTGGGGGGCAATAATCAACTGAATGGCAAAATTCAGGGGAAAATGGCACTATCCGTGTACGAATCGAATACAAATCAAAGATTTGTCACATCCCTAATAAAAACAAGATGGAGATGTCTCTGCGACCATATTTGTAAGCTACACAATGTGTTGGGTTTTATGTCTTTCCCCCTCCAAATTGAATGGTTCTTTGAATTGCTCCAAATCAAACAGCTGTCCTGCAGTTTTGATAGAATTGAATTTCAGGTTGAAATTTAGGCTCTGTTGATTGAAAATAGTGTTAGAGCAGGAGAGCTGATTTAAATGTTTTAAGAGAGCGGTTGTAAATTAAATCACTACCAGGAAGGTCAGAAGCTTATGAAGTTTTGATTTGTGACTTCAGTGTTACAAAGAGAGCTGTGCTTTTTTTTTTTTTCCTTCCCACACTAAAGATGAGTTTGGGGAAAGAAAATATTCTCCCACAAAAAAATTAAAGCAAACTTTAAGTGCTGTTTTAGGATTAATTTCGGTGTGTTGTATTAAGGTGCCAGCGAGATTTCAGATTCCTGTAAACCTCTAAAGAAAAGGAGTCGCGCCTCAACTGATGTAGAAGTGACTAGTTCTGCATACAGAGACACATCTGACTCCGATTCTAGAGGACTGAGTGATCTGCAGGTAAATATGCTCAAGGCTCTGGGCAAAAAGTTCTTTCTTACTTTGCCAACCAAAGTAACAGTGCTTTTGCTTGACTTATTTAGGGAAATTGGGGAATTTTAAAAGCACTCGGGGAAAAAAAAATCAATTTGGTTATTTTGTAATTTGTAAATGTCTTAATTTTGCTGATCTCTTATGTAACAGAAACAGTTTGCTTTTTAATTTTAAATTCAGTTTCTTCCAAAACAACAGACATACTGTACATGTGGGGTTTAGAAAGTTTAGAAAAGAAAAGAGATTGTGTCAGGATCTCTTTTAGCAGTTCTTAATAGGATTTTCATTGCATCTAACTTCAAGAGAAATTTTTGTTTTGTTTCTCTTAAAAATGTGTTATGTTTTCCATATAGGTAGGCTTTGGAAAACAAGTAGATAGCCCTTCAGCTACTGCAGATGCAGATGTTTCTGATGTGCAGTCCATGGATTCAAGTTTGTCTAGAAGAGGCGTTGGAACGAGTAAGAAGGACATTGTGTGTCAGGTAGGCAGGTGACTGATCCTTTGGCTCTAAACAGTTGTGCTCATATTCTGCCAGTAACATACTTAATCTCCTATAGAGACGGCAGGCATTGTGTTTCCAAATTATAATATTACTTTAAAGCTTCAGATCCAAAATCTGTTTCTGGCCCTTTTCTTCCCTGATTTGGAATACTTACCATTCACATTCAAGTGTCAATCTTCATTGTGATGTTAATTAGAAATAAATGACAGATGACTGGTTTCAAAAACATTTTCTTAAATTTGAGTTCATATCATCTATTTGGGGGAGGGGCGTTTACTGGGGATTGAATGTAGGGGCACATAACCACTGAGCCACATCCCCAGCATTTTTTACTTTTTTATTTGTTTGAGATGTGGTCTCACCAAATTACTTAGAGCCTTGCTAAGGCTGGCTTTAAACTTGGGATTCTCCTGCCTCAGCCTCCCAAGATGCTGGGATTACAGGCATGTGCCACTGTACCTGGCTTCATATTAACTTTTTAAAAAAATATTTTATTAGTTATTGATGGTCTTTACTTATTTATTGTTTTATATGTAGTGATGAGAATCGAACCAGTGCCTCACACGTGCTAGGCAAGTGCTCTACCACTGATCTACAATACCAGCCCCATATTAACTTTTTAAATACATTTTTACCCTTTATGAAAAATACTGTTTTGTCCTATGTCAAAAGTACACAGATCCCAAAGGAAGAATCATAACAAATCAATTATGACTTTTAAACTTTATACCAAATTGAGTCTAGAAGTAGAAGTAGCTGTTTAGTTCAGTGTTTGAAAGCAAATTCTTGGGCCTCACCCTAAGATACAAAATCAGAATCTTTGGGGGAGAGAGAGAGAGAGGAACCCAGTGATCTGGGTTTAACAAGCCCTCTGGTTGATTCACATGTCTGCTAAAGTTTAAGAACACTACTTTTTGCCTTACTGCAGATCTGTGAAAGCTCTGGTGACTCTCTGATTCCTTGTGAAGGAGATTGCTACAGACATTTTCACCTAGAGTGCCTGGGATTGACATCAATCCCTGATGGAAAGTTCATCTGCATGGAATGTAAAACTGGTAAGTTTATATGAAAAGATGGTTGGGGAGGAATATGCAGTGGCAACAACTCCCATGACATCCTTTTCTCTTGTCACTTTTATCTGGCTCCCTTCCTCCCCTCCCATAATAATTTAACAAATTAAGACGCCATTCAGTGATTAAGATCCCCAATATCAAAAGAATAATGAAACTTCCTCCTATCATAACTTGTATCAAAATATCAAGCTGAATTTGTGTTTAATCTGATGAGTTATACAATTGAGTTATTTTTCAGATGGATTGGATGTTTTTGGTGTTTGCTCAATAAATTGGGCTATAGTCCTTTCACCTTATTAGATCAGAATAAGTGTCAACCAAAACCATAACCATGATAATTGTATTTTTAGTGAAAAAATGGAGCTGTCAGAAATTTTTTTTAAATTTGGAATTCACCGTTTATTTCTTATGTCTATACATACTTGTTAGAATAACATGAAAGAAATATGCTAGTTTATATTTCTTTTTTTTTTAAGAGAGAGGGGGGAGAGAGAGAGAGAGAGGGAATTTTTTAATATTTATTTTTTAGTTTTCGACGGACACAACATCTTTGTTTGTATGTGGTGCTGAGGATCGAACCCAGGCTGCACGCATGCCAGGCGAGCACGCTACCGCTTGAGCCACATCCCCAGCCCTATATTTCTTTTCTATGTAGCCATTATTTTTAAACTAACAGAAATCAGGAAGTAAATGTTTAATAAGTAACAAGTGAAAAAACTGGATCCAGGCACAGTGGCGCACACCTGTATACCAGCTACTCAGGAGACTGAGCAAAGCTGGAGAAGTAGCTATAGCTCAGTGATAGAATGCTTGCTTGGCTTGTACATGTTTCTGGATTCAAACCCCAATATAAGGAAGGAAGGAAGGGAGGGAGGGAGGGAAGGGAAGGGAAGGGAAGGATTACTGAAGATAGCATGATAGTGCTTCTAGGAATTGAGTTTATGTGGTCTTTTTGTTTGTGTTTGGTTTTGGTTTGTTTTAACTATGAGGAACTAAGAGCCAATTATATATCAACTACATGTGATATGCTGATCTTTCCTTTGACTCTATTAATAATTTTCCTACACTCCTTTCCCCCCTTTATCTGGATAATCACAGATGTTTTCCTTTTTCATTTGAATGTATGCTTCTAAAATTCTTTAGACAAAAAGTTGGTCTTTTTTTTAGTGAACTCTTACTAAATGCTAGGTGCATTTTATCTTTCTCTGTCAGTTGATCCTTGTAATATTATGAAATGAGTACTATTATTATTTCCATTTTGTAGAAAAGGGAAAATGAGGGTTAGAGAGTTCATTACCTTGCCCAAAGTTACAAAGGTAGCATATGATGAAGCTCGAATATAAACCTAGGCAGTTTGACTCCAGAGTTCTTGCTCTTTTCCATTGCCTTCTGTTGCCTTGGCTAAGTAGAAAGTACATTGCAAGTCATATATCCTAACACACATACTTACATATATACACACATTATGTTAGTCTTCTGTCACAGTGACAGAGATACCTAACAAGAACAACCTAGAAGAGGAAACATTTAATTTGGGATCATGGTTTCACAGGTCTCAGTCCTGGTCAGCCAACTCCATTGCTCTGGGCCAGAGGTGAGGCAGCACATCATGGCAGAAGGGTGCAACAGAGGAAAGCTACTTAGCTCATGACAGCCAGAAAGCAGAAAGAGAGCAAGGCACCAGAGACAAAATATAAACCAAAGCTTGCCCCCCCCAGTGATCTACTTCCTCCAGCCCTGCTCTCCTTGCCTACAGTTACCACCCCATTAGTCAATTCAAATTATTAATCTGTTTTAATACACTGATTTGGTTATAGCTCTCATAATCTAATCATTTCACCTCTGAACATTCCTGCATTAACATAGGAGCTTTTGGGGGACATCTCATATACAAACCATAACAAACATACATATAAATTAAACTCCAGAAGCCATAGAAACTTCATATTTTTCTCTGTATAAAATATTTAGTTCATCACATTTAGATATAGTAAAACTTCAGAACAAGTTTCCAACTGGCAGCCTTGGGGTTAAATTATGTTCACATTGTTTTGTTTGGCCTTCAGAATGTGTTTTCATTTGGAGGCTTGTACTTCTAGTTCCCCAAATTCCACACAATTCTCTTTTTCTAAAACCTGGTTACTCCAGTCATTGTTGTAACCTTCCTGACCCCTTAAGTGTTTAAGTATGCAAATCCTGATTTGAACTACAATAGAAAGGACCACATAACTCATGTTAAAATACTCATAGGACTTCTCTCCATAGTTTAAAATCTAATAGAATTCTGCCAACAAATTGTATGTAACCAGAAGATTGAAAAGTTATACTCCTATTTATGTATGATATGTCAGAATGAATTCTACTGTAACTAATTAGAAGCAAAAAAAAAAGCAATGGGGGTGAAAAAGGTCATATATAAATTGGCTGTGGTGGTGCAGGACCTTAACTACTCCTCAGGTCAGGGCATGAGGATTCCAAGTTTAAGGCAGTCTCAGCAACTTAGCAAGACACTGCCTCAAAATAAAATTTAAAAATGGACAGGGGATGTGGCTCAGTTTTGAGCACATGCCTAGCATGGGGCAAGGCCCTGGGTTCATTCCCCGGTACCACACATACACACACACACACACACACAAAAAGTTAAATATGATCTAATTTGGCACATACTTATCTTGAAATTTAAGAGAAATTTTGCTTTAAAAACAAGAAGAGGGCTACTGTCACATGGTGTGTGCTGTTTTCTTATTACATGCCTGCCACCCAGGCTACTCTGTTTCTGTCGATTCTTTGGATGCCTGTGTTGTTGCCTGTGGCCTCCCACCTTCTGTTGCTACCCCAAGCACTCCTGTCCACGGCCTTGGGAAGCCCCCATCCCAGCCCACACCAGCCTTGAGCTCTAGCTATGTTCCAGGATAGGTTTCTGCAGCCTTTGTCACTTGCCCCAATGAAAAGGTCACCAAGGAGATTGCCAGAGCCATGGTGGAGAAGCAGCTAGCAGCTTGCATCAACCTCATCCCTCAGATTATATCCATCTATGAGTGGACGGGAAACATCGAAGATGACAGTGAGTTACTGATGATGATTAAAACCCAAAGTTCCTTGATCCCAGCCTTGACAGATTTTGTTCATTCTGTGCATCCTTATGAAGTGGCTGAGGTGATTTCCTTGCCCATGGAGCAGGGGAACTCCCCCTACCTTCACTGAGTGCGCCAGGTCAGAGAGTCAGTTTCTGTCTCCAGCACAGTCCTACCAATGATGAGCCCTGTTCCTGTCATGATCCTTTCATTAAAAAAAAAAAAAAAAAAACCAGCTCTCTGACTTTCAGGTGATGACTGCACCCCCAATAAATACTGTCTGGTTCTTGTTTGTTGGTATCAGGAATTGAAACCAGGAAGCTCAAACTTGAGATCCTCCTATTTCAGCCTCCCAAGTCACATGCACCACTGCAACTGGCTATTTAGAGTATTTTATGCATTAGGCAAAGCTGTAAAGTTAAACCTCCTGCCCTTAAAATACTTTTTTTTTTAATTTTTAAGACTTCTAAAGTTACTTTTTTTTCTTTTTTCTAATGTGTGTGTATATGTGTGGTGCTGGGGATAGAATCCAGGGCTTTATACATGCTATACAAGTGCTGTACCACTGAGCCATACCCCCAGCCCTAAAAGTCATTTTTTAAAAATACTATTACCTTCAAAAATATATACCTGTTAAAATGTAATTTGAAGTTACATATATGCAACAGGACAGCAATAAGAAAAGAAAAACACTGTACTTTATTTCTACAACAAAGACAGTAAAAAAAATGTGAATATCACATTTGTAAGTACTGATTTTAAAAAAGTTTTATAATTCAGATAATTGTAAAGATAAGGCACTTGCAAAACCAAAGAACAATGTTGCAATTCAGCTAATCCTCTGGGGAAAAAAGGCAAAACTATTCCTTGTAGTTTTCCCTTCTAGTTTTTATAAGCATTGAAGGAAAATGGGCTAAAGACGAACGAACACTTCCCAAAAGATGATGTCCAGATGTTCAATAAACATTTAAGAAGTTTGTTACTGTAATTTTCAGTTCTTTGTTTATAACTAAGCATTTTTTTCCTATATCTTTATTCACTCTTCTGTGACTTTTTTGTTCATGTCTCTTGTCCATTTTTGTCTTACAGTGTTATACTTAGTATTTTATCTTCATTTCCAATTATACGAGTAATATATGAACATATTGTATGAAAAGTTGTACTGTCTAGTTGATTTCTACCATGGTCATTTTGTTTTGGTGCTGGGGTTTAAACTCAGCACCTAGTGCATGCTAAGCACAGAATCTACTACTGAGCTACACCCAGGCCTTGATCACCACTCTTAATTTTAGGCCCCTGCTTTTTTCCATCTCTTGCCAGATCCAACTAGTGTTGTCACTTTGTAACCCTGCAATGTTTTTATGTTTATGTGTGTGTGCTTAACGTTTATGCACATATGTTCAATAAAAACATATCATACTGTTGTTCTGCAGGAACTCTTTCTATAATAAATACAGTTGCATTCTATTTGATTGCTGATAGTATTCCATAGTATGCATATAGGATAGTACTTATTAAGAAGTAGAATTTCTAGGGCACTGGAAGTGAATGTTCTTTTATTTTAATGGCTATTGCCCAGTTGCCTTCTAAGGTAGTTCTTTACAACTTAAATTTCTACTATCAGAATATAAGAGTGCCTGTTTGCTCACACCTGTATCAATAATTGGTATTATTTCGGGGATGGGGGCTGGTGTTGTGGTTCAGCGGTAGAACACTCGCCTAGCAAGTGTGAGGCCCTGGATTCGATCCTCAGCACCACATAAAAATAAGTAAAGGTATTGTGTCCAACTACAATGAAAAAATAAATATTTTTAAAAATTGGTATTATATAACCATTTTAGGGTTTTTTTTTTTCTTATTTCATAACTGGTTTCAGTTAGCATTTATCTGATTACTACTGAAGTTGAGCATTTTTAATGTTTTTGGCTCTTTTTCTTTCCACTGTTTGTAAATTGCCTATTTATACTCTACCCACTTTTATTTAGGCTGCTTTTGTTTCTGTTTTGATTTATGGTTCTTCATAAGTCTTTTTCAGTTATCTTTGCTAATGTATGTTGCATATATTTTCTCCATAGGGTGGGTAAACTCTTTATGGAACAAAACATAATCCTGAGCCATTTTGGTTGCATATTTTTCCACATCTGTTTTCTTGTATGTGTTCCTTTTTTTCTATTCCATTTCTATCATAATTGGCATTATTCTTCCTTTAAATGTTTGGCACATCCACCGGTGGAGCCATCTGGACCTAAAATTTTCTTTGTTGGAAGGTATTTAATTACAGTTTCAATTTCTTTTAATAGTTCATAAAACTATTCATATTTTCTATTTATTTTGTGCCAGTGCTAGTAAGTTCTGTTTTTCTAGGAATTGGTCTGTTCATCTAACCAATTATTATTAGCAAAAATGTAGTGAAATCCTTTTAATATTTTTAATGTTTGTAGGATTTGTAGTGATGTTCCATTTTTTATTTCTGATATCACTTAACATTAGTGCTTTTTCTCATTTTTTATTACTCATATCAGGGATATTTGTTTTAATTTTCTCAAAGAGCCATGTTTTATTAATCCTCCTCAGTGAACTTGGATTTTACTGGATTCTTAATCATTTTACTGGGTATAGAATTCTGGCTTGGTAATTATTTTCTTTCAGCTTTTTGAAGATAGCATTCTGTTGTTTTCTGGCTTCCATTATTCTCTTTCAGAGTTAGCTCACTTTGAAAGTAATTGTCTTTTCTGTGAGTAATTTTAACTTTTTTTGTACTTGATTTTCTACAGGTTAAATAAGATATGCTTAGCTGTAATTTTCTGCCTTTTTTATTCAGAGTATGAGTTTTCATTTTGTGTCTGTTTTGCATACATAAATTGTCCATGGTTATGAAATGGAATTGCTCTATTATTTGGTAATGGCTTTTGTTCATTTTGTGTGGCAAAGACCCTGCCACTCTCTGCTCTCAGATATTTAAAAAAAATTCTATTTGGGTTTTTTTATGAAATTAGTTTTGGAGATCTAAATTGTTTTTAGTGTTGTATCTCCAAAGTGATTATTAATTATCCCAGCAGAACTTATGAAATTCTTTTAATTTAGCCATTTATTTTAAATACTTCTTTTTATATGTTAATTTCTTATATGTAATAGTAGATCTTCTTCTAGAAACACCTATTTGATTTCTGTTGCTGCTTCTATCTGAAAGGAATATGCTTTAATTATATTTTATTTAATCTGTATTCTTCATCAATCTTTCAGGGCAACACCCATGTTTTTCATGTAAGGTGTCTGGTAAAGATGTGAAACGTTGTTCTGTTGGTACTTGTGGGAAGTTTTATCATGAAGCCTGTGTCCGCAAATTCCCCACTGCCATCTTTGAATCAAAAGGATTCCGCTGCCCCCAGCACTGCTGCTCTGCCTGCTCTATGGAGAAAGATATCCACAAAGCGAGTAAAGGTAACACTACTGAAGAAGGACACAACAATTTTTTTATTTAAAGTGCAGTGGCAAATAATCTATTAAGCACATTAACAAACAACATTGAGTATTGTCCCTGTGTGTATCTCTAGGCATAAAAACTCAACCCAATCAGCCAGGCGCCGTGGTGCCCACCTGTAATCCTAGTAGCTCAGGAGGCTAAGGCAGAGAAGGATCATGAGTTCAAAGCTAGCCTCAGCAACTTAGTGAGGCTCTAAGGGCTGGGGATGTGGCTCAGTGGTTAAGGACCCCTGAGTTCAATCCACAGTACCCCCCCAACCAAAAAAAAAAAAAAAAAACCTCAACACAATCAGCAACATGTTAAATGGAAATAAAATTGCCAATTCAGACCATGAGAAGAAAATTCCATATGTTCAAAACTACCCTGAAAATCCCTTATACAAGTGCCAGATTGCATATCACCATCTTTCCAACATTAGAACTAATTTTTTTTTCTTTGAACACTTCTTTTATGATGATTAGGCTTGTATTTAAGGGCCATATAGCATAGGAATGAGAGAGCAAGCCTAGTGAAGGAAAATATTTACAATTCCAATCACTGGTGTCATGTGGGAACCCAAACAGCCTAATTACAAAAGTCTCATTTCATATCCAGCCAATGCTTTGTTGTACAGATTCTTTGTTGACCTGTCTTTAAACAGGACGCATGATGAGATGTTTGAGATGTCCAGTTGCCTATCACTCTGGAGATGCTTGCATTGCTGCTGGAAGCATATTTGTATCCTCCTACATTCTCATCTGTAGTAATCATTCCAAACGGAGCAGTAATTCTTCTTCTGCTGTAAATGTAGGCTTTTGTTTCGTTTGTGCCAGAGGTGAGTGTCAGTCCTTTCTCTTTATTTATTTTTAATCTGTTGGCATATTTCTCCATTAAAATGGGTCTCAGCATTGGGAGAAAACTCAGGCCACCTAGTACAATCTCCTCCCAGTTCCAAATTCCATTTTATTATGTCCCTGAGAGAGATGAACATTCTAGCAACTAAGTCCCTTTTACAGTGTTAGACATCCAAATTGTTAAGAGTATGAATTCTTCAATAAGCCAAAATCTGCATTTGAGAAAATATCTTAGAAGTACAGATAAATTCTTAGTTTTTTATTTGGTTAACATTTCTATTAATCAAAAGATTAATCTGTTCCCTTCCACAAATAAATTTTCTATTCCAAGTAAATACATCCCATGTCATCTTCTTCGATCCAGACTTTTAACTGATTGAGACTTCACTTGGAAGGCAAAACTAGCACATTTATTTTTTGATTGTTTATGTTGTATTTTATAATGTTTTGGTCTGGCATTGAGAAGGCCTGATGGGACACAGCCAAGACAACATATGTGGTGGCTTAGTTAAGAGCCAGCAATGCAAGCTTTCTCATTTGCCAGCTGTTGATACTTAAGTATGCCAAAAGATTGATCAATTGAAACAATATTGTGTCCTGAGGGTTGGGAGGTTGGTCAGTGAACTTGAGTTCTCCTGGAACACATAAAATAGAACTTCTTTAGTTTGGCTGTAATATGCAGTATCCAGCTTTGTATGATAAGGAAACTTCTTGTTTGTAATTAGTAAACATTATAGCCCCCAATACTGGTTTTGTTGTATTTTTAATATAAGTGCTAAGTATTCTGAACGTCCCTCTGTGTGAAATATTTGAAAGGACACTAAGGTAAATCAGTACTGTTTGATTATGTACTATATTAAAAATGAAAGCATATTTTTGTTTTTGTTTTAAGGAGAGTTAATTTGGTGACAATGCTATATAAATATTTTTAAAGTAGGATTTAGATTGCATAACAGATCTTAGGTTGTCTTGATTTTGTTTCTTTTATTTAAAAAATATAACTTAGAGTAAATAGGTAGACAGTGAAAGATTAACTAAATGGTGGTCCTTTGTGTAGTAGCCAGCTGGGTTAGTGGTACATATGGCTGGCTAGCTGCCATTGGAGTAGAAACATTGTTTTTCTTTACTATTTACTAGCCAGTTAAACTATGTCCTGCTCTAAAACCTGGCTGCTACATGGAGGAGGAGGGCTAAGATTGTTTCATGCCACATTGTAACAGGTGACAGAAAGGATTCAAGTAGGCAAATAAAAAATTGAAAACCGTCATTAATGCCTTTCTCATTTTCATTCCTCCCCAAAGAACATAAAGATAGGAAAGAATTATTGAATTATCAGTTGAGTGCCTAGCTGTAAAGACTTTCAGATGAGTGGCAGTGACAACATAGTCTCTTTTTTTTAAAACATAGTCTCTTCTTAATTTTCAAACCTTTTCTATTTTACCATTCTAAGGTGCTCTTACTGGCAATGAATAAGGAAATATAATTTAGCCAACATTTTAAGCCTCAAGTTTATAACTATTATAAACTTGCTTACTTTGGGGTGTATTCTGAATCCAATGCCATCAGTATATTCAACAATATTTTCTTTTGCTGTTTCATTCAATAATTGGGAAATCTTTTAAACAGGTATTTTTAATTTAGGATAGATAGAAAATGGTCCACTTATAAAAACTCTAGCCATTGTATTAAATTTAACATATACTTTGATCAAAAGCTTGAGACAAATGTAGATGAGGGCAAAAACCATATGTTAAGAACAAAATCTGGGGCTGGGGTTGTGGCTCAGCAGTAGAGCACTTAACGATCACGTGCGAGGTCCTGGGTTCGATCCTTAGCACCACATAAAAATAAATAAATAAAATAAAGGTATTATGTCCAACTGCAACTAAAAAATAAATATTAAAAAATAAAGAACAAAATCTGTATTTATATCTTATCAATTTGGCAAATATTCTGATTTACTATATTTAAATGCCTATTTAAGAAAGGTTATTTAGTTCTCGATATTTTAACTTTTGAAACTTTGTGTAATCAACAGAAATCATCTTCATTTTCCTTTCCAGCACTTAGCAAAATTTTATTTTAAATATGTTAGTTATTGGGGTTGGAGAATGCTTAAAAGTCTTTCAGAAGTAAATAATATGTGTTCTTTTATAAGTATTGATTATTAGAAAGGTCACCCTTTTAAGAGACCTTTTATAAGATCATACACAAAAAGATACATTTTAATCATTTATATTTGGTATTAGAAAACTTAGCTTATTTTGCTTCTTTCCTCATACAGAATTAGAATTCTTCACTCCTCATAAAGGATTTTTTTTTTTTTTAAGTTCTTGGCTATTGGGTATATAAAGTCACTATTTTAATTGTTGTTGTTTGGTTTGGTTTGGTTTGGTACTGGAGATTGAACCCAGGGGTGCTTAACCACTGAGCTACATTCCCAGCCATTTTTATCTGTTGAGTCAAGGTCTCACTAAGTTGCTTAGGACCTAAGTTGCTGAGGCTGGCCTCAAACTTGCAGTCCTCCTGCATCAGCCTCCCAAATTGCTGGGATTGCATATGCCACTATGTCCAGCTAAGTTAGTTCTTAATGTCTTAATGTCCAAAATGTCTAGAAGTAGATTGAGAGATTTCAAGATTTGGAGGTATAGTTACATTCATAAACAGAGTCACTTGAGGTGCTATAAGAGAAACTGAGACATTTTTCAATGTAGTTTATTCATCTAGAGAATGGTTATGAAAGTTACTTAACATTCTGTACCTTTCTTTGAAATAGTAATTTAAAAGCACCAAAGGTTTTCATTTTAATAGGAGTAATAGCAATTTATTTTGCATATGTAAATCAAACTCCAGTAAACACTGTTTGAAAGTCTTTGCACAATTGCCCTGAGAAGTTATTTCCCCATTTTATGTGGATGAGAACACTGAAGCCCAGATGAGATCATTTGCCCAAGGTCACACTCGTGTTAGCATTTATACCTGATCTTCCATATTTCAAAGCCTATGACTTTTTTATACTATACCACCTCCCTCTATTAAAAGTGTGAAATTTATTTCGACATTACATAACTTTTCTTAGGAGATTCTTATGTTATTAGCAATTTCAAGTTCCATTCTATTGTCTGGTTCAGAGACATTTCTTGAATCTATCTCAGTGAAGGGCATCAAATTAAGATAACATCCACAGGAAAAAGTAAATGGTAACCCTTTTTAAAACAAAACTCTTTCTCCCTCTCAAAATTATTTCTAAGTGAAATTGCTTTTGTGATTTGTGTTCAAAAGTCCTAGATCATTATAAACTGACTGGTAACTAAGATAAAGCAGTTTTCCTTGCTGTCATTGTCCCTGGTTCATGGTGGCTTATAACTACATTATGAACACAACTGGGGAAGGGGCAGGGAGGGAGAGAAGAGGGAATCATTGATGGGTTACAGTGATCTTGTGTTTTTAAAATCATGTACCCTATTGGTGGAGAAAAATTTCATTAACTGGCAGAGAAAGCTAGAATGAAGTATACCTTAAGTTATGCTTGACATATTGAAGGTAGATCAGGATTTATGTTATGTAAATGATCCTTATTTCTTGCTAATTGACATGTCATTTCATTCTCTGGGTTGTTATCAAGTACTTCTAAATGTTAAGGAATGTAGCTTTATTTTCCTCAGGGAGTTTTCATTATGATACTAAATGCCATGTGTGTATCTTGAACTTATTTGGACCTTTCTTCTGCAGTATAGGGGTTTCTATAATAGAGATAAGGTTTTGAGTTGGCTCTATTCCCCTTTAATAACTACAAAAGGCTTTCTGTCAGACCTTTTTTCTTTTCCTTTCTTCTTTTTTTTTCATATTCTTCCTTAGCCCCAACTTGGCATAGCTGCAAAATAGGTATTGTTTTTTTTTTTTCTTCATGGAATCATGGGTAGTTTCATTGGAGCTCATCTCTTTCTGTTTGTTTTGTATAGGGCTGATAGTTCAGGACCATTCAGACCCCATGTTCAGTTCATATGCCTATAAGTCCCACTACCTACTGAATGAATCAAATCGTGCTGAGTTGATGAAATTACCTATGATTCCTTCTTCGTCAGCTTCCAAAAAGAAATGTGAGAAAGGTAATAATCAAAATAGTTTATCTCTTGCTTTTATTTTTGCATTTCCTATTTTTCTCTCTTTAAATGAAGGGGGGAAATGTATGCTTGTCAAGCACCCCGTCTGTTGCTTTTGGTAATTCTGCCTTGGTGGTTGTGACTGTGTCTTCATTGGCTGCAAAATTATTAAAAAGGGCTTAAAATAATTCCATTATTACAAACTTTTACTTTAATCCTTGAATAAGTTTTCACACATTCCATATATGTTAGGTTATTAAAATAGAAAGACTAGGATTTTGTTCAATATAAAATAATATTTTAAGGATTCTTTCTCTAATTTCTGATATATGTAGATCTACCATTCCCGGTAGAAGAGAATAGACATGATATAATTTGTTATTGTCAACTAAATAACAACATAGGTTATTAAAAGAAGGAAAACAAGATGCAGATTCTTAAAACTTTGATTTTAGAATAAGTCTGTCATTTTGTTTCTTAATTTTTGCTAGGATGCTATGAAAACTAGTTGCCCTTGTCTTAGGACACATTAGGAAGCTGGGATTGGGGGAATACCTCAAATACTGGATATTGAGTTGCTGATGTATAATTTATTCACAGAAAACCAAGAGCTAAATGTACATGTAAATATACACATGAATTTATATGTGTGTATACATTTATATGTCCCTCCCAGTTAATTTCATCTATGGAAGAAGACTTTATCTCTGTTTAGCTTTCCATAGCGTACTTGCAACAAAAGGAAAAAGTGATTGAACAATAATGTATTATTTGAGGAGTTTCTGTCTCAGAGGGGGATAAAAAAGTCAATGAACTTGGAAGGTGAAGGCCTTCTCCTGTATACATTCCCATTACGATCTAGGGGCCAGGTTTAGAATTTGTAAAAAAAAAAAAGAAAAGAAAAAGAAACAGAAATTCATTCATAACTATATATACTAAGTATGTGTGTGTGTGTATGTGTGTATATATATTTATATACACACACACACTAAATATATTTGAAATGGGCTCCCCCACCCCTGTTCTTTATGTTGTTTGATTTATCTTTGCTGTTTGTCAGATATCTAAAGTGGCAACTCTTAACTAAAAGAAAGTATAAATAAGTTAATTAGAACCCATTAGAACTATTGAAAAAGTGTTGGCTTTTTGTTTGTTTTCTGTTGAAGTCAGATATCACCTTATTGGTGATACTGCCTGCTTCCCAAACAAAGATAAACACAGGTCTGACTTCAAAATGCAATAAAATTAGTCCATCTGAGGCATGTTAGGAAATGCTTCATTTCCCTGCTGGTGCCTACATAAAATTAGATTAATTCAGTTGTTACTTTGTTTTCAACATTCAATATTAACCTTTACATGAACCGAAATTATTTTGAGCCCTCTGCTTAGCTTGAACTATATCTTATTTATCTTGCATTCTAAAGCAGTTTTCTTTCATAGCACCAAGGCAGATCATTCATATTTTAATTTTTTCTATTTCCCTATGTATTTTTAACATTTTTATCATGATGATTTTCACTGATGATTCTGGCTCTGTATTTCCTCTGAAATAGGACTTAAAATTTAGGAAAATTCCATAAAGTTAAAAATGAGAAGCCTGACTTTTCCACATCAATGCTAATAATCACTTGTCCTCTAAAGCTGTTTGCAAAGACAATTCTCCCTATCAGTCATTCTTTTCCAATGGCAAAATGAATAAACTCATTTTACTTTAAACTTACAGAATTCCATACCTAGGCTTAGAGCATTCAGGAAGCTAATCTCTAGGCTGATGAATTGACCCAATTAATCTATATTTAGATCTGCAGTCAAAGGAAAAATCCTGATGATTTAAGTAAAAGCTTTTAAGCAGAGGAAATATAGTAATTTAATTCATCATTAGTTATATATGGATTTTCTTTTTGTTTTCATGTTAATCAGAAGTTTGAAAGTCTGTTCAGGAAGACAAGATTTTCTGGAAAACTTGATAGCACACCCTCAAAAGGTTGGAGCATGTAAATCAAGTTATTATAGAGGGCTCTTAACCTTTTGCTTATGAGACTTTAAACTCAGTATACTCATGGGCTATAGACCTAATTTTCCAATGGAAAGTTTTTTTCTCAATAAATGTCTATTATATTCTCAGTGGTTAACAACCTTTTCACTCACTTGTTGAAATGCATATTAGAAATACCTAATCTCATTTCTTTGTATTTATTTATTTATTTATTTATTTATTTATTTAGCTACACCTGTTTTGGTATCAATTCAAAGATCATTTTGTGTATCCAAAAGAAAAGGGTTTTAATAAGGACTTGACAGGATGTCACATTGCATATGGTACTTCATTCTACACTGAAAATTAGTTCTGTGCTATAAAGCAGTGGTTCTCAATAATTTTAAGTTAGAAAAGATTTGTGTAAACAAAATTTTTTAATTATTTTGGAAAATCTAATGATCACATGTAAAATAAGGGTGCATGAGTTTATGTTTTGCTATGATTTTAACAATGTAATAATACTCCTTAGTTATACATCTCTTTGCTTAATTAAAATCATAGAAATTGTTAATTTTGAAATGCAGGTTTTTTTGGTTGATACAATATTCGAAAACATGGGTTTATGAGAAAGGGAAGGGAATCCTTGGTGATGAAAAGTTGCAAACCACTGCTATGCTGCCCATATGATTTTCTTTATTTTTACTGCTAAGGTAATGATACTGATGACCAATTTGAGAATCCATATTCCTTTGCTATTTTGTATTCTTTTACAGAAAGCAAAAGTACTGATCAACCAATCGGCTATTTTCATTCCTGTTAATTTTATTGTAAAGGGATTTAGTTAAGTGTGGCACTGGATTAAAATAGAAAGATGACTATTGCTTTCTTGCCTAGCTCTGAAGAAAAAAAAGAAAATGGCTACTCATTTATTTGAAAAACTTGTTCCCAAATCTATTCAGTCTAAACATTTTATGCATCTCTCTCATCATATATAAAAGGGTCTTAGCTTGCTAAACTCATACCTCAATAGCTCACATTTTAGCAAAGTCAAGATATTATTATATGAATGAATCTAAGCTTCTAGTCACTGAAACCCTAAAAAAAAGTAAATATTTTCATGGTTTCCTATTTTAATCCATCGCTATAGATATGACTCAATCCCTTTGTTATTTCCCAATTTAAATCAAATTTAATGCACTTAAAAGATAACTTTCTCCTTTCTTTTTCTGTTTCCTCTTTTCTCAGTTATTAAGACTGTTTATTTGTTTCAAGGTGGAAGATTGCTCTGCTGTGAATCGTGCCCAGCTTCCTTCCACCCAGAATGCCTGAGCATAGAAATGCCAGAAGGCTGCTGGAATTGTGATGACTGTAAAGCTGGCAAGAAACTACATTACAAGCAGATTGTTTGGGTCAAATTGGGAAATTACAGGCAAGTTTTCCAAGGGCAAAAAGGAAGTTTTCCGTCAGTCTTAAGACCAGGTTCATTATTTGGATGCAGAGTAGCTAGGAGATGGGCAGAGCAGCATAGGCCTACCTCTCCAAAAAACAAAAAGGGAAACAGGTTTTCAATCTGAATTTTTAGAGGGTTGGAAAGGTTATGTTGTTATTGGAGTTCTTTCGGTTTTTTTGTTTTTGTTGTTTTTAAGATTTGTTGGTTGACTTGCTTTTATATTCTGAAAATTATTTTATACTAATGAACTATATACTACTAGATTTTGGAATAAAAGGTCTTATATCAATATAAATTAATTAAAACACAAAGAAAACATCATCTATGTAGATGATGTTTTCTTTGTGTTTTAATTAGATTTATATTGATTTCTGGCCTCTAATAAGATCAAGAATTTATGTGCTGAACGAAATAGCTCTCTTTGCCCCTGAATCTGGCCCATTTTTTTCTGGCTAGAAGCCCTAACCTGTGTCTAGAGAGCTTTTTATAATTTAAAAAGAGATTTATTTCAATAAGGACCTTCAGTAGTTTTTTTATTTATTTGTTTGTTTGTTGTGGCGCTGGGGATTGAACTCTGGGCCTTGTGCATGCAAGGCAAACGCTCTACCAACTGAGCTATATCCCCAGCCCAGAATCTTTAGTTCTTAAGTGAATGAAATAAAAAGTATATGTGATTGTCATTATTTTAATAAAACTTTTCCTTTAAGGCTTTAAGCAGCCTTCATTAAATACATATGCATACATTTTTTTTAAATTCTGCACTTTGAGGCATATATTTATTATTTTTCAAAGAAAATAGAAACTAGTCAGGTTAACACAAAAGAGTTGTGCTTTTCAATTAGAATCCTAAGCTGCATATATTTCTATAGAATTTCAGCCATATTGTAATTTTGTTTTAGTAAGAGCTATATTGTTTTGTTTTAAATATGCTGTTTGTTTACTTACTTATTTCAAATTTTCATTTTTATTTAGGATCAGGGACATTAAAGTCATAAAGGCCCCTCCCCTCTTTTTCCCCCAAAAAATATGACAAGAAACTTCTAAGACCTAAAAAATATTTTTAATAGTTTGAATATTTAAATAAGTTTATACCATATAACAAAAGATGTCATAAAGTTTTAAAAGGCAAACCAAGGGAAAATATTTTTGGTCCATATTCTATAGGAAAAAATGAATGTCTCAACAGAAAAAGAAGCAAAGAAGAAAACAAACCAGTTTGCAGAAGAATAGCAAATAGAAAATAATCCCAGGAAAAATGCTCAGATTTACCAAAAATAAATACACAATAAAACTTTTTTTTTTCAATTAAAAGATTGACAAAGATTTAAAAGATTACTAATTTTGTGGCCATTGAGGGCATGGGGAAATAATTGCCTCTTGGAGGACAGTCTGGTATCATATATTAAAACAGTAACTGGGCCGAGGTTGTGGCATCTACATCTAAAAATATATATACTTAAGAAAACTATAACTGTAGCATTTCCACCTCAAGGAATTTATCTAAAGAAAAAAATGAAAGCAGGCAAAACATTTATTTAATGGCATGTTCACTGTAGTTATTTCTAATTGTAAAATTTTGAAATAACCTAAATGCTTAGTTATTAATAAGGGATTTGTCAAATAAAGTATATCCATATTGTAGGATAACATGAAGGCAATAAAGGATAATGCAGGTGTATATAAGAACATGGGAACATATCTGTGATATATAGTTGTTTAAAATGTGTATTAAGTATATGCAATTTGTTTCTGCATTTTATGCATTTTTTTTCCTTTCTCAGAACAGGGTCTCCATATATGGCCCAGGCTGTCCTCAGACTCCTGGGCTCAAGCAGTTGTCCTGTCTCAGCCTACCAAGTAGCTGGGACTAGTTACTTGCCACTGTGCCTGGCCTTATTTATATAATTTTTGAAAAGTGTAGCTCTGGATACATGTGTTTTTAATACTTAGAAAGAAGTAGCATCTAATGTTAATAGGTTCAGGGATAAGATTACAAAAGGAGACATTTTTACTTTTCTCTTATACATTTCTGCATCATTTTAATTTAAAAAAAATTAATAATTGTATGTAATACTTGTACATATTTCTGGTCTATAACATGATGTTTTGAAAGACGCACATGCTATTTTCATAATTATATATATGTGTGTGTGTGTGTGTATATATATAGGCCCCATTTTCTGATCTTTAGCTTCACCCTTCAGTTCCTGGTTTGTCCAGTTGCTAAAAACTGTTCAATGCTCCTTGCAGATGGTTTCATTTAGCAATTACTGTAGTATTCAATGATCATAATGTGAAAGTTATATTTTCACTCTGCTCCAATCCCATGTTTGTTGGATCAAAGATGAATTAGATTCTGAAATACCAATGGAGATAAAACCTATTGTATTTGATTAAGAACTGTTTGCCCTGGATGATTTGAGATTCAGAAAATGTTGATTTTCATGGGGGTAGCCATATTTTATCATGGAAGTACTTTATTCTAAAAATAATTCCCAGACTACTAGAAATAAATAATCTTTGATATCTTGAAAAGCATTAAGTATGTCAGGAGTAGGAGAAACATGACTTTTGTGGATCAAATTGGGATTGGAGTAGTATTGGACCATTCTGATTTTATTATTAAACTTTTTAATATTTTCATGAGCTATATTTTGTAAATGTCAAATATTGATTTTTGAAGACAGAAACTAGACAAGGGTTTAGGGCCAACTTTGTATAGTCTATGTTCACTATTTAATCAATTAATGTTTTCAAATGATGCACAGTTTGGATGGATTAAAAATAAAGATTTTTGTGGTCTTAAAATCTGAATAAAAATTGCAAAGTACAAAACCCTTTTTTTATTCTTGTCAACTTTGTAAAGAATAGTGTGATGTTTCATTTTCTTTGTCTAAAATTGCTTTTGTTTTCAGATGGTGGCCAGCAGAGATCTGCAATCCCAGATCTGTGCCACTGAACATCCAGGGCCTTAAACATGACTTGGGGGACTTTCCTGTGTTCTTCTTTGGTTCTCATGACTACTATTGGGTACACCAGGGCAGAGTGTTCCCTTATGTTGAAGGAGACAAAAACTTTGCTGAGGGACAGACTAGTATTAACAAGACCTTCAAGAAAGGTGAGTTGTATGTTGTTTACAGTGACTCAGAACCAGATCTCCAGTGTAGATTTCTCCACATCTCCTCACTTGCACACAGCATATCTAGTATTAGAGAATTTTCACTAGGCATAATGATCCTGCATCCACTAACTTCCAGTCATATTAGAACCAGGTCTGAAATGAATTTAAGTATAGTAGACTTTGCTATATATGTGAAATGAATTTCTTTAGCAATCGTTTGTTCGTGTGTGTGTGTGTGTGTGTGTGTGTGTGTGTAGTTGGACACAATCTATTTATTTATTTATTTATATGTGATATTGAGGATTGAACCCAGTGCCTCACACATATTAGGCGAGTGCTTTGCCACTGAGCCCCAACCTCAGCCCCCAGCAATCTTTCTGTAAACAAAGATTATACTGCAAATAGTCTTCATAATGAAGGGAAACTCCTTTGCCACAAGAGTAGTAAAAGCTTCCTATGAAGAGCTTTACAACTGCTTTTACAAAAAGTTGCCAGGAAATTTGGCTTTCTGGGTAAGAGTGAGATGAATTTAAATCTAGTACAAAGTAAACACCTACTATTAGGGTCACTTGGAGGTCTCTATCATTAAGGTAGAGTGCCTCTGAGGCAGCAGCGGGCATACAGCTGTAATGTTTAGTGAGTTATATTCTACTTCATTAAAACCCTATGCTGGTGGTGAATGGTAATTTCCAGAATGTGATTTTAGAAAGAAAATCTCAGGCCAAATGCAGAGCATTGGGAAGATAATATAAAACTACTACCCTGACCATGTGTGTTTGTATTTCAGTAATTATGTAATTTGTTTGGTCTTATTGTCAGCACTGGAAGAAGCTGCAAAACGTTTCCAGGAATTGAAAGCACAAAGAGAAAGTAAAGAAGCACTAGAGACTGAAAAAAACTCAAGAAAACCTCCTCCTTACAAACACATCAAAGTGAGTCTTACCCATGAAAACACTAGTATTTGATAGACAAGATGAAATCCATTATTCTCTCAGTAGTTAAAGGCCCTTTTTAACTTGTGAAAACTTTTGCTAGTTATCAGCCTGCCTTCTGTAAAACCAACTTAGAGCTTTTGTTGAAGGCATCAGATGGGAGCCCTAGCTGCAGTGCTGTGAGGATTAGAATTTCGATAAGCCCTCTCATATCTAGGAGGAACATAGTTCATGTGAAATCTCATTCTTCTTCTACCAGGTTATCCTGCAACCAAATGAGAATATAGGTGTTTAGCCTCTTTTTTCAAAGAGCCCACAGATAAGCATGCTTATCAACCAGTGGAAGGAGAAATACACAGGATAAACAAACAAAAAATTCATTTTTCAGGTTTGGATATTTTTGTTGACCAAGGAGAGTTATTATTCTTAGCTTATTCACAGAGAAATTAAGGTAAAGAGCTTTGCTTAGAGTCATATCACAAGATATTAGCAGAGGCCTGTATAGCACGGGCTTTTGGCGGGGCAGTGCTGGGGGGATGTTTCTGTTCAAATTGCTAGTAGATTGCTTACCTTGGCCTCCCTCTCTTTTGTGATTTTGTTTTCTAGGCTAACAAAGTAATAGGAAAGGTACAGATACAGGTTGCTGACCTGTCGGAGATTCCCCGCTGTAACTGCAAGCCTGCTGATGAAAACCCTTGTGGCCTGGAATCAGAGTGTCTGAACAGAATGTTACAGTACGAGTGTCACCCACAGGTCTGCCCAGCTGGAGATCGTTGTCAGAACCAGTGCTTTACAAAGAGGCTATATCCAGATGCAGAGATCATCAAAACAGAGCGAAGAGGCTGGGGCCTCAGGACCAAAAGGAGCATTAAGAAGGTAGGATGTGATAGAGGTAGTGGTTGGGGTGGAACAGACCAAAACTGTGTTACTTAGGAATACTTCTGTAGTGTAAACAGATATATAATGTAAGGACCACTAAATGCTGCAAAGGAAAATAAAGCTATAAGAGGGAATAGCTGGCTGGGGATGTGGCTCAAGTGGTAACACACTCACCTGGCATGCGCGGGGTGCTGGGTTCGATCATCAGCACCACATAAAAATAAAAAAATAAAAATAAAGATGTTGTGTCCACCAAAAACTGAAAAATAAATATTTTAAAAATTAAAAAAAAAAAAAGAGGGAATGGCTGCTAGATGCAGTGGCACATGCCTATAAATCCCAGCGACTTGGGAGGCTGAGGTAAGAGGATTTCAAGCCAGCCTCAGCAACTTAGTGAGGCCCTACGCAACTTAGTGAGACTCTGACTCAAGATAAAAAATTTTTAAAAAGAGCTGGGGATATGGTTCAGGGTTCAATCCTCGGTACCCCCCCTCCCCCAAATGGCTAATGACAGGGATTACTATTTTCAATTGATTAGGAAGCCTGAGGAGGTGACATTTAACCTGAATGTGTAAAGTAGAAAACCATGTAGATCTATCATAACAGCATTTCAGACCAAAGGAAAAGCAAGTTCAAAGGCCTTATCATAAGCCAGGTGTGGTGGCACATGCTTGTAATCCCAGTGACTCAGGAGGCTGAGACAGGAGGAGTTCAAGTAGTTCAAGGCAAATCTTGACAACTTAATGAGACGTTGTTTCAAAATACAAAATAAAAAGGGCTGGGCATGTAGCTCAGTGGTAAAGCATCCCTGGATTCAGTCCCCAGTACTGAAGGGAAAAGGCAAACTAATAAGTCTGGAGAAGAGTGACAAGGAGTGGAGTGGAAGGTAAAAGATGAGGTGAAATGGGTAGCCAGGGGTTAAATATTATTGGGCCTTGTAGACGATGGGATGAGAAACTTACGGATTTTAGTAGGGAGTGCCTCCATCTGACTTGGTGCATTAGTTATTACTGCTATATAACAATATTACCACCAAGTTAGCAACTCACAGTTTATGAAGCTCAGGATTTCAGGCAATGCTTAGCCTGGGTCTCTACTTAGAATCTGAAGGTTACATCAAGGTGCCCACCAGTCTCCCAGGGTTATGTTCTCAGCTTGTGCCTCAGCTAAGTAAGGATCCACCTCTCTGTTCATGTGGCTATTGGCAAAACTCTGTTCTTTGTAGCTGTAAGTCTGAGAGCTTCAGGTTGGTGTTTCTTTGTTTGGGGGGATGGTTTCTTGCTGTTGGCCAGGAGTTGCTCTTGCCCACATTTCCTTGCCACCTGGGGTTCCCAACATAGTCACTTGCTTTCTTTACAGTGAATGGAAGGGAGACTCCCAACAAGATAGACACTAAGGTCTTAAGTAGTAAACTCACAGAACACATACACACCATCATTATTACCATATTGTATTAGTTAGAAGCAAATCACAGGTCATGCTCACTTTCAAGGGGAGAGGTTTGTGCAAGGGCATGAACACCAGAAGGCAGGGATTTGGTTTTGGATTGTTTGTTTTGGGGGGTTTATTTGTTTTGTTTGGTACTGGGGATTGAACCCAGGGGTACTTTACCACTAAGCTACATTCCTAGTCCTTTTTATTTTATTTTGAGACAGGGTCTCATTAAGTTGCTTAGGGCCTTGCTAAGTTGCTAAGGCTGGCCTTGAAATTGCAGTCCTTCTGTCTCAGCCTCCCAAGCTGCTGGGACTACAGACATGTGTCACTGCTCCTGGCTAGACTAGAGTCAGTCTATCAAACCTGGGTTTGTTAAGTCCAGTTTTTGTCACTGTGACCAAAATATCTGACAAAAACAACTTAGAGGAAGGAAAGTTTATTTGGGGTTCATGGTTTCAGAGGTCTCAGTCCATAGATGGCCAGCTCCATTACACTGGGCCCAAGGTGAGACAGTTCATCATGGCAGAAGGGCCCAGTAGAAGAAAGCTGCTCAGCTCAATGTGGGGTCAGAAAGCAGAGAGAGGGAACAGGGAAGGGCCCATAGGAAAGATGCATTCTTCCAGGATATACCTCCTCCAAACATACCTCCTGACTAAAGTTATTACCCAATTACTGCATTTCAATTAGGATGGACTAATTAGTTTACAGCTCTCATAATCCAATATTTTCACCTCCCAACATTTCTGCATTAATAGGAGCTTTTGGGGAATACCTCATATTTGAACTATAAAATTCTAGTCAGTTTTATGTCACTGTGACCAAAATAGGTTTCAAAAGGAGAACTTTGGCCAGGCACAGTAGCACACACTTGAAATCCCAACTGCTTGGGAGGCTTAGACAGGAGGATTGCAAGTTTGAGGCCAGGCTTGGCAACCTAGTGAGACCCTGTCTCAATTAAGAAGGATTGGGGGGCTGGGGATGTGGCTCAAGTGGTAGCGCGCTCACCTGGCATGCGTGCGGCCCGGGTTCGATCCTCAGCACCACATACAAACAAAGATGTTGTGTCTGCCGAAAACTAAAAAAAAATAAATATTAAAAAGTTCTCTCTCTCTCGCTCGCTCTCTCACTCTCTCTCACTCTCTCTAAAATAAATAATACTCTTAAAAAAAAAAAAAAGAAGGATTGGGGATGTAGTTTAGTGTTAAACCATGTTTGGTACCCAGTACCAAAAACAAAAAGGTCAAGTACATTTAAAGTTGTTATATAATGAGCTGGGCCTGCTGATGCATGCCAGTAATCCAAGTAGTTTGGGAGGCTGAAGAAGGAGGATTACAAGTTAAAAGCCAGTCTTTGCAACTTAGAAAGGCTCTAAGCAACTTAGAGCCTGTCTCAAAATACAAAATAAAAAGGGCTGGGGACTCAGTGGTTAAGCACCTCTGAGTTTAATCCCTGATACCAAAATAAAATAAAATAAAAAATAAGGACTGAAGATATAGCTCAGTTGTAAGGTGTCCTTAGGTTCAATTCCCAGTACTAAAAAAAATATGTATGGGGAGTTATGTAATAAAAATTATATTATTTTAATGCTATGCATATCACACATACAAATGTTTTCTATGACTCTGGAGAAGTTTATAGGGCTATCTTGAAATCCATCAAGTTTAATGTTGTTAAACCTTTTAATAGTAGTTGCATTTATTCTAAAATAACTTTTTAAGTTAATAATATAATCAAGGGAAAAGAAAATACAATCTGGACTGATCTTCCCTTTAGCATTTGAAGGATTACTAATGTAAGACAATTGGCCTTTTACAAAATAGCTATAAATATTCAGTCGTGGAAAAACATAATCATAATGATGTTAAAGCAACATGGAAATGATTTTTGTTACATTCACAATAAAAAAACAAATATAAGGGGCTGCGGTTGGGGCTCAGCAGTAGCACACTTGCCTGGCATGTGTGAGGCACTAGGTTCAATTCTCAGCACCGCATATAAATAAATAAAATAAAGGTCTATCAACAACTAAAAAATAAAAAACAAATATGAAATTGAATGTACACAGTCCTTCCCCTTTTCATACATAACAGACTACTGAAAATGTGTGCCAGAATCAAACAAAAAAATTCCTGTTATATAGTGGTTTCTTTTCTGGAAAAATTTTTGGGGATGCTAAGAATTGAACCCAGGGTCTTACATATGCTAATAAGTATAAGCAACTACTGAGCTTCATTTCCAGCCTATTTTTCATACTTACAGAAAAAGTATTAGATCTTGAATTACAGCCTATCATTTTTTGCTGCAGTGTTTTATTTTGAAGTTCTGGGATTGATTCCTAGGGGTACTCTACCACTGAGCTATATTCCAGCAGCCCCTTGCCCCCACCCCCAGGATGGCTTTAAACCTGCGATTTTCCTGCCTCAGCCTCCCAAGTAACTGGGATTACAGGCATGCACCACTGCTCCCAGCCTTTTCTACAATTATTTTTAGAGAGAGAGAATTTTTAATATTTATTTTTTAGTTTTTGGCGGACACAACATCTTTATTTGTATGTGGTGCTGAGGATTGAACCCGGGCCGCATGCATGCCAGGCGAGCACACTATCGCTTGAGCCACATCCCCAGCCCCAATTTTTTTTTTAAATATTTATTTTTTAGGTGTAGATGAACACAACACAATGCCTTTATTTTTATGTGTTGCTGAGGATCGAACCCGGGTCTTGCCCGTCCTAGCAAGGTGACTAAGTGCTGAGGCAAGAGAATCGCAAGTTTGAGGCCAGCCTTGGCAACTTAGTGAGACCCTGTCTCAAAAAATAAAAAGGTCTGGGGATGTGGCTCATTGGTAAAGCACCCCTGGGTACAGTCCAAATAAACAGATAAACAAACAAACATACACTTACCATATGGTACAGCAAATCACACTCCTGACCATTTGTCCCAGAAAAATGAAAATCTTTATCTACATGAAAACTTTTCCAGAATATTCATAGCAGCCTTATTTGTAATAGCCAAAATTTGGAAACAATTCAAATGTTCTTCAGTGAATGAATGGTTAGACTGACTAGTATATCCATTCTGAGGAACACTAGTCAGCAATTAAAAAACAAGCTTATTTTTTGGGGTGCTAGGGATTGGACCCAGGGCATTGTGCATGCCAAGCAAATCCTCTACCAACTGAGCTATATCCCCAGCCCAACAAACTGTTAATACACATAACTTGGCTGTATCTCAAGGGAATTAGCCTGAGATTTGTGTACCAATGTCAGTTTTCTGGCTTTATACTGTGCTATGGATCTGCAAGATGGAGGAAGCTGAGTGAAGGGTAGGTACAAAGATCTCTGCACTATTTTTTTCTAACTTCCTATGAGTATCTAAAATTACTTCAAAATAAAAAAGTTTAAAAAACAAAGACAGAGCTTATTTGTTTCAGATTCAGATCTTTCCCAGTTCTTACTCCCAACCCCTCACAGTTACAAACCTGGAGTGATAATTACAAACCAGTCTGTGGTAATTATATAGCTTCAAAGTCTGGGGTTAATTTTTTCCCCAGATCCTAGCAACATGTCATGTGGTATCACTTGGACTATAGAAATGTATTCTTAGCAAGAAAAGACAAGTAGATTGGCACTTTATGAGGCACTTGTACAAGAAAAATAGTGCCCCTGTTGTAATTTATAAATAAATTACCATTTATTTCCAGGGTTTCATTTATTTCAGGATTCTTTTTAGTTAATTATGATAGAGTATAGCTGTGTTAAGCAATATTTTATAATATGATACACTGATTTTAATTATATATTTACATGCTTCTCTGCAGGGCGAATTTGTAAATGAATATGTTGGTGAATTAATTGATGAAGAAGAATGCAGACTTCGAATCAAGCGAGCCCACGAGAACAGTGTAACTAATTTTTATATGTTAACTGTTACAAAGGTAAAATTGCTTTTTTTTTTTTGGGTAAGAAAAAGGGATTTTCTGTTCTTGTTTCATGGTTTCAGGTTGAATTCAGTTTCTTTTGATTTTTCCCAAGCAAATTATAATGACTTATAATAGCCAGCAAACTATAATGTGCTGATTATTCTAGAATACGAAATGAATCATTATTGAAGCCTTGCACATGTCATATAAGAAAATACTAAGAATGAAAAGATAACCAGAAATAGGTTTTACATATCTGGATCTGCATTTTAGTTCCTGGATATTATGAAAGACCTGGGCCTCAGTTCCTTTTTAAAAATATTTTTCCTTAGTTGTACATGGACACAATGGCTTTATTTTATTTATTTATTTTTTATGTGATACTGAGGATTGAACCTCGTACCTCACGCATGCTAAGAGAGTACTCTACCACTGAGCTACAACCCCAGCCCCTCAGATTCTTTATCACTGAAGGGAAGAATTAGCTCTGTGATTCTAAATTATAAATCACCATTAAATTTCTCATTTAACAAAAAGTCTAAACTTCTATATTTATATTTTTAATGAGTTAGGAAAATGAGTGTTGTCATAAGAAAAATGATAGTAAAACTGCCAGTTTAATAACACATATAATTGTAAGACCTATATATTACATATAATACAATCTTTTCAATAGTCCTCTGATTTACAGAGGACAAGAAACTGAAGTCCAGACATGGTGAGTAATTGTTGAATATCTTGTTATCATTTAAGAGCCAAGACTAGTACCCATGTTTTCTGTGTTCCAGGATATCTCTAAAATTAAAAATCAGACTATGATTAGGGCTTGGGATACAGCTCAGTGTTAGAGCATACCAAATATGTGTGAGGCCCTGAGTTTGATCCCTAGCACTACTAAAAATATATACCCACTATAAATTAAAAGATACAGCATTTTAAAAGTATTTTGCCTGATATATAATTGTTTGAAAGTTTCATAACTTTCAAAAAATTTCTCATGAACAGAAGTTAAAATGCCAATTTTGACGATGCTGGAGTCTGGCTCCATGAATCCTACCTATCCTTACCACCGAGGTCCCTTCAGCCAGCTTGACAACAACATGTGGGAATGTTGTTCCAGATTCTCAGTTCAGTTTCAGGGGCCTAAGCATTCATCTTTTTACTATATTTTTGAACTTCAGTATAAGTGAAAATAAAATAGGTAACTACTGGAAAGTCTGACCCACACAGTAGTCTGTTCATCAAACAAATCTCCAGATTTTCATCTGGGGAGATTTCTCATTTTTCCTTCTTATATTTTTATACTAAACGCATCGACATCACACTAGTTTTGCTTCCTGCTCTGAGCAAGAATGAGGGCTGACAGCAAAATACTAGAGTAGTTACCTGAACTTGAAGTTTCCTAATTAGAAAATACCTACCTGTATGGCTTGCTAATCTAAGTAGCATTATTTGGTGGTCTGCTTGTTTCTAGAAGCAAACTTAAAAAGAAACTAAATTATGGTTTATCTTAATTACTATGACTTGAAAGTCATCATATAAATTAGAGAACTTAGTAAACTGCACAGAGTGTGTCACATTTTGAGACTTATCAGTTGTTAAACACCAGCAGATAGCAAAATGCTGTTGCCTTGTGACCCCTGACTAAGTTGGATATTTCTAAAATAGACTTATATTTAGCTTTATGCCAAAGATACCTTTCTTTTCTTCCTGAAGGATCGTATAATTGATGCTGGCCCAAAAGGAAATTATTCTCGTTTTATGAACCACAGTTGTAATCCAAACTGTGAAACACAGAAGTGGACAGTGAATGGAGATGTTCGAGTTGGACTTTTTGCCCTTTGTGATATTCCTGCAGGTAAAAAAGTAACCTGATCTCCTCGTCTTTAGGTTTGATACCCAAATATTCATTCAGAAAAGTTCACATTATATTTGAAATTGTTACCCGTCAATGAAAGGTAAAAGTTTATATCCTGTCTGGGAGCAGTAGCGCATACCTGTAATCCCAGGGGCTCAGGAGCCTGAGGCAGGAAGATCACGAGTTCAAAGCCAGCCTCAGCAATTTAGCGAGGCCATAAGCAACTCAGAGAGACCCTACCTCTAAGTAAAATATTTTTAAAAGGCTGGGGATATGGCCCTCAGTGGTTAAGTGTCCCTGGGTTCAATCCCCACTACCAAAAAAGAAAAAAGAAATTATATCCTGAAAAGAGAACTTAGCAAGAGCCTTTATATAAGAGAGAATGTGTCAGGATTCTGTGTGTCTATGATGCTAGTGCATTACTTCTCTAATGATTGCTTTTGTATAATGTAACCAGATGCTTAGCTGTTTTTTTTTTTTTAAAAATGTATTAGAAGTAATAAGTTTATGTTAAAACCAGTTGGTTTTATTGTTTGTTATTGTTTTTTACTCTGAAAGATCATTTTGTTTCAAATTAGACATAAAAAGCCTTGAAAGCCAGAGCTGTTGCTTTCATTTTTCCTTTTATATCCAGATCTTAAAAGCAAAACTAAGATTCTTTTTTGTGAAATTAAAAAAAAAAAAAAGGTGAGAAGAGAAATTCTGTAGCTAAGACATATTTAAACTCTCTAGAACTATGTAGATTGGTCAAGCCCAGTTAGCAAGAAGCTTGGGAGGCTCTAGTTTGAATCCCTGGATGTTTGGTGTATATAGTAAACCTCTGTTTTGAATTTTTTTCTATTTATAACATAAAGCATTACGTATAAGAAATAGCATCATCACAATTCCAAGATCACTTTGTTCATTTAGAAACGGGAGTGACTACCTTTTTGAAAAGAAGGCTAAACTAGATGCTCTTTTCTTGATCACAGGTTGCAGATTCCTAGTCCCTATTACATCATTCCAACCACTTTTATAAAAAAGAATATAACTTCTTTTTAGGATATTTAGTGTTGTCATAATTGTTGATGGAGATGTTTTACTGTCTTTCCCCCTTTTTTTTTCTTTTCGTCCATCACTGTTTTCAGTGAGGGTGGATTATGGGAAGGAAAAAAAGTCTTCATGTCAGAATTATGCATCTTCCAGTATGAGAGTATATCTGACAGCTTTTCTCTTCCTCATGACTTGAGTATGCATAATTATTTTTCTTATATTTTAGGGATGGAGTTAACGTTTAATTATAACTTGGATTGTCTGGGCAATGGCAGAACGGAGTGCCACTGTGGGGCAGATAACTGCAGTGGCTTTCTAGGAGTGCGACCAAAGGTCAGTTGTGCGGGGGAGCACCCCTAGCCAAAAGAAAATAGAAGTGGGGCTGCAGAAGTTTGCTTATAACCATTTCAGGAAAAAGCTGTCAAATGGTCACCTGCTCTACTTAGTGGATCATCAGGAATGTTTACCAATAGTTTAGACACTTTGATTTTCTAGGAATCCTATTTTAGTAAGATCTTTTAGTTCTGAATTGTATTCGTATTTCTGATTGTTTGAAATTGGCAATCCTCTTGAAACTTTTTTATTAATTAACTATATACTAAGACTGCTGAATAGTGAATGTTGTAGTATGTGAACTATAGAACTTAATGGGAAAATTCACATAGCCTGCTGTTGTGGTGCACTCCTATAATCCCTGCAACTCAGGAAGCTGAGGCAGGAGGATCACAAGTTCAAGGCCAGTCTGAGCAACTTCACAAGACCCTGTCGCAAAATAAAATTTAAAAAAGGAATAGAGCTATAGCTCAGTGTTAGAGTGCCCCTGGGTTCAATCCCCAGTAACACACACACACACACACACACACACACACACAGAAGAAAAGAGAAAGAATTCACAAGTTGTCTAAGTATTAGTTAATAAAAGTTATTTGGATTTATCACCACCTTTACAATTAAACAAAACAGCCTTTTCAAAAGTCAATGAAAACAAAGCCTTATTTTTATTGTAGTATTTTTATAGGAAAGGTCCACCTGGTGTTTTTAGGAATTGTACAGAAGATGAATTTAAATTAACAAAGGGTTTTCCTTTCTATATATTGCTTCCTACACTATCTGTGATCACTGAAACTGTGGTCCTTCTTTCCTACTAGGCATGTGCAGCAACAATTGAAGAGAAGGTGAAAAATGCCAAGTTAAAGCAGAAGAGACGAAAAATCAAAACAGAACCAAAGCAGATGCAAGAAGATTACTGTTTTCAATGTGGAGATGGTGGAGAGTTGGTCATGTGTGACAAAAAAGACTGTCCCAAAGCATACCACCTCCTATGCCTTAACCTGACTCAGCCACCATATGGTAAGCTAGACCTGCAAGGCCCTTTCTCTGTTTGGGTCTTTGGTAACTGTGTGTTTATCAGAGTACATTCTACTCTCCTTAGTAGAACCATGAAGTAAGTGACATTGAATAGAACAAACAGCAATAGCAAATAAAATTATGCAGGTGAACTGGGATACCCTGTGTGGCAGCAAGGATCAGTTTCTTTTGAGTATTACCATAGGTGGGTTATTGGACCTATGGCGTTGGGTTTGGGCCACTAGCTCATATCCATACAAAACAACACTACTAGGTGTATGTTTGGCTGGAATTTGGAGTTGTATTCAATCTAATTCAATCGCCACTCAGAGTGGAGGTGGGGTCTTGGGTTTTCCTGGGTAATCAAGACAGGCACTAACCCGGGTGCTCTCCTCCTTCCTCCCATACCCTGTGTTAGGAAAGTGGGAGTGCCCGTGGCATCAGTGCGATGAGTGCAGCAGTGCAGCCGTTTCCTTCTGTGAGTTCTGTCCACACTCATTTTGTAAAGATCATGAAAAGGGAGCTCTGGTTCCCTCTGCATTGGAAGGCCGACTCTGCTGCTCTGAACATGACCCCTTATCTCCTGTGTCACCAGAATACTGGAGCAAGATCAAATGTAAATGGGAATCACAAGATCATGGAGAAGAAGTAACAGAATAAATAAATGGGTGATGATCCCCCCTTCCTGTTTAAATGCAAAGAAAAAAGCAAGTAGATAATGCATTCAAAAAGAAGAGACTGCTGCAGCGCATATAGCCTTTGCCATCGGAACTGCCTTATTAAAGCAAAAATGGAAAACCAGAGTACACAGGCAGAAGCAGTTGGTGGTGTCTGGGTTTTGCTTTGTTTTTCTTGGTGTAGGGATTCTTCTCTGGAGGGTTAAATTCCCTTGTTTTTTTCTTGCCTTTTATTGTGCTTCAATGTCTTTGCAGCTAGGAAAAGAGATGTCTTTGTTTTTATTAAAGTAAGAACAAAGAGAAAGGAAAATTTTGTTAATAAGATCAATTTAAAGTTTAAGATATGTTTCTTGGTTGTATAGAGCAAAAATAGCCATCATTCCTTTATTTATTTTCATTTTTAGGAACTTCAAGATGTGTAGTTCAAATAGTGTGTGTGTGTGTGTGTGTGTGTATGAAGTAGGAATCAGAGGAAGCCCTCCAGAAATGATCACCTTTATATACCTCTTTACTGAGCAGTAAGTAGGCTACCTTCTCTTTCCCTTCAGAATGTTTTTCATAGTCTTAGAGAAGGGCTGTCTGGAAGTATTAAATGTGGCCTCTTGAAAACAAATGCCCTGGTGAATTTTCTCTTTGGTCTTAAACCAGGGGGGCTTTGTGATATGATAACTCTACCTAGAAAGGTATATAATGTGTATTTTGTTTGATTGTTCATTCATCTGTTTATTTAGGAGGAAGAAAAGGAGTGGGTGTGCTCACTGACTTTAAAATGTTATCCATTGACAACATTTTGGTGGAGTGCATATGTGGATATGAATGTATAGGTGGAATGGCCACTCCTGTTATTTTGACACACTGATAAAGGCAGCTAAAGGGAGATGAAAGGCACAGAACAAAAGCTGGACCATATGAGCCCCATCTAATGTCCAGTCTAATGTTTGACTTGGAATTATGGATATTTTATATTTTCTGTTTTCCTCTCCTAATCAAATATTTCGTTGTCAGCACCATTCAGTCATGTTTCCTGGTAATGCCATATAAGTGAGTCTAAATTGTATTTTGAATAGATCTTTTTGGTTGTGTTCCTAATTTGGGGGATAGGCAGTAAGGGCATCCCCAAGTTATATGTAAACAATCTCTAATTAGTATTATCCAGTACTTAATTGTGCTTGGATGGGCGTGGTGGCACATACCTGTAATCCCAGCAGCTTGGGAGACTGAGGCAGGAGGTTTGCAGGCTCAAAGCCAGTCTCACCAATTTAGCAAATTTGCAAGAAACCTAGTGAGACCCTATCTCAAAATAAAAAATAAAAAGGGCTGGGGATATGACTCAGTGGTTGAGTCCCCCCCTCCCCCCCAGATTCAATTCCTGGTACCAAAAAAATATTGCCCTTGTTGAGTAAGGGGAAAAACTTCTATTTTTACAGGGTATGTAAAAGCCACACAAACACACTTCATCTTAGGAAATTCTTGGAGAAAGTTCCCAAGAAAGCCAGTGTTAGCAAAATTGTTTGACTCTAATATTTGAGTCTTATTGATAAAAGTATACCAAGTTGTCTGCCCACAAAAGTCACTTGCATTTAATTTTTAATAATGAATACACACACACACACACACACACACACAGTAGCCAGTATTCCTTGGATAAAATAATTATTGTTAGACTTTATTGTAACACTGTACTAAATAGAAGTCTATGGTTAGCCTGAATGATTGTTAACTTTCTCCGTGAATTTTGACTGTTTGCAGTTGCTGGTACCTGATAGAATTTTTTTGCCTTCAAGAAGTATCTAATTAACCTTATGAAAATAGGGCAAGTAGATGCTCTACTGCATTCCTTCAGTTGTGTTAAGTGTGTTCTATTTCCTTATCGATTTAGAGCTCTTTTCTGAAAAGAAAAGCTATTTTGTGCCTCCCTCCCTCCCTCTCTCTCTCTCTCTCTCTCTCTCTCTCTCTCTCTGTATATAAATGTGCAATTATACTGGATTCTCTCTTGTTTTAAAAAAAAAAAAATCAAAAAAAAAAAAAGCAACAACACTACAAATCCTTTACTTAAGCTCCTAAACTGCCATTTGCCTGATAGAAGCAATTCATTCTGAGGTGACTTATTGGGAATCCAATAATTCTGTTGATTAGATATGATCCCAAAAGAAAGAGGTACGTGTTATCAAATCTAATTGCTACAAGTAACATGAAATGTAGCTCATGAGAACACTAAACTTTGCTCTTGAGCAATTAGATGTTCTTTGAAAAAAATAAGAAAATTTAGGTTTTAACATACTGAAATTTATTTTATATAGATATAAATGTATGTTTTTTTAAACTTACTAACACAAGGATTTCTTTTAATATTCCAAATGCAACTCTTGTTGAAACAATATCCAACATAAAATTGTATCTTCTTGTTTTGTTTTGGACTTAGTGCTATTTAATATCTGATGACTTTTATATGGTAAGCCAGGGTACATCCTATATACTGCAAATACCTTAGATTTAACTATTTTTATGCAGCATCTTCATTGTGTCACATTTTGTTTTTATATCTATAATAGAGCTCTGCAGAGACTTTAACTTTTTTTATGACTAATAGGATTGTTCTATCATTTCAGAAACCAAGGTAGAAAACAAAATAGCTAACTGTAGCTCTAACACCTTTTATGATCTAAAAAGTGGTTTTAGTCATGCCAGTGCCAAGGACCTCTCCTTGCATCTCCATGGTGTTAATGTTGACCTATTTATCTATTTTAAAGTCACATCTTATGGAAGCAGAAAGAAAATTGTGTTTTATGTGTGCATAAGTATACATGTACTGTGCTTGCCTGGGCTATGCCAGTGAATATTCCAAAAGACATACGGCTTATTTACAGTCTGAAGTTAGTAGCTATTAACTTTTAAATCTTTATGTGGTCAGAGAATAAGTGGATGGTTTTTATTCTTGTCCAAAAATGAAATAACTTACATTATGGGATAATAGTGGTGATTCTTTTTTTAACCTCATGTTAATTCTTTGGAGGAAGAAGTGAACATAACACTTTTGATCATCAGCATAAAGCTTCAGGAATTGGATCAGTAAGAGCTAAAGATGAAATTGTGGGAAACCTTCACACGCACTGCAGTGGAGGCAGGGACTGGACCACAATGACTATGAGGAATCAGAAGAGCTGCATGAGGCTGGCAGAGAAGGAGGGGGAAGATTGCCCTTCATTCCTGTCATGCTGAAGCAGCTGGAACCAGTGATTCACTTCTTTATTGTCAAATCAGTACTGGAGATCAGAGTGAAATGGGGTTTATTTTCATTTTTGTTTTAATAAGTTTCTGCTTTTTTAATTCTCAAAAAATGATCTGGTTTAAGCTAAAGAATAAATAGGCTTGAGTTTTAGGATCATGGAAGCTTAGAGATTTCTGTGTGTTCAAGTCAGGAACATATCTGAAAACTAAAAAGATAATTGGAGGTGGGTGGGGGATTGCTTTCACACAGAATTTGGCAACATACCTGTAAATAATGTGGAACTGAGATACTGAATAGCTAATCGTGTAAAGTACTCTTAGGTGGGACAGGCTGTTGGGCAACTTTCCCGATTCATGAAACAGTTTCTTTTTTTGAGTAGTTTCTTGCATGATATGTTCCTAACAGGGTCAAACCAGACCTGCAGTTTGGAATCAGAGATGCCATCTATTCAGAATGTAATTTCTGGACTGTCCAGACCTGTTGTGTGTCTTTCATTTTATTTTTAAATACAAAGGTCATCTTTTAGCATTCACCATAAAGTCAAGGTGCTACCTGCCACAGTCACATCCAAACAGGATAAGAAAACAAATTTCTTTGGAGTCCTTACAACTTGGAAAGCTTGTTTGTGATGTAATTTTACATGAGGTACAATGGCATTGGAAAGTTGCTTTATTGCTGGGCAGTACAGAGTAAACTTGAATTACTTTTTACAAGGCTGATATAACTAGCCTCCTTCCTCCCACTTGTCCAAGTTGCTGCAGTGATCAAATGGAACAATTTCCTTCAGCCTAGGGCCATATAAACTTGTCTCTAGTTATTTGAAAACAAACAAAAAGTTTGTTTTTTTGTTCCATTTTCATATGGATTAACCAACAGATATAAGTAGACAGCTTTGCAAGGAATTAACAAATATTGAAAAGTTGGGAATTTGTATATACCAAAATCTTACCAACTTTTGTCTGGGGTGGGGTACTGGGGAAAAAAAGAGGTTATGTTAGGGTAAGGGAGGGGAATGATAATGTTTACCACAGGTACGATGTAGTCACTTTAACATTGAGACCTCTACTTCATTGAATTCAGGTTTTTTAAGTACTTGAAACTCTTAAGATTCTCCTTATTTTAATTTTCTTTTTTTACATTTATGGAGTAGAAAACTTTTCATTTTGTATACTGTTTTGGAAACAAATAGCCTAGTCTCTTTCCTCTTTATCTTGGATTAAAGACAAAATTCTGCAAATAGGAGTGTGTCCACAGGAGATAGCTCAGATTTATTGTGCACCTTTAAGGAAGAGACTTCTTCCTGCACGGGATACTAGTCACATTTTTTACAAATATTTCCTATGTATGTTCTTTTTGTTAACCCTATCCCCAGACACTTATTTTCTTTTACTATATGCCTATGGGGGCAGGAGGGATGCACTTATGTTACACTCCTAAAATGCTATGTGTAACCCTTGTATTTCAAAAAGCATTTCTGTTTTTTTGTGGGGTTTTTGTCAGTCCATAGCAATTATACTGGACTCCAAAAGTCATTAACATGTAAGCATAAAGGGAAAACAGAATAGCTGCCAAAGTCATTATTCAGTACTTAGTTTTTCTAAGTGACATGACTGCATCTGCCACTGAATGAGAAAGCACCCTTAGCTTCCACTGCTCCCCTTCCCTACTGGCCAAAAGACTCTTGATGTGTGCAAATGGCTCTCAAGTACCCATCAGATTGCCTGTATAAGGTATTTACAAGGTATTCTTGTCAGTTTAGAAGTGTACTGGATAAAATTTTTGACTTTGTTGTCATTGACATTATCCCATTTGTTCTGTCTACATATCCTGTGTTAAGGACCACGTTGCCACTAAATAACCAAGATGCTAAATGATTACAACTGGCTAATTAGATCATTTTTTATATACAAGGATGTGTGCATATTTGGAATTGATATGAGAAATTCATTTGTACCCATTTGAGTGATATTGCACAACAGATACCTACAGATTCCGTTTTCGTTTTCTCATGTTTTTTATGATAATGACCTTTGTAGATTATTTCTGTACTTTGTTTATCTGTAATAAACTTTGTAGATCCTGTGAAATGTTATTTTACCTAATCACTTGAGACTTGAGTCTTTGATAACAAAATATCAATATTCACTAAAAGTCAATCTCTTCTGAGTTTCTGAGACTCTGCTGGAAGCTCTTGACACTAGGGATTAGTATTAACTTTCCCTGGGGGTGTTCCACTAGGGCATTACTATATAATGACTTGATGTTGCCACATAGACTTCAAGATATATAATATTTTGAGGATTTTGTTGATTGGCCTATGTTTAATTGCAAAGTGTGAAATGTGCAAAGCTTGGTTAACCTGTATATAGTTCATTGTTGACTAGTGTACTTAGAAATGCCTGTAATATTTAAGCTTCTTACTCATGTGTATGCTGGTAGGAACATATAATTTTTGTACATTATATTTACTGAAATGTTGCCTTTTTTATTTTACAAAATACTTTGGAATTCAAATGTGTTTTCTGCTTCTGTGAGGATTCATTTAGGAAGGTTTTTAATGACATTCCACTGATTTCAGATTTTGCTTGAGATTGACTTCAATAAATTGTCTTGTATGTTCCAAATTAAATATGTGGGCTTGTTCTTTGTCTATAATTTTTTGCTACAACTCATTGGACAGGAGGCCAGCATTGTGTGATTTTGTGTGTTGGGGGAAGGAAGGCTTAAAAACACAAAACATCCAACCTCATGCAGCTTTTCTTCCTTCAAAATGGTACAGTACCTCTAAGAAACTGGATCTTAAAAAGTGAGTTTTGTTTTTCATAGAGGAAATATTCTTAGAGAACGTTGCTTCTTGCTTTGGTGTGGTAAAAGACTATCACCAACTTGGTGATAAGACTTTGGTGAAAAGACTTTCACCAACCACCTGGTTGGTGAAAGTCCCCAAGGGAGATGCTAATCAATCTTCATCCCACTGGTATGAGACCCAAAGGTGACCTGCAGCTTGGCTGGACACTAGTGGAACCAGCTCCCTGCGGAGCTGGCTTTCATTGCTGTGCTAGGTGACGCCCTGAAAGGGGCCCCTCCTGCTTCCTAGAAGCCAGATCTTCCTGATAGCAGATCTGGCTGGGGAAAGGAGGCTGACTGCCATGGCTTCCTGCCATTCCCGAGGCGCCCACCAGCCGGCGCTTAAAGCCAGGCGGGTTGCAGGCAGCCTCTTCCCTGGCGCAGCGTCTCCACGCAGCAGCCGCCACGTCAGCGCGGCGAACGCCCGGGCGCGCTGGCCGGATGGGGAAGGCAGCCGCTGCCTTTGGGGCTGAAGTGGGTGTGCGAGTCTTGCTGTTCGCAGCCTTCCTGTAAGGAATTGCGGGTCGGATCCCAGAGCGTGGCACCTGTTAACAGGCAGTGGGAGACACTACTGCCTTGGAGGTGGCAGCCTGCCTCATCCGCCAGCCAGGCAGCTGGGTCCTCCGGGAGAAAGCAGCATGCCAAGAAGCTTCTATGCTTTTGTTTCCTCCTCAGGGTGACTGAACTTCTCCCTCCCTTCCAGAGGCATATCCAGCCAGAGGAGATGTGGCTTTACCGGAATCCATATGTGGAAGCGGAGTATTTCCCTACCAAGCTGATGTTTGTGAGTGAAGAACTATCCTTTGCCTATCACAATATTGTTTGATGCTAGGATGCAAAAAGTGGGTCATTCTGGCCCCCAGATTATCTTTGTGGAGAACTTATTGTTCCCTTGGTTGATGTGCTCAAGAATTTCCTTCCTGATGTTTAAGGTCGAGATTTAGAGAGCAAGATGTAAGTCTTTTGGATGCAAATGGATTCTCTGTGAAGGTAACTGGTCCTTTAGAATAGTGGGTGTTATTTACTGGTGGAACTGCCAGCTCCCAGCTACCCCACCCCCCAGAAACAAAGGACCCTAAAAGACCTCTGCTTACATATAGGAATTATTTCTGCTCTGGAAGTTCTGCTGTAATGTCCATCCCTCTACCTGTAGGAGTGACTTTAACAACTAATGTGGGGTTTTGCTGTTTTGCTTTTGACACATTCTGATTCAGGTCATTGCATTCCTCTCTCCACTGTCTGTGATCCTCCTGGCCAAATTTTTCAAGAAGGCAGATACAGCAGACAGCAAACAAGCCTGCCTGGGTAAGAGCTAGCCCTTTCTGATGATGATGTCTTCTTAGAGCTAGGAATCAGATGCTTCCCAGTGGTAGAGTTCAGGCACTAGAACCCTATGCAGAAACCAGAGTTCCACATTGCTAAAGCAATTATATCAACCTGTATGCCATGCAACCCCATGAGACAGAACTTACAGGTGTGCTTTATATACTGGCTTATTTGTACCTCAGGAATGTCTCTGGCTAGGTACAGAAGTTTTCCCTTTACTACAAAGGATGGTCCTTGAGCACCATAGTTATTTTTGTGCTCAGGTCTTGTTGGACTATCTCAAAAAGTGCATGAGCTGCTGCTGTCTTCATGAGGCAGTAGATACACCATTCCTCCCACGTAGATACCACTAACAATTTCTTTTATTTCTAGCTGCCAGCCTTGCTCTAGCTCTGACTGGTGTCTTTACCAATACAATAAAACTGATAGTGGGAAGGTAAGTGATAAGACTTAGCACCCCAGTGCCTGCCCCAGTCCTCACCCCATCAGGAAAGACCAGGAATAGCAATCCATCACACATCTTTATCATCCTTTTCTCATTTATCATCAGTCTAATCTTTCTCATTCAGCACTTCCTCCTACCTCAGTCCTGCTGATTACGACAAGTGGACTCTTTTTTGGCTTAACAGCATTTCCCACTAACAATCAGCACAGTCCTTGGCCTTAGTGCATCTCTAAAGTCGAAGTGTGATTTGTTTGCCCTAAAATGTAATTGCATGCTAAAGTCACTTTTTTTTCCCCTCATTTAAATTTCAGCCATGGAACTAGGTTTTTCTTATGTGGTAATTATCCTACTCTAGTTATATTGCCTGGGACATTATATACCAACAATTAAAAGGAATATTGATGGGCTGGGGATGTGGCTCAAGTGGTAGCGCGCTGGCCTGGCATGCGTGCGGCCCAGGTTCGATCCTTAGCACCACATACAAACGAAGATGTTGTGTCCGCCGAAAACTAAAAAAAAATAAATATTAAAAAAATTCTCTCTCTCCCTCTTTAAAAAAAAAAGGAATATTGATGTCTGATACAACTGAAAAATACTTTCTAGAAGTTTAAATGTTCAAATCATGCTTATTTCTTCCAGGCCACGCCCAGATTTCTTTTACCGCTGCTTCCCAGATGGACTAGCCCATTCTGACTTGATGTGTACAGGGGATAAAGATGTGGTGAATGAGGGTCGCAAAAGCTTCCCTAGTGGACATTCTTCCTGTATGAATTTCATATGGATTCAACTTGAATGCTTATTAATGTGTTTAACCTAGGAAGCTTGTAGGGATGAGAACATCCAACTACAGTTGTTCTTACACCTACAGATTGGAATTCCCTTCTTCTTTAATAACCCTGTGATTTTACAAGCCTGAACCTTGTATGTCAGTAAATATTAGAGTACAGAGAGGTAGTTTATATCCATGAGATTTGCACATTTTATTATTACTGTATTAATTGCCTACATCCTGTAATCTTGTACTTGTCCCCCAAAATAACTAATCTTTACTAAAGAGTTACTATGTGTCATGTGCTCTGCAGCATTTAAAATTTGTACCTCATTTATAGCTCACAATATCCCACTAAAGTGGGTACTATTATTTTTAAGATTCCCATTTATAGATGAGGAAACAAAAGTATAAAGAGGTTAAATAACCTGCCTAAAATCATAGAGCTATTCTAACCTATCCTCAGGTAAAAAATATTAACTTAGGAACAAAATAAAGTCCTTTATTTTCCCTTTTCTTTCCTCACAATCAGTGATCTACACCAGAAATATGCAAAAAGTTATGAAATATATTTGTACTCCCTAGTGTATTTGGAATTGAGTGTTGGGGGTGTATAGCTCAGTGGTAGAATGCTTGCTTAGCTTGTGTGAAGCTCTGGGTTCAATCTCTAGCACCACCAAAAAACATACAAAAATACTTATAGGTTTTTGTCTGTCCTAGTTGCATTTGCTGGTCTGGCCTTTGCTTCCTTCTACCTGGCAGGAAAGTTACACTGCTTCACACCACAAGGCCGTGGGAAATCTTGGAGGTTCTGTGCCTTTCTGTCACCTCTACTTTTTGCAGCTGTAATTGCACTGTCCCGCACCTGTGACTACAAACATCACTGGCAAGGTAAGCAAGTATTCATGCCATGGAAGCTTCCATGTTTTATTCATTTTTATCCCTAACAACTGACATTAAGGATACTTGCTTTCTCACTAAATATGTTGCATGAATGAACATGAACAAGTGTGGGTGGTCTAGGTTCTGTATTAAGAGTATACATTTATAAGATATATGGAAGTCAAAAGTTAACCTTTTAAAGAGAGATTACCAAAACAGAATGTACTAATTTTTCCATTATTTGAAGCAATGTTAAGTTCCAGTTAAATTGCATCTATAAGAAAGTTATAAAGCTAGGCATGGTGGTATACATCATCTGCAGTCCCAGCTACTCAGGAGGCTAAAGCAGAAGGATCATTTGAGCCCAGAAGTTGCCAGATTAGACAATATAGCAAAGGCCCATCTCAAAAGAAAAAAATATATGTATATATTTTTAGTTGTCAATGGACCTTTATTTTATTTATTTATATATGGTGCTGAGAATTGAGCCCAGTGTCTCATACATGCTAGGCAAGCATCTACACTAAACTAAAACCCCAGCCCTTGCCACATTTTTTAAACAAACCTAGAAGCTCAATCTATTTCTTTTGAAAATCAAGCTTATTGTCTATAATTTGTTCAGAAACAAAAACTTTGGTATTTTATCATTTCTCAAAGAAATTTAGGATGAATGCTAGTAACATTCCAAATGACAGCATATCTTTAAAGAAAAGCCACAATTCCAAAAGAAATTCAATAGTATTGCTCGCTCCTCGGGAGCCATATTTTAAAGAATGAGCAAAGAGAGGCAACTCCTAAAGAGTTTATTCCTTCCTCTAGGACTACTGAAATGGTACAGGTCAACGAATAGCAAGCAATTCATAAATCTTTGTCACTCTTGTGAATTAAAAAAATTCTAATTTAGTCCCCTCTGCACAAAGTAATGGTGTGTTCTGATGTGTTTAAAGAACAATCTGACTATGCTAATCCTATAACTATATGACAAAATTAAGAAAGTCTAAAGAAACCACAACTATGAAGGGGGGAACTTACGAGTAAGAGTGATAAAAGAAAGAGGGGGGGGGCGGGGACTTACAAGTAAGAATAACCTGGAAGGCCAAGTCTTCTATTCTGTCCAGTGTCTAATGGGATCTAAAATTCTAGTATGATTAATAAAGGTATTGGGGCTGAGGATGTGGCTCAAGCGGTAGCATGCGTGCGGCCCAGGTTCAATCCTCAGCACCACATACAAACAAAGATGCTGTGTCCGCTGAAAACTGAAAAAAAATAAATATTAAAATTTAAAAAAAAATAAAAAATAAAAAAAATAAAGGTATTGTGTCCAACTACAATTAAAAAAAATGTTTAAAAAAATACTTTATATTTCCTCTCTCTTCAGATGTACTAGTTGGATCCATGATTGGAATGACATTTGCCTATGCCTGCTACAGACAGTATTATCCTCCTCTGACTGACGAAGAATGCCATAAACCATTTCCTGACAGACATGCACTTTCTGCTCTTCAGAAGAAGCCTGGTGATTCTTACTGTTTGGATATTTAAGTCAAATCTAAATTCAGTGGAGAATAGGCAAATCAACCTTAGAACCAAGCACATAACAAGAATTCTGGCCTTTTTATCTCTTCCAAGGTACAAGTGATGGCATAAACCACACTGTATTCAGCCTCCATGTGATTATGAACTTTTGCCCTACTTGACATGATCTACCATGAGGAATCAAAGTTCTTTTCCACCACTGTATGCCACCCATTCAATAAAGGGATCTTTCAATAGTTCTCCAATGGCTTATGCATACGATCCATTAGGTTGATAATCTTAAGATTTAGTGTTTTAATATTTAATTTAAATGCTACTTTTTAAAGGGTCTTTTCTCAAAGACTTTTACACAGCCCTACTCTTATCCTAGAAGCTAGTTAATTATCAGATTTGTGAGCTGGACCCAGTGACACATGCCTATAATCCCAGCAGCTCAGGAGGCTGCAGCAGGATGATCAAAGCCAAAGCCAGCCTCAGCAACTGAGCAAATCCCTAAGCAACTCAGCAAGACTCTGTTTCTAAATAAAATATTTAAAAGGGGCTGGGGATGTGGCTTAGTGGTTAAGTGCCCCTGGGTTCATTCCCTGGTATCAAAAAAAAAAAAAAAATTTTTTTTTTTGTTTCTCATAAATCAAAATGTTAAGATCAAAGGCATGACCAAATTATCTTGATTCTATATACTTTCTCTAGTGACAATTCCATTAAACCTTAAATAGGAAAATGTCCAATCTTAGCTAATTTACCACTCCTGTGTACATCTATCCAAGTCCAGGCATCTGGTGTTGCTGTCCATTTTGAACACTGTGGGCATAAACAATCTGTTGAATTACTAAGAGAACAGAGCAAAAAAGAAGAAAATGGTCAGGAATGTAATTTCAGTACTAACAACAGATGATTTTTTTCTACCTCATTTCTCTTTGTGCTAATGAGCTTCTTGCCCAAATTCATATCTGCCAACTAAGATAGAAAAGAAGTTACAGAAATTATTTGGAGGACAAATGAATCATTTTCTATCTTTTCTTCAAAAGAAGATACAAGAAACAATTACAGGACATCATCAGAAACGATGATCTAGTTCCTACAGCTAGCTGTTGTTTTCTTTATTGTAATTATATTTTAAACGATTTTTACTTATGTATATCTTTTTATAACACATTTTCAATGCACTTCTTCCTTTACGAAACCTGATATTCAAATAAAATGATGAATGTGTGTTTTGTTGTTGTTTGTGTGGTACCACCCAGGAACCGGAACGTATTGTAAACATTGGATTCCCCATCTGACATAAGTGATTTATCAACTATTATGTGTAGTACTAGCTGACATTTATGCATATCAAAAAATCATTTCTGTATTTACCTTATAATTGCCACCTTTAAATTCTGAACTATATCTGCCTATGACAATGAAAACACTGGTCAAGGAGAAAGAACTTAAATAAATATCAGTTCTTTGCCCCAAATGTTTATTTTTTAAACTTATTTTAGTAATACATATGGGAAGAGAAAATAGTTAATGTATTGATTTTTCTCTGTGATAGATGAAGCCATGTAAAAGTAGGCAACTGGTCAATACAGTTTTATTTCAGTACTTAAAGTTTTAATCACATAAAAAACCAAACATTTCAAAAGTGCAAAATATTAGAAAGCTAATAATGCTGTTGTTTCCATGCAAATAATCTCTTTAACTGAGAAGCAATACTAATTTTGCAGCTAGAAATATGTACAAAATGATGTTTTACTAGAGTTTAAAAGTAGGCTTGGTGAAGAGATTGTACATGATACAAATGAAGCAGTGCAAATAATGTAAGACTAAAGTATTTCAATCAAGCTTATGACCTTGTGTAATACAGCCATAATACCATAGGTGGATGGATGAGATATAAAGGTCTTTTATAGTTACCTACAGCTTGCCACCCAAAAAAAAGCATTTCTTAATATAGTGGTTTATCTAGCTCTCCAGGATTGTGCCGTCCATCTTTGGTTACAGCGACTCTCACTTGGTTGTCCTTTGGTTTACTCTTTTAAAAAAAAGAGTACCTATTCTGCTAATGTGAGGAGTAAACATTTGCAGATAGTAACTTAATAAAAGCCTACCTTTTAATATATAGTGAATGCTAGTTAAAACTCAATAACTCTTACTCAGTTTATGTGATAAAGAAAATAAAAGTAGTCCATGTATCTGAAACTTCTTTGTAGCTTATTCAGTATTATAGTCCATAAGCCGATGATGCTGACGAGGTTTGACTTCTACCCCACCTTTGCCTCTATACCTCCATAATGACAGTATTAACCTTTTTCCTTTTCTGTTCAGAAAAGGATAAAAACCACTACTGTCTTAGGGATGGTATCAGGGAATATTTAATACCAGTGCTTTGGATGTCATGATATATTTACAAAAAAAAATTATAAAAAACAAAACATGGCTTGCCTTCCTCTGCCACTCAATAAATAAGGGCCTGTGAAAACCTGAGAGGAAACATAAAGGACTATCAAAAAGAAATGAAAATGGCAAATGCTGACTAATGGGGAAGAAAATACCTTAAAAAAATGCAGTGAGTAGATGCTTACAAAAATATTAGTCTATAGTCACACCTGTGTTCTTCAAGATAAATCTCACTTTGCATGTTCCAGACTCAACTTAGAGTGACTGCAGTGGCTGCTCCTCAAACCTATGTGCTCAGCTAACACTGTCTATGCCAAGAGTCTTATTTTAAATATTTTTTAAGTTTTGGTACCAGGGAGAGAAACCAGAGGCTCTTAACCACTGAGCTACATCCCCAATCCTTTTACTTTTTTATCTTAAGTCAGGATCTTGCTAAATTGCTTAGGGCCTCAATAAAGTTGCTAAGGCTGGCCTCAAACTTGCAATCCAGCTGCTTCGGCCTCCTAAGTCACTGAAATTATAGGTGTGTGCCACCACCCCCAACCAAGAGCCTTTTAAATAAGTATTCTGGATTAGGATACTTAAGAACGCAGTGATGTTTACAAAATGTTTTTTAAAAGGACATCACAGTATCACTTTCAACCAAGTAGAAGTGGCAGATGACTTTAAATTCTGTTTCACCACGAAGGCACCACTAAAGATACTATTTATAACCTGAGCAGCCTGAAAATGCTATGTAATTTCAGGTTTGTCAGCTTTCATAACTTTACCCTCAATATAAGAATAGAAAAAAATATATGTATATAAGAATAGAAGCTGTCATTGTCAAATAACTAAATCAAACCTCATCTAGACTTCCTCAGTTTAAAGTATAGTACAAAAGAGCAAGTCTACAATATATATAACATCTTTGTTTTATAAAGATATACCTAGGGCTGGAGATGTATCTCAGTGGTAGATCTTTTGTCTAGCATGTGCAAGGCCCCAGGTTCAATCCCCAGTATCACAGAAATTAAAATAAAAAAATAAATATGTACCTAGTGTGAACTCAGTTGTCCACTTTAAACTTATAGCAGCTCAACTGGGTTATAAAAACAACAGACAGCATTATAGATTCCTAGCAATAAGTTCATCTATTCAGTTGTTAAGAGAGTAAACAATACTCTTATTAAACAACATTCCAATCTTCGTTCATACAGTTCACACAGGAAGGAAATGCTGGTGGAAAAAAAAAAAAATTACCCATCACCATATCCACTTAGAATTAGAATTAGACTTCAGGTGCCGAGAACACCAAGAGATGTAGAATCTCCAAAATGCCCTCTATATCTCAAGAATCTTCTTCTACACTGGAACATTTTCTAAAGACAGCAATAATTCCCCAGAAAAATATCTAGCAAACCCCACACAGACCATAGACCATCTCGTAATAAGGAATCAAGTGTGGCACCTATAAGCTATCATCAAAGAAGTAACTGATGCAAACAACCTCCAGCCATAAAGAAAGAATGGCAAGTATTTATATGTAGCCCACATAAAAAGTAACAGGGTCTTCCCTTTGCTTTTCCACTCACTTCCAAAAAGGAAGATTATCTTCCAAAGACCCCAGTGGTAAGTGGCAGGCAACATGCAGGAAATGATGCAGCTGAGAAGAAAATTGCAGCAACAAACAGGTGAGTTTTCTAGGGAAGGATCCCTCAATGTCCGTCTAGGGGAGAGAGTGGGAGAAGTGGTCATCATGCAGTCACAACCGGAAGGCAACCATAGAGGATGCCAAAGTATAATGTACAGGCTTTCTAGTTTCACAACTAAAACATTACTTTAAATTTCACGATGGGCTATCTGTAATTAAAATGATAACTGTTGCCATGTTGATACTTAGATGATCAGAACTAGTAAGATTCTAAGTTTAAGTAATAAAAGACAGCAGATCTCACTGGTCAAAATCTCAAGCAAAATAGATACACATTAATCCTCTTCTAAGTGGACTACTGTGCATTTTCTCCATGAATTTTACCTGGAGTTCCTCTAAACATGAAAATTAGCCTAGATCTTAGGGACAGGCAACAGAAAGGTATATTTATAAAGACCTTGAGGCTCCACATTTCCTTATAAAATGTTAATATGTAAGCATTATGCTGTATACATGACATTCAAAAACTTACATTAAGCAGTCAGATAGGTCATTTTTACTGTAAGGGCTGATCAAGGAAGATACCCTGGGTTTGGTAGATCTCTTTAAGGACCAGCAATACTGTATCTTCAGATTCCCTGTAAACAGAGAAAAAAATCTATATTGAGAAAAGATAGAATTAACATTTTGTGCTACACTGCCTTACATATATTATTTCATTTAATCCACATAACCATCTTTTTTTCTTATTATTTTTTTAGTTGTTGATAGACATTTATTTATATGCTGTGCTGAGAATTGAATGCAGTGCCTCACACATACTAGGCAAGCACTCTACCACTGAGCCACAACCCAGCTTCCCCACATAAACATCTTTCAAGTTCATTTTTTACTATTGCAAAAAAACAATGAGACTCAGAAGTGGCAGTGGTTTGGAAGATGGTCTAGTATCGTGTTTAGAAATACAAAAAGCTAAGGTATAACTCAGTCAAAAAGCACTTGCCTAGCAGGCACAAAGCTCAGGGCTTAAGCCCCAGACTGCAGAACACACACAAAGCTATTAAATGACCAAGAACTATACCTTTCCACAAAGTTCACTCTTGAGACCATACTGAAGAGCCATCCAGTTTATCACCTTCACTTTATTACTTTTTTTAATTTTGGGGGTAGTAGGGATTGAACCCAGGGGTGCTCTATCCCTGAGCTATACCCTCCAGTCCCTTTTATTTTTTGATTTTATGGCAGGGTCTTGCTAAGGCAGCCTCCTGAGTCATTGGAGGTATGTCCCACAGTGCCTGGCTTGTCACCCTTACTTTAAAAAAAAAAAAAATTAGAGCAGTATTTTTTATTGGTGCATTATAATCATTCATAATAGTGGGGTTTATTAGCAAATACCCAATATTAAAACTTTACTCACTTTTTTGAAAATACAATACAATCATATGGTTCAATCATATGCAGGACAGGCAGGTACTGGGGGGAGGCTGCTGGGAGGCAGGCAAAGTAGCAGTCTGAAGCTCTCTTGTTCACAGTGGTTTTGGGAAAAGAGCTCCAGCTGGGGGTGCGTATAGCTCAGAGAGCAGCCAAGGGCTGGGAAGAGCCAACCAGCTCTCCATGGCCAACATAGGCAAGTGACAAGAAGCTGGAATCAAGGCAATTGGCTTAGGTACAGGGAAGCAAGAAAGTGGTTAATCTGAAGCAAGAAGAGTCTTCTGCTTCACCCTGGGTGAGTATGTGGCCTTTGATACATGGGAGCAGCACCTGGAGAAGATACCTGAGAGGAAGCTGTGTTCCAAGGATGACTGAGGAGAGGGGAAGATAGGAAGTGGAGGCTCTAAAGAACCCAAGAACCTGTGGAGGTGAGCACCTCGCAGGACATGGATCTGGACCAGTCAAGCGCTGCCATTATTAATTGTTATTTTGACTGTGTATGAATATGTGGTGTTTCCTGGGAAGAAATTCATTATATTCTCAAAGGAATACATAACTCAAAAAATGAAACACAAATACATAAGAATGTTTGACCCTTATATCCTTAAGGCAATTGTTCATGTTATCCTTTTTTGTTTGTTTTCTTTTGTAGTTCCGGGGATTGCAGCCAGGGCCTCATGCATGTTAGGCAAGTGCTCTATCACTGAATATATCCCTACATCTCCAACCTCTTTTTGGGGTTCATATACAGTCAAAATTACAAATAGAATTTTATTGGATTTATATATTATATAAATTAAATATAAACATTATTAAATATATAATATATAAAATAAATATATATTATAAAATTTTATTGGATTTATAGACTACCCTCATCCCTCCATAAACCCCATACACAGATCCAATTTAAAAATGCTTACACCAACAAGAGGTAATAAGCTGTATCAGATATTAAAACTGTGCATAAACAGATGAAAAAGAATAGAAAGTTCAGAAATAGTCCCATTTATAAAAATTTAATAAAGTTAGAATCTCAAATCTATTATCGAGACAACTGGAAAGAAAAATGACCTGGGTCTATCCTCACACTACATTGGGATGAATGTGAAGTTAATCAAAGATTTGCTTGTAAAAAATGAAAACATTTGAATAAACTGCAATAAGGACTTTTTTTTTTTTTTTTGGAAAGCAAGGTCTTTCTAAGTTATAACACAAATTCAAGAAGCCAAAAAGCAAAAATTAACAAATCTGACAACAAAAAATTAAAAATTTCTGCTTATCAGAACCAATCTAGAAAGGGCATGGTGGCACACGCCTATAATCCCAACAGCTCAGGAGGCTGAGGCAGGAGAATTTTGTGAGTTCAAAGCCACCTCACCTTTGCTGAGGCACTAAGGAACTCATTGAGACCCTGTCTCTAAATAAAATAGGGCTAGGGATGTGTCTCAGTGGTTAAAATGCCCCTGAATTCAATCTTTAAGTACCCCCCCAAAAAAAAAAACTTACACACACACACACACACAATGTCACAAGACAAACTGGGAAAATAGTATTTGCAACTCATATAGCAGACTAATCAATACCAAAAAAATCAACATTTCTATATAAAGGGAGTAAAAGGTACAGACAACTCCTAGAAAAGGAAACTTAAAAGGCCCTTAAATATATGTCAATATGCTCAAAGCCAAGCATGGTGGTACATGATTGTAATCCTAGCAACTCAGGAAGCTAAGGCAGGAGGACCTCAAGGTCAAGGCAAACCTCAGCAACATAGTGAGGCCCTAAGCAACTTAGTGAGACCCTGTCTCAAAATTAACAATAAAGGGGCTGGGGTTGTGGCTCAGCAGTAGAGCACTTGCCTCTCACATGTGAGACCCTGGGTTCGATCCTCAGCACCACATAAAAATAAATAAACAAAATAAAGATATTGTGCCCATGTATAACTAAAATAATATTTTTTTAAAAAATTAACAATAAAAAGACTGGGGATATAGCTCAGTGGTAAAGTACACTGGGTTCAATTAGCAGTACCGAAAAAAAAAAAAAGCCCTAGATTATTAATGATAAAGGAATAATTTGAAACTCTAGTGTGCATAGTATAAAAAGTGAAAACTATAAAACACTGTTGACAGAAATTAAAGATGACCTAAAAAAATTGAGATACAATTTCACAGCTCAGAAGATCCCATATTAAAATGTCAATTCTCTATAGATAAAATGTTATCCAAAGTGACCTATAGACAAAAAGCAATCACAAGGTCCTAACAAATTTCTTAATAGAAATTAACAAGCTGGGGAGGTAGCTCCATAGTTCACACAATGTTTGTTCAAGCACACGTGAGGCCCTGGGTTCGATTCCAGCACGGAAAAAAAAAGAAAAGAAAACAAGCTGATTCTAAAACATATGGAAATGAAATGAACCTACAATAACCAAATAACTTTCACTTCAAAAAAAAAAAAAGCTAGAAAACTCATGCTACGTGATTTAAAGACCTATAAAGCCACAGTGATTAAGACTGTACTATTGACATAAAGATAAAGAAATCAATGGCACAGAGTCCAGATGTGTGTGTGTGTATCAACTGACTTACAATGTAGTACCAAGGAAATTCTAAAGTTATTCCAACTAGATAAACTTTTCAACAATGGTGCTAGAACCAAAGACCTACATGAGAAACAATAAACCTGTATCCTTATTTTCCACCATATTCAAAAATTAACTTGATCAAAATGGATCACAGACCTAAACATAAGAGCTGAAACAATACAATAGTAGTACAGAGGAGAAATCTTAATGACTTTAGATTCAGCAGAGATTTCTTAAATATATCCAAAAGGCACAAGTGTCTGTCAATCATTTAGACTTAATCAGAATCAAAAACTTCCTTCTCTTTAAAGTACAATGACAGAAAAATAAGCCATATCTTAAAAAAAAAAAAAATGTGAGCCAGGCACAGTGGCACACATCCATAATCCCAGTGACTAGGGAGGCTGAGGCAAGAGGATCACAAGTTTGAGGCCAGCCTCAGCAACTTAGTGAGGCCCTAAGCAACTTAGCAAGACCCTGTCTCAAAACTTAAAAAATAAATATAAAGGGCTGGGGATGTAGCTCACTGGTTAAGTGCTCCTGGGTTAAACCCACAGGACCAAAAAAATTAAATAATTTTTTTTTAAAATATGAAAAGAACTGGTAACTAAAATAAGAACGAACTCTTGCAATTTTAAAAAGCACAAAATTTTTTAAATGGGCAAAAGATCTAAAGAAACATTTCATCAAAGACATATATTTCAAATAAGTATATGAAAACACTCCAGAATAGCTAAGAAACTTTATCATCAAGAGTTGTGTGGGGGCTGGGGCTATGGCTCAGCGGTGGAGCGCTTGCCTAGCACATTTGAGGCACTGGGTTCGATCCTCAGCACCACATAAAAATAAATAAATAAAATAAAGGCAGTCTGTCCATCTACAACTGCAAAACAAATTAAAAAAAAAAAAAGAGAGAGAGTTGTTCTGTGGTGGCACACACCTGTAATCCCAGCAGATGGGGAGGCAAAGGCAGGAGAATCACAAATTCAAAGCCACCTCAGCAGCTTAGCAAGGCCCTAAACAACTCAGTGAGACCCTATCTCTAAATATACAAAAAAGGTCTGGGGATATGGCTAAGTGGTTTAGTGCCCCTGGGTTCAACCCCCAGTACCAAAAAAAGAAAGGAGTTTTAGAGGATATGGAGCAACTAGAACTCTGATGAGAATATCAACTACCATAACAATTCAGTTTGAAAGTTTCTTTTGAAAATACTCTTCCATATGACACCTAGCCATTCCACTCCTAGGTATTTACCCAAGAAAATTAAAAAATATGAGATAGGCATGATGATATATGCCTACAATTCTAGTGACTTGAGAGGCTAAGGCAGGGTTTGAGATCAGCCTCATTGACTTAGACTCTATCTTAAAATAAAAAGGACTAGGGGGGCTGGGATTGTGGCTCAGCGGTAGAACGCTCGGTAGAGCACCGGCGGGACCTGGGTTCGATCCTCAGCACCACATAAAAATAAAGGCATTGTGTTGTATCCATCTACACCTTAAAAAAATATATATTTAAAAAAAAAAAGACTAGTGATGTAGCTCAGTGGTAACGCACTACTGGGTTCAATCCCAAGAAAGAAAGAAGGGAAGGAACCAGGAAGAAGGGAAGAAGGAAGGTCGGGAGGAAGGAAATGTCCATACCAAGTTTTTTATATAAATGCTCCTACCAGTTTTTTTTTTAATAGCCAAAAATTGGAAACAACCCAAATGTCCATTAACAGATGAAGAGATAAATTGTGGTCTATCAATATAATGAAACACTACTTAGCAATAAAAAGGAATAAATAAGCTGAATGTGGTCACACCCACCTATAACCCTAGTGATTTGGGAAGCTGAACATAGCAGGAGGATCCCAAATTGAGAGCCAGTTTCTGCAACTTAATGAGACCCTATCTCATTAAGATGAAAAATAAAAAGAATTGGAGATATAGCTCTGTGGCAAAGTGCCCCTAGGTTCAATCTCCAGTACCAAAAAACAAACAACAACAACAACAAAAACTATTTATCTACACATGAATCTCAAAAAAGCTATGCTAACATATATATAATATATATATATTGCATAATTTCAAATAAGTCACATGCAAATTAATCCACATGACAGAGACTAACGGTTCCCTGGAGAATGGGCAAAGAAGGGATTACAAAAGGGCATAAAGAAACCTTTTTTTTTTTTTTTTTTAACAAGTCCACATACATTCACACCCACATTATGTATGCATTAAATAGACTGATAGAAGAAACTTTAAGAAAAGTATGACAGTTGCACATGAGGGAACTCATTAACAAAGAACAAAATGAAAAAGAACTTTTCATTTTTTGTCTTTCTTTGGATTTCAAATCATATAAATATACTGTCCACTCAGAAATTTTAAAAGCCAGACTAGCAGAAATCATTCTTAAAGAGCATTATTTTAGCCCCATATAAGACTTCTTTCACTAAATTTCATTTTGATTTTATATCATGACTTCTGTCACATTTATCATATAAAAATATATTGATTACATCAGGCAATTATCCTTTATCAGAATTCCATAGAAAAATTCCTTTTAGATGGGCGAGGTGGCTCATGCCTGTAATCCCAGCAGCTCAAGAGGCTAAGGCAAGAGGATGGCAAGTTCAAAGCCAGCCTCAGCAACTTAGTAAGGCCTTGTCTTAAAAAAATAAAAATTAAAAGTGGGCTAGGGATGTGGCTCAGTGGTTAAGTGCCCCTGGGTTCAATCCCTGGTACCAAAAAGAAAAGAAAAATTCATTTTAGAAGAATAAAGCTTGCAGGCTGGGGTTGTGGCTCAGTGGTATAGTGCTTGCCTAGCACATGTGAGGCCCTGGGTTCAATTCTCAGCATCACATATAAATACATAAAATAAAGGTCTATTGACAACTAAAAAATTATTAAAAGAAAAAATTTTTTTAAAAAAACAATAAAGCTTGCATTTTTAAAAACACTTATCCATGACCCATCTTATTTTCCCAACTTTTTTTTTTTTTTGGCTAGGCAAGTGCTCTACTACTGAGCTACATTCCTAGCCCTTTTTATTTTTTGTGATAAAATTCCATTAAATTCCACAGGCTGGCTTTGAACTTATAGTTGATCTTCCTGCCTCAGCCTCCTGAGTAGCTGAGAATACAAGTGTGTACCATCACACCAAGCGAGCTTTATTTTTTCTTCAGTTTTTTTCAGTGATTAAGTTGCACTGCGTTATACTATATGAAGTCAATAAGCAACATTAATTTGTTCTATAATCCACTCAGTAATTAATTACATTTAATAATGATTAATTCTGATCTAGCTACTGTAAATATTTCCAAATGGGTTTCTCCAAATACATTCAGCAACCGTACTATATTTGTTCCAATTCATTTTTATGCATCTAAATGGTCAAAAAAGATTTAATTTTAAGACCAAGCTACCTGAATTAATGATTGCTAGCATCATTAATTTCATGGTCTATGGAAATTGCAAAACAATATCACAAAGTGTTTCAATGAGATTTCCTGAAATGATATGACAATGCTATTTTGTAATTGTTTTAAGTGAGAAATCATTCTAATCCCAAATGTACACAGGCCTATCCTCCTTTTTCGACATCTGTCAAATATGTGTGAAACAATTAGACAAACAAAAAACAGAAACAAAAACAACACTCACCAGTAGCACAGATGGCTTTGTAAAGCAAATAAGTATTCATTAAAACTTTCAATAGGTTTCTCCTGTAGCACATAGTCAATGCGTTGGCCTCCATTCAGCTTTCCTACATTGATGGGAGGGACTTCTTTAACTGCTGCAGAGGTCTCATCCGCATTAACATCTGGATATGAAAGAGCTATCATAAATACCAAAGAGCTTTCAAACCTCTAGGGTTGTCCTGTTACTTCCTTTCATATGAGCTACTCTCTATTCAGAGAGCAATTTTCCATATTCTTCCTCTCAATCTCCTTAAAAGATTCTCCTCCAGTCACACAAATTTTGCCCAATCCCTTTTCTTTTGCTCATCACATCACATTAATGTACCTTCAACAGTTAAGTAACTTGCCTTAAGTTTATAACTAAATGCAAACAAGGATATTGCTCTTTAGAAAACTGAAAGCTAAGAGTAAAACTGAGTATCCTAACTCATTCCCAGCAATGAAATTGAAACTGACCCACAAATATGAATATTCCTCCAGTAAAAGCAAGGTACCAAAGTAGGCTCATAACATCATTTCCATAGTTTCAAATTGAGGAATGTTTTCAAGCCTAGTTAATAGCTTCTCTGGACATTTTCCCTTATATACAATGTTTTTCCAATTTGTGGCAATTAGTATAACAGAAAAGGTTAGCAGAGATGAAAGCCAATTAGGACTCAATAGTACACAATACAAAACAAAAGAAGGCCCTTGGAAAATAAGAACTCCACATCATGGAGTTTTCCCTTATTTGGCCTGATGCTGATAATCAATGTGTACAGTGTGACTGACCACTGGACTTCTCCAAACTTGATTCAGGTTCTGCTTCAGTTTCTTCTGCAGTTTCTGAAGCTTGTAAGGCAGGATATGGAGCTCTGGTGAAAGATTTCCAAGCCATCCGCAGTGAACCTAGCAAGTTGTTCTTAAGGTCCATACTCATCCTGGTCAAGCCCTCTCTCAATTCTGAAACGTTTATGAAAAAAGAATGTTGAATGTTTTAAAAGACTTAGGTTATAACACAACAAAAAAGACTGAATGATGAATGAGGTCCATTTAGTTTGTGCTGGCTGGAGGTCTAGAATTATCAAGTTCTATACACAAACTTACCTAAGTGCATCCGTTTCCTGCCTTTATGATGTGGGATCAGCATTGGTTCAAATTCCATTCCTGGGACCACCATTGGTTCAATCCTATAAGCCACAGGATCAAACTACATAGGAAAAATAATAGCTATACTTATCTGTGCTAAAGACAGTCTGAGAAGCTGTATCCTAGGCAAGTATAAGTTCAAGTGCTTGCCTAGCATGTGTGCAGCCCTATGTTCAATCCCTAGTACCACAAATAAATTTTTAAAAAAATTTTTTTGTAGTTTTAGATGGACAGAATTCCTTTACTTTATTTGTTTATTGTTATGTGGTGTTGAGGATTGAACCCAGTGCCTCACACATGCTAGGCAAGCACTCTGCCACTGAGCCCACAAATAAATTTTTTAAAAAATTATAAGTTCACTTAATTTCTTAAAAAGGTACAGTTGTTCTGACCAACCACTTCCAGATTAATACTATTATAATAAATTCTCATTACTACACAATGGTATAGAAAAAAAACAAATCAATACAATACAAAGTCACATGTTCTTCATCAATAAGCCCTCAAGTTCAGGTAAAACCACAGTAACTGTAGGATGCTTACAGGATGGTAAATATTGAAGAAACCTTTGCATGTTGGAAATTTATAATTGGGATCAATTCTTTTTAGTCCTCGAACAGTAAGGAACATTCCAATGGGAGATCCAAAGGCAAAGAATATTTCTGGTTTATAGATGAGCCGGGGATATTTTACGGACACCTGGAAAGAGCAAATAGAAGCATCTCTCACTAATAACAAAAATTACATCTGTTCCTACCAAACCAATAGAAGCAGTAAAAAAAAACAATCAAACAGAATTAGTATTGTTACCTGCCCAATGCCAACATCTAGATATTCATCATTTCTAGTATCATCAATACTACTGCAGAATTCAGATTCTTTGGAGATATTCACTGCTGAAGCTGACTGTGTGGTTTGTCTATTAATACCCTAAAGAACAGACAATTGTTAGGTAGAGCTACTATACAGTAAAAATAATCAAATGATTATACAGGTTTCTACTGGCTTGAAAGGATACTTGGGAACGTCTTTAAATGGTAGCCAATAATTCTAGGAAGAAGCCCTCAAAAAAAAAAAAAAAAAAAAGATAACACCACTAGCAACAGTAGTTGCCTTAATTATAATTTAACATCCCTGTGTGCTCTAAAATGATGGAGGATATAAAGTCCTTTGGACAGCAGCTGAAAATGTATGCACCTGTTATTAGAAAAAACAACAGCAAAGTATTGTGGCAAGAAATGTCAAGGATTGCTAAGGAGTTCTATGACCTTCTGTGACAAGATGTCATACTGGTACAGAACATAATAAATACTGAACCAAGAATTGGGTCTTAAAAAAAGGAACTGAGCCATCTGCTAAAAATTTGGAAAAGAGTTAACTACTAAACTATGGAAACAAATACAATGGCCAGAAAAAAACAATGTGGAACTGTTACAACAGGGATAATCTTTAAGAACATTATGTTAAATGAAACAGATCAATCACAAAAGGTCACATATTATATGATTCCTCTTATATGGAATATCTAAAATAAGAAAATCTAGAGAGACAGAAATAGATTAATGGTTGATAGAAGCTGGGACAGAAGGGAATAAGGAGTAACTGTAAATGGGTATGAGCTTTCTTCTAAAGGTGATGGAAATGTTCCGGAATTAGTGCTCATGACTACAAAACTCTTGTGAATATACTAAAAACTACTGAACCACACACTCTAAAATGGTGACGTTTATGATATGTGACATGAATTTTATCTCAATAAAGCTGGTTCTTCAGAAAGCAGGAGTAATCCTGGGGAGGTAAGACTCCCCAGGCTAATAACATTTTTAAGGCTCTGGATAAAGAAAATGTGTTTATTTTCAAAAAGAAGACCCAAAGATCAATTATCAAAAGTGCTTAGCTAAACCAGGCACTTTGTCATGTGCCTGTAATCCCAGGTACTGGTAAAGGCCAAGGCAGGAGGCTCACCAATCAAGACCAGCCTGGGCAATATAGTGAGACCCTGTCCTCAAAAAAAACAAAATCTGCCTAGCTAGCCAGGCATGTGGTGTGCCCCTATTGTCCCGGCTACTCAAGAGGCTTAGATTCGAGGCTCTCCCGAGCCCAGGAGTTTTAGGTCAGCCTGGGCAACACACCTGGACCCCATCTCAAAAAAAAGAAAAGAAAAACTGTTTAGCTCCTCAGAGTAAATATCTCATAAAGCTTAAGGATACACCATAGATGTCAAAAGAACTGCTTAGGCCAATGAGCTATGTTGGGCACATACCACTGAATTTTTTCTGGTCCTGAAATAGTTTAGTATCTTCTTTCTTGGTCCTAAGGGAATTCCCATTTCCTGAAGATCTTTGTCTGTACATAAAGCCTAGGCATAGAAAACCAAGTACTTTTTATTTCTAGGCAAAATAAAATCAATTAAATATCCTGTTCCCTGAGAGGGATAAGATCTAGGCACTTCGTTGTTCTTTGCTCTATACTGCTGTGGCTTTTTGTGGTACATCATCATTAATAACTTCAAGAAGGAAAGACTGTTTTATTCATAAAACAACCTAAAGAAGAATAGAAAGTGTCAGTAACTAAAATGTCAATGATAACAAGAGATAACATTTTGCTACTGTTAAAAAACAATAATCTAGAGAAGCTGAATATCTACTGACTTCATGATAGAAAAACCCTCTTGATTTCCATGCTCAATTAGATGTCTCATTTCTGAGGATTATACTCCTACTAATGGACACAAGAAGTGAAAAAATATAGCCAACACAGAAGCATAACACAAAACAGAATCAATACCTCAACTTAACTGCCACTCATCTTATTAGGAAGGGCTTCCTTTGCCCTCTCAAGACTTAGTTAACTCATCTTATTATACATTCTGATATTACTGTGTACTTTTCCTTATTAGTTCCTACCATAATTGGAATTAATTATATGTGTCATTATTTAATGTGTATTCCTAACTACATACATGATGAGGTCAGGAACCATATCGGTCTTATTACCATTCTACCTCTAGTACTTGGTAGAGTATACTCATCATAGTAAACATTTACTAAATATCTATTAAGTAAATGAATGTCTATCACAAACTAGAAAAAAGCACAACCAAAGTGGGAAAAACAGAAACATAGAAAAGCAAATAGTAACACAGATCATGAAAGTGTAAAAGAAAGTAATAGTTGCAAAAGTTAACGTTCAGTTAGAGGTTCATTCTTGCCCTCCTGTTTTCTCCAAGTTGTGCCAATGTTTGCTCCATTGCTAAATGAATATCAATGTGGCTCAACTGAAATTTGAACTTCTGTACAGCAAAGACCACTTTATATGATAAAAAATAAACAATGCTAAAGAACATTTTAAAAATATATTTTTTAGTTGTACATGGACACAATACCTGTATTTTGTTTATTTTTATGAGGTGCTGGGATTGAACTCAATGCCTCACGCATGCTCGGCAAGCACTCTACCACTGAGCCACAATCCCAGCCCATAAAACATTTTTAATGATGCCGAAGTATTTATGACTAAAAAGCAAGGGCAGACTCTTAGTAAATGTGATGATAAAAATACTGAAAATGGTTTGGCATAAAGTTTTTTTTTTTTTTTAAAGAATTTTTTAATATTTATTTTTCAGTTTTTTTGGCGGACACAACATCTTTGTTTGTATGTGGTGCTGAGGATCGAACCCGGGCCGCATGCATGCCAGGCGAGCACACTACCACTTAAGCCACATCCCCAGCCCCGGCATAAAGTTTTAAAAGGTTATTTTTACCAGAGCTTCCTTATCTACTTTCTCCTTTTCAAAGACATTAAAGAATTCAGAGAGTTGAAGTTTCTTCAAATCTTCTTCTAGTGTTGGTGCATCTCCTTGATCCACAGCAATATTTACCGAACCCTAAAAATTAAATCATAAAGCTTATATTATCAAAATTCATTGTTTCCTTAAACAATATTTTGTGATTTGAAATATTAAATTCCCATAGTAATGTATATTAACTTTAAATAGTTACTTATGCAAATATAAATGAAAATTAACCTCCAAGTTTTTGCAACTTCAGTAGAAAATACATTTTTAAATGAATGAGGGAATGAACAATTAACAAGTATTTACTGAGCTCTTATTAGGGAAACAGAGCTTAAGAAATAACACAGTCTAAGACAAGGCACTTGTCCTGGAAGAAGAACTCATGGTCCTCTAGGAGGAATTGGACACTTAGATAAAAGGAAAAAATACAAGATAGTATATATGAAGTACCAAATCAATGATATCAATAATACATGTTCATAGGAATTAATTTAATTAAAATATATGTTTAAACATAAGTACCCCCATTGCTTTCAAACAGAATTTCTATAAATCATATCAATTTGCATCTAATTCATTCTTCATTTTCTTTCATCCAAACTCCAATTAGCTCAATGATCCTATAATTCTATAAATAGATCAGTAGTGATTATTTATAAAAGACACCTATGATTATTTTAGAGTTCGGTAATTATTTGTAGATGCATATTACTATCTTGCTTCTATAACCCAAAAATAAAAGATAATTACCAGCCTGTTAAAATTAATGTAAATTTCAACATGTTATGATACTAAACTCAATTAAAAGCAAAAAATAAATCTAAAAATATAAAATGCTTTAATATTTTATACTACATTAAGAACCTAACTGAACATCTAAATTACCTTTTCACTGTCAATATCCCCCAAAGAATCTTTCTGATTTGTTAGGATATCAAACAATATAAGCGAACCTATAAGTAAAATAGAAGAAAGAAGGGACAATTTCTAAGCATTAGCACTAAATGGCTATCTTTTATACAAATTTAAAAAAGGCATGATCCAATTAATTATACATGTAAGCAAATCTACAAAGCAAGGGAATGTTTCCAAATTACCACCACCACCCTTTCAACCCTTCCAAATTCTTCATCATAGACCACTTTCAGACCTCTGAATTTGATAATGATAAAAGACACTGCATCATAAAAACAAGTATTCTCAAACTGTCATATTCCTCCCTGGTTACAAAGAATTCATGTTACCTAAACTATGACCAGCAATGGACACGCCCCCTTTGAAATCAGGGTTCCTCTGCAGAAAAAGTGTGTATATTCGGTTCATTTCAGAAGCCACTGTGTCCACAATAGTCTGACAGTAGGTGGGGCTATTGTAGAAGAAGACATCCAGAATTGTGTCATTGGTGAAATGCCTGAGGCGGTTAATGCTGGGCAGGGTTATTCGCTGTAGATCTCTGAAAAAAATAAAGTATATTTTATATTACATAGCCACTTCTAAGTAATTATCTAGCTTAGTCTTCAAAATTAGACTCAGCATTTAATGGTACAACAAACAACTACCAATTTTTTACTGTCAAATTTTTTTTTGTTGTTGTTGTTTTGTTACTGGGGATTGAACCCAAGGGCACTTAACCAATGAGCTACATCCCCAGCCTTTTTATTTTTTGAGACAGGGTCTCACTAAGTTGCTTAGAGTCTTGCTGAATTGCTGAGGCTGGCTTTGAACTTGAGATCTCCCTGCCTCAGTCTCGGGAGACACCAGGATTACAAGCAAGTGCTGCCACACCCCGCAAAACTACCACCAATTTTACAAGAAAAGCAGAGGAAGGAGAAATATGCTTAATGAAGCCAATAACAGATAACCAGCAAAATTCATAGTGTAAGAAACCCTAAAAGTTTCTTCAAAATATAAATAGCAAGAAAATAATGGATAGAGGTAATCGAGATTAAGAGAGACTTAAACTTATCATCTAATTACAATATATGGGGCTGGGGATGTGGCTCAAGTGGTAGTGCGCTCGCCTGGCACGCGTGCGGCCCGGGTTTGATCCTCAGCACCACATACAAACAAAGATGTTTTGTCTGCCGAAAACTAAAAAATAAATATTAAAAAAAAAATAAAAATAATTACAATATATGGTCCTTATTTGGGTATCAGTTTAAAATACATGTGGGTGCATATTTACGTGTGTGTGTACATATAGAAATTATATGCATTAGACAACTGGAAATTCGAACATTGATTAGATATTTGATGATATTAAAACTACTTTTAGGGGTAAAATTGGTGTTATGCTTAAATTTTTTTAAAGTCCTTTAAAATGTACAAACTGAAATTTTTTTTAAAATATTTTTTTAAGTTGTTGATGGACCTTTATTTTATGTATTTGTATGTGGTGCTGAGAATCAAACCCAGTGCCTCACACATGCTAGGCAAGCGCGCTACCACTGAGCCACAATCCCAGCCCAAACTGAAATATTTAGTGATGAAATGATAGGACATCTAAGATTTTATTCAAAAATAATATGGTGGGCTAGAGTTGTGGCTCAGTGGTAAAGCGATTGCCTAGCACATGTGAAGCCCTGTGTTCGATCCTCAGCACCATATATAAATAAAATAAAGTTATTATGTTCACCTACAACTAAAAAAAAAAAAAAAAAACAATAATAATATGTTGGAGAGAGGCAAGAAGACAGAGCAGAAGCAGCCAAGAATTTAAGCTTGTTGGGGCTAGGTAATTTGTATATGAAGATTCATAATAGACACTATTTTTGTACATAAATTCTCTTTAATAAAAAGCTTATTAAAAATATATGAGAGGGGCTGGGGTTGTGGCTCAGTGGTAGAGAGCTTGCCTAGCATGTTCAGGGCCCCAGGTTTGATCCTCAGCACCACATAAATAAATAAATAAATAGGTAGATAGATAGATAGATGTATTGTGTCCACTACAACTAAAAAACAAATATTGGGGGGGAAAAAAGAAAAGATATAAGACTTTTCCTAGAATTCTCAGGATTAAGTTTTCTTTCCCCCCAAGTTAGGATTTATAGAACCCAAGGCCTCACCCTCCCTGCTAAATGCTCTACTACTAAGCTATATTACCAGTTTGCCAGCATTGGTTTTTAACCCCTGAATGACAAAAGAAACAGTGCCCTCCCTCAATGAAGAATTTTTAAAAACAGAAAAAGGAAAGAATACCAGATGCCAAAGGCAAACAAAATTTATATTTAGCAAAGGAAGACTAAAGCTAACATAGTCTAAATCAAATTTCAGTTAAAACTTTTTCAAAATTCTCTGACAGACTCCTCAAATAATGAACAAGGCTATGTGCCCTTTATAACTTCCTAATGCTAGGTCAAATGTTAAAGAATATGGACTTCATAACTAGTAAGAGCAACATCACGGTGGAGTATGTGGAACATGGAACATATTCGAATCATAGAGTATTAAAAGAACCCAGGCACAGAATCAGAAAAGCCATTTCTAAAACCAGTGTGAAAACAATGCTATTTCCTTTACCTTAGTAAAGCCCCTTCTAGTTTTATTCTAGAGCTATATTATGAACATACTTCTTTCTGGAGAGCACTCAGCCAAAGATCCTCAGTATAAGGCAACCTTCTCTGTTACTACCATAAAATTTACAATCAAAACTAAAGGTCTTAAGCTTTAAAAAAGCTATCACTAAGGGTTGGTTAGGGTTGTGGCCCAGCAATAGAACTTTCACCAAGCACGTGTGAGGCCCTGGATTCAATCCTCAGCACCACATAAAAATAAGTAAAATAAAGGTCCAAATACAACTAAAAACTATTTAAAAAAGAAATACAACTAAAAACTATTTAAAAAGAAAAAAGCTATTACTTAAAAACACTTTACTAATTATACCTCAAATTATAAATGCTAATAATTTAATTTAGGGGGAGTTCTTCCCTTTTCCCCAAATTTGGACCACTATTCAAATATCACCACAAAAGTAGCAACAAAATTTTGTACATCTTGGGGAATAGTTGGCTTTTGACATGTGAAAACTGAAATGTTAATAAATGATAGAAAGAAAGTAACATTTGGCTTTAATGCTTTAAAAAAAAATGAAGCTTTTAAGAGTAAATCAGACATGTTGGCTCACACCAGTAGTCTCAGCAGTTTGGGAGGCTGAGGCATGAAGTTTGCAAGTTCAAAGCCAACCTCAGCAACTTAGCAAGTCACTAAGCAACTTGGCAAGACCCTGTCTCAAAATAAAAAGTTAAAAGGGTTGGGGATGTGGCTCAGTGGTTAAGCACCCCTGGGTTAAATCCCCAGTACCAAAAAAAAAAAAATAGTAAAAACAACAGAATCAGTAAAACACACTGAAGAAATACATAGCTCTGTACTTCTAACCAGGGCTAATTACAACAAAGAACTGATGAGCATTTCATAAATTCTCTCTACAGTCAGCCGTAACAGAAATATCCTTATGATGATCAGAAAACATTACAATCATAGTTAATTTAACAATTCAAGGATATGAGGTTATTACTCACACATCCACACCAGTAGAATGTAATGGACTGTGCCAGTTGACTGGAAGAAACTCTACCCTTCCAATCTGTTGATTTTCCTGAGCTTTTTTAAAATGTGTCTGTAGTAAGTTCAAGGAAACACTGCGAAAATCATTAACTAGAAAAGAAAATCAATTTATGCATTAACAGTGGAGCGATTAATACATCGACTCAGAACGCAACAGATCATGTAGTAATACACCACTTAACTACATTTGCTTACTTTAGTATACTAAAGTAATACTCAGGAAAATTAAGAGTGTATATAAAAATATTACCTTTATATAAAACTTGCTTTTACCATACAAAATATTTCATCAAAAGAAAAACTAACTTCAAAACTTCTTTGTCATTGGAACTATTAAAAAATATTTCAATATTTTTAAAAAATCACATTGACTGTATGTCAACCAATTTTACAGTCAGGTTCCCATCCTAACTTTTCTGGTTCTTTTTTCCCCATGCACTTTTTTTTTTCTTTTTCTTTTTTTAAAAATGTTAACAAACTTTATTTTATTCATCTATGAGGAGCTCAGAACTGAACCCAGTGCCTCACACATGCTAGGCAAGCACTCTACTACTGAGCCACAACCCCAGCCCTCCCCCAGGTTTATTGAGGGATAGGAAAAGGGAAAAAGGGACACTTTCAAGGGAGAGTGTAAGTCTTCCCAGGGAGAAGAAGGACTTCTTTTTGGTTCTTACCAATACCTTAGATTTTAAAAATATGTAAAATGAATTTTGAATAGCATTGATTTTAAGAACCATTAGCCAATAGAATAAAACTGGAACAGACTCTGGCTACTACCAAGTTTTAGAGGATATTGCCTTTTAAAATCAAGTTATATTAATGACTTAAATCTTCCAACTATAATATCAAGAGGTTTAACAAAATATGAATTAAAAAATGAGTAGGGCTTGTTATTCTTTTAAACGTCATCATTTTTATGGCTCCCTTAAAATTTGCAATGGTTAGAAATAGGAGCAATACACCATAATTTTTTTTTTTTTAAACAGGGATTAAGAGTTCGTTCACTCAAGAACTGCTAGTTAAGAGTATAAACTATTAGCCTCAGGAATTTACTAGCACTTTAGGTCTAGGCTAGGAAGCTTTACTGTCTTGTTGCCTGTCTTTAGCTCTCTAAATCTTATTATGTAGCTAAGACAACAGACCAAAGCTTTCTCTCAGCTGACAGTAGCAGTTCCTTTAATTAGGATCTAACCGTACATGCTTTGCAAACCTACCACACTGTACAATGCTTCGAAAGCGGAGATCACAAGCTGGTCCAATCCCATGGACTACAAAAACCAAGTGATCTATTTGTAAAGGTTCCCCTATAAATAAAATTAAAAAGAAAAAAATTATTCTATATAATTATGTATTCTAAATCAAATATCCACAGTGAACAAGTTAAAATAATAATTTAAAATACACAAAATAGCCTTATATTTTAACCACTTACTAAAAGTATGATTTTACTTTGTTTCTCTTTTTATCTCGAAGTCTGTGAAAAATGTTTCTAGGTTTTTACGACGCTTTAAGTGCAAACTTACAGAAAACTGAAAAACTAGTATAGAAATTCCCATGAATTTTTACAGATTCAACTTTTTAAATAATTGCCACATTTTTTATTATTCTTTTTATGCAAGTGTGCACACACATATTTTTCTGAACCATTTGGGAGCAAGTTGAATATGTCATCATGTATACTTAATTAAAGCTTTAATATGTGTGTTTCCTAAGACTATCCTCTTGCATAACCACAGTACAGTTACCAAATTCAGGCAATTTAGCATTGATAGAATACTTATACCTAATCAATTTTTATCAATTGTACCAATGTTTGATCTCGTTTTGTTTGCTTGTAATACTAAGGATTGAACCCAGGGCCTCATGTGTGCTCTGTAAGCACTCTACCACTGAGCTACATCCCCAGCCCTCTTTTTATTTTTTGGTACTAGGGATCGAACCCAGGGGTGCTTAACCACTGAGCCACATCCCCAGCTCAGTGGATGAGACAGGGTCTAGTTTAGTTGCTGAGGGCTTCACTAAGTTGCTGAGGCTGGCTTTGAACTCATGATTCTCCTGCCTCAAATCGCTGGGATTACAGGCATGCACCACTGTGTCCGGCTCCTGTATTATATCTTTAAAGCCTGAAATTTTAAACTCAGCTGGGCACACTGGCAAATGCCTATAATCCCAGCTAATCAGGAGGCTGAGCAAGGAGGATCGCCAAATTCAGCCTGAGAAATTTAGCAAGATCATGTCTCAAAAATAAAAAGGGCCTAGGGCTACAGCCCAGGGGTAGAGTGGCCCTGGGTTCCATTCCCAGTATCAGAGGATAGGAAAAAGAAAAATAAATTTAAACTCATCTTTTAAAAATTATAGTCAATCTAAGAAACAAATCCTTTCTTCTGCAATATAAACTTTTTTTTGGTGGCACTGGGGACTGAACCAGGAGAGTTCTACCTCTGAGATCCATCACCAACCCTTGTTTTTTTAATTTTTATTTTGAGATAGGGTCTCAATGAGTTGCCCAGGCAAGCCTAGAACTTGTGATCATCCTGCCTTGGGCTCCCAAGTATCTGCAATCACAGGCGTGCACCACCACACCCAGCTATAAAAGGTATTTTATAATCCAGTTAAGTATAGTTAAACCAATCATAACAAAAGTGACACTAGAGAACAAAAGATAATCATTAAGTTCTTTCTAAAAAAAAAAAGGTTTTCCTTAGCTGAAAATCTTTAAGGAACCGGCCATGGTGGTACATGCCTATAATCCCAGCAGCTGGGGAGTCCGAGGCAGGACAATCACAAGTTCAAAGCCACCGTCAGCAACTTAGAAAGGCCCTAAGCAACTTAGTGAGACCCTGTCTCAAAATAAAAAGGGATGGGGATGGGCTTTTGACTCAGTGGTAGAGTGCTTGCCTAGCATGTGTGAGGCACTGGGTTCGATTCTCAGCACTGCATATAAATAAATAAAGTAAAGGTCCTTGGACAACAAAAAGAAAAAAAATTTTCAAAAAAAAAAAAGAGGCTGGGAATGTGGTTCAGTGATTAAGCACCCCTGGGTTTAATCCCCTGTACCCACCCCCTCAAAAAAAACTTCAAGATAGGAATAGCCAGTAATAAATTTCTAGTTTAGCAGGTGAAATAACCAGTTCACCTATATTTAATGCTACCAAATTATACCCATTGCACATATGTCCTCAGCAACTTTAAGTTTTATATCTCTTAGCATATGAAGAGATGCTAACCTTATCTCAGAATAAGCCCATATGATTAAAGATCATTTTAAGCCTTGACATAATCCAAATCCATAGAAAAAAGGTCACACTTTAAAAAATAAATATATAAGAAAAAAATTATTAACAAATATTACCACAATGAATGTCAACAGAGATGTTTTCAACTCCTCTTTTCACTGTTCTTGGTCGACCCTGTTCAGTGGGTGTTGAACCCCACTCATCAGACCCTGCAATTGGCTGGTAATGTACCATGAGCTTAAACAGAAAAAGATCACAGCAGTATAGTCTTCATTATAGACATCTCTATATTATACTGAAGAGCAGTAACCTATCTTTAAATACATATAGTCAAATCTCCACTGGGGTTTTGATATGCAACTTCTACAACTTGAAATAAAAATCCTCAAAATATATGGACTAAAATATACACATGAAAGATATGCTCACATAGTGTGTCAGTGATTTTCTTAATCCGTACTGACATAATTTTGCTTAAGAAAACTCTTTTGTATAAGCTGAGAGGGGTAAATAACAGTAATGGCTCTAAGTTTCATAATGATAAGTTCAATATAAAATCTGCCAAAGGTTATCCTATGTAGAGTCCATAAAAAAAAGAAGCCAATTAAGTTTTCCTTAGTAATGTAATTAATCCTTAATCTCAACATCAGAGAAATGCTTTAATTCACTTTACCTTTGGATTGTGTAATATAATAATTTCTCTGTTTGGAGATTCCAGTTTCTTTTTCCATTCATCCAGAGTTACAGCAAGCCTGTATGTTTCCTTAAAAGAACACATTAATTCATTAGACTTCTCTAATAGCTTTTTTATTAAAACTAATTACAAGAATACTACACGATTAACTGGTTTCAATAAGAAGAGCATTCTCCAATTTATCAAATTTAGTTTAAGATTGTTTTAAAATTAGAATAGTATAGGACAAAGAAAAAAAATCATTCCTGTCACCTAGACTACACAATCACTATTCACCATTTTATATACTTCTATCAGCAACAGCAATGTTCTACTCCAGTTTAAAGAAAACAAATATCAATTTTCAGAGAAAGAAAAAGAAAAAGAAATCGATCCTGCAGTCATAGCTGAAATATTATAAATGATTACCTTTAGGGAACTTTTTTACATTTTAATTGGGGAATACTAAAGTCTCCATGTTATTTTAAATTCTGAAGTTAAAACTACTTTATCCTGAAACTAACTTGTGAAAATAAATGCTATGAAATATGATGCAGAACCAAACATTCTCTGGAAATTTCACAAAGTAAGTTACAAGAGGAAGAAAAGATTATTAAATGAGAAAAGAAAAAAATGAAGAAAATGGTAAGTAAAAAAGGCTAAAAGCAAACCTCTAAAACTTGGCTGAAGCTTTCTGAGTAGGGAACATATTTATTGTCTTTGTCTCCCTTGTAAAACCAAGTACATCGTCTCACTTCTGATGCAAGTTCATCCCAGTACACAGCATATCTCATCCTCTCCCCCAAATGAACATCATATCTGCCCCCATCAGTGGGGACAACTCTCCCATTACAATCTTTTCCTATTAAAAGTCAGAAAACAAAAAGAATTTGAAAGGGGAAAAGAAATACATGTTTCACAATATATTTCCCAAAATATAATTACAAGTTATATTCTAATATTATGAAACACATGGAATAGTTTCTACTTGGCTAAACATTAAAAAGAAAGAAAGAGGGGCTGGGGATGTGGCTCAGTGGTAGAGTGCTCGCCTAGTATGGGTGAGGCACTGGGTTCAATCCCCAGCACCACATAAAAATAAATGAATAAAAATAAAGGCATTATGTCCACCTATAACTAAAAAAAATTAAAAGAAAGAAAAGAAATTTAATACACATCTTTTTCCTAGTTTTAATGAAACATGAAAAAAATACTAGGCAGTTTTGCTTTTGTTTCTAAGGAAAGATAATAATACCTCTTTAAAAAGGAGTTTAGGGGTTCAGGGTGTAGCTCAGTGGTAGAGTGATTGCCTAACATGTGTGAGGCCCTGGATTCAATCTCGAGTACCCAAAACCAAAAAGCATCTTTTTCCCGAATTTTTGGTTTAAGGAACTAAAAATGCAACTTAATGTCGATCATGATGACATAGTGTAACTAGCACCATTCCTGTATCATAAAATAAGAAAAAAACAACACATTAGAAAGTTCATTCTTCTGAAATTCTTCTACCCTACCTTGATTAACCAAAACTGAAACACAAGTTAGAATATAAAAATATTACTGGGGGCTGAGGTTGTGACTCAGTGGTAGAGCATTTGTCTCACATGTGTGAAGCACTGGGTTCAATTCTCAGCACTACATATAAATAAATTAATAAAATAAAAGTCAATTAACAACTAAAAAAAATATTTAAAAAAATATATTACTAGGCCAGGTGTGGTAGCACAAGCCTGTAATCTCAGCAGCTCAGGAGGCTGACAGGAGGATCATGAGTTCAAGACAGCCTCAGCAATGCGGAGGCATTAAGCAATTAACTCAGTGAGATCCTGAGTCTAAATAAAATATGGCTGAGGATGTAGTCTAAAGAGTTCAATCCCCAGTTTAAAAAAAAAATTACTGGATAACTATGCATAAATTATAATAGGAATTGTTTTCAAGATACAGAGCAAGTTTTTTAATATTATAAATTATTAGCTGGGCACTAATATGGAACTCTGATATAAAATTCTACTTAACTGGGGCTGGAGGTATAGCTCAGTGATAAAGCACTTGTTTAATTAACGGGAAAAAGCTAAAATGTACTTTTAATAGTGCTTTATAAAAGTTATTACATTATAGTTAGAGATGAGTCTATATTACAAGCCATCATTATCATCCTACCAGAGCCATATGCTTCTTCCAGTTGTTGTGAATCTTCAGAGTTGAAAGGAATCCATGTCTCCTTGGAATCTATTATTTTACAATAAAACCAATGTGGAGAAACTGGTTCATACAAACTGCCAGCATCCATGTCTATTAGCTCAAAGGAACTACATGAGTTTGGTGATGGGGAAGGATCTGACTGAGACAAATGCTCCTGGTGTGATTCCACTGATGACATTTCGCCCTCTAAAAGACAAGATAAAAACTATCAGGAAATCATTTTTCCTCTATTACCAATGTAATTGCTAAAGCTGTGCACATGCATACACACACACACACACACAGGTCACTTTAAGAAGTCACTTCTGGGGGTGAGGACAAATAACCTAAAGAGGCTACCTAATTTAGAATAAAAATAACAAAGGGAAAACTCTTTAAATGTTTCTATTACATCAGCTATTTTGCACTGAGCTCCCAATGCTCTCTTAACTGCATGGCTTACAAGTTATAAAATAAACCCTAAAACACAAGAAAAAAATGGTCAAAACTGATTGCAACAAAATATCTTACCCCAATTTCCAGTTTAAACCTAGTGCCAAAGGCAGCAAATGTATACAACCATTTCTAATAACACCCAGGTTTTAGGCTCTGGGCCATTATCACTACGCATTTACTTTACTGGAATCTTAAAATACAGAAAATAAAATAATTCACTTAAGAATCAATCATTGTGATTAATCCTCGAAGCGCGCTTACTTAATTAGGGGCTGTGACACAAACTCAAACACAAACCTTGCCAGGGGTCACTGTGTGCACGCGCACACCCACTCACAGCTTACAAGTCGCAGGTGAAAAGTAACAGTGGGACCTCAAAAGCCTCCCCTCAATCTGACCGATGTGTTTCTCTCTCTCTCTCTCTCTCTCTCTCTCTCACACACACACACACACACACACACACACACACACACACACAAAATGAGGCAAAGACTGCAGACATCAAAAGTATGCTCCTGCGTGAGAAAGCAGCTCAGCAAGGGGCATAGCGGAATGGCAAACACCTGGCCTGAGTGAAGGCCCTCCGGGCTTTCGGCCCCACTGCCCTTTTTCCTAGCACAAACTTACCTCAGCCACCTCGTCCGGTCCCTTCTTCCCCGGACCCAGGCCTTCTGTCGCCCAGTTTCAAGGCTTCAGAATTCGGGGTCCTAATTTCTGCCTCCTTCCTCCAGCCTGGCAGAGAAAAACACCCACCCGCGGACACGAGAATTTTCCAGTTCCCTAGGGCGCAGTCAATACGCTGGGCCCCGGCCACTTCCCGGGAGCCGAAGCTACCCCTCCCCATCCGGCAGGTCCTCCCAGTCGCCGGATCCTAGCCTGAAGCTACGCGTCCTCCTCCGCCCCCGGTTTCGCCATTCCGCAGGGTCTCCAGCCCACCTCCCAGCCGCCGGCCCCCAAACGCGGAGGCGGACTCACCTGGCAGTTCCACCGCCTCTCACGCTTTGCTGCCTTCGCTGAGGGGGACACGACATGTCCCCGCAGCGGCCTTTCCCTGGAGCCCGGGCGAGGCGGGGCGGGGCAGGGCGGAGCCTGCAGCCCCGCCGGACTCGAGCCGAGCCCTGAGCTCCACCGCGCTCCCAGCGGGCGAGTAGCGGGCCAGGCTGCCAGGAGTCAAGGTGAGGTGGCTGTGAGCGCCGCGCCCAAGCCACTAGTGGGGCAAGAAGGGTCGCAGGGGATCTAGGAGGAAGTGTCGCGAGAGGTGGAGGGGATCGCGCGAGACGTGGCTCCTCTTGCAGGCAGGCGTCGGGGCGCGGAGCTCGCTAGGTAGGCGTTCTGCGAGCCGGTGTGCGGTACTCCGAACCCGAGGCCCGAGGCCTTTGAGAGGAAATAAAGGATAACATTTTTAAAGCAGAATTGAGTTTCAGCACAAGAAATGTTCAAGATCAACCAGTGCAACCTCTCACTTAACAAATGGGTAAACAGGCTTCCTGACTCCAGAGGTACTCTGGCTAACCCATCAATGGGCCAGGGTGGTGGGGGAACCCAGGAGAGACAAGGATGCTACGCCACTTCTAATAAATACGATGAAAGGAGGTGTTAGGAAAATGTTAATAGTTAGTTGACTCTATCCAGACCTCCCCTTCTGGATGCTGAGAAGGGATATTATTGACATTTGCAAAGATGAAAAGATTATCTCAGGGACTTGGGCTCCTCTTTAGTTTATTAGAATTCAGAACTGAAAAAAAAAAAGTATCCCTTAAAGATGTACGCTTGATGGAATTCAAAATTCACAAAGGAGGCTGGACACAGATATTTTTCCTCCAAATGAGGAGATATAACTGATGTGAAAAGTATGAGGCTTAGTAATGGTCCTTCCTGCCCTGGCTCCCCTGATTATTTCGTTTTCTGGAAAACCGTAATTCCTTTGGTTATTTAAAAAAAAAAAAAAAAGTCTGGGCATAATGATGCTCTGTAATCCCAGTGGCTGGGAGGCAGAAGCAGGAGGATCCCAAGTAAAAACCAGCCCAAGCAACTCAGCGAGAGCCTCAAAATAAAAAAAGGAGGGGGGATGTGGCTCAGTGGTTAAGCGCCCCTAGGTTTAATCCCTAGTACCAAAAAAAAAAAAAAAAAACCTACTTTCTCACTAGATTATAAAGCAAGGGTTCAGGGAATATTTTTGGTTGTTTCTTTAGAAACTGGGAAAAGGGAAACAACAATAACACATTCTCTTTCAGAATCACAGCCACACACAAATAGCCACACGTTTACTTATACTTTCCTCTCAAGTTTCTAATACCGAATTAGCTTATGTTCTCTTTGGATAGGATGAGAAAGCCCCAGCCATATGCTATTCTCTAGGATCTTGCCAGACAAGTAATACAGATTAGCACGAGTTGCTAGCATTTACTGAGCTCTGGGACTTTGTAAACATTTTACAAATTATAACACCATTTCATTCTCACAGCATCCAATAAGTCCAATAGTAATTTCTATTTTCAGAGGGGTAAAATGACTCGCCCAAAGTCACAGTACCAACAAGTGGTGGAGCCAAAAATTATGAACAAAATTCTGACTCCATTGTCTACACTAACTAGCTTAAAGTCAGTGTCAGTTGAGCCCCAGAACCGAAACTTGGGTTTAGGTTCTGTCTTCAAATTCCACTGTATCCCATGTACCAGATGTTCTCAAATTTGGGGTCTCTCAGTATTTCTTTACTCTAATTATTGAGTACCCTAAAGTTTATAGAGGTATATTATCACTATTTGATGTACTAGAAATTAAGACAAAAATTTAAATATTAATCTATTTAAAATAATTTTTATAAAATAACTTTTCTAAAATAATTTTTTAAACCAGTGAGAAGAATGGCATTGCTTTATATTTTTGTAAATTAATGTCTGGTTTAAGGAAAAACTGTTTATCCCCCCAGTACTGGAATTGAACCAAGGGGCACTCTACCACTGGTCTACAGTCCCACTCCTTTTTATTTTTTTGAGATAAGGCCTTGTTAAATTACTGAAGCTGGACTCAAACTTGCGATTCTCCTGCCTCAGAATCTGAAATCATTGGGATTACAGATATGTGCCACCACTCCTGGCTAAAAAAGAGTATTTTAATAGTTTTTTTGGATAATTGTGGATCTGCACAAATGGTAGTTTCTTATAAGTGAATTGCAGTCAGGCCCAGTGGTACACACCTGTAATCCCAGCAATTCATAAAGCTGAGTTGAACTAGTGCTCAAGGCTAGCCTTGGTAACCTATCAAGACTCTATCACAAATTTTAAACAGGAGTGAGGCTCAGTGGCACACACCTATAATCCTAGAGGTGCGAGAACGTGAGGCAGGAGGATCTCAAGTTCAAAGCCAGCCTCAGCAACTTAGTGAGTCCCTTAAACAATGGAGGAAGATCTTGTCTCAAAATAAAAAAATAAAAGCTGGGCATGGTGGCATACATCAGTTAATCCCAGTGGCTCAGGAGGCTGAGGCAGGAGGATCAGTTCAAAGCTAGCAGAGCCTCTAAGCAACTCAGGGAAACCCTGCCTCTAAATAAAATATAAAGGGGGGAGGACTGCTGGGGATATGGCTCAGTGGTTAAGTGCCCCAGGCTCAATCCCTGGTACCAAAAAATAAATAACAGAAAAAGGGCTGAGATGTGGCTCAGTGGTTGAGCACCACTGGATTCAATCCATGATGCCAAAAAAAGCTGGAGAAGTAGCTTAACACTATCGTACTTGTCTAGCTTGACAAGGCCCTGGATTCAATCTCCATTACTGCAAAAAGTGAGTTAGACACCTATAATCTCAACTACTCAGGAGGCAGAAGCTAAGGGAAAGGTTCATTAAGACCAGCCTGCCCCTCTCCAACTCAAAACTAAAAGAATGAGTTACACTGTGAAATCTGAAAATACATAAATAAATTTTTTGTATTCTGATACCATTAAAATCTATTGATCTAGCTAGTGGTGGTCACTTGTAATCCCAATTAATTGGAAGACTGACACAGAAGAATAGCAAGTTCAGCAATTTAACAAGACCCTGTCTCAAAATAAAAAAGGACTGGGGATGTAGCTCACTGGTTAAGTGTCTCTGGGTTCAACCTCCAGTACTAAAACAAACATAAAATTCACTGGCCTATCATCTTATACTTTGAATGGATCTTTTACTGATACATGATTTATGACAGTATATATTGGTCATTTGGAAAAAATCAGTTCACTAAACCATGCAAATCTTCCAAATTCCAAACACATTTAATTATACAATTTAAAAAATCATAATAGCTGGATGTCATCAGAAAAGTCTTTAAGTATTGGGACACTGTCAAGCTCACAGTAGCAGATAAAAGTTTCTTAAAATTCTGTTTTCTTGAAAGGTAAAATTTTATCATTGGAAACAAATAATAACAATTGTTGGGCTGGGGATGTGGCTCAAGCAGTAGCACGCTCGCCTGGCATGTGTGCGGCCCAGGTTCGATCCTCAGCACCACATACAAACAAAGATATTGTGTCTGCCGAAAACTAAAAAAATAAATATTAAAGAAATAAAAAAAAAAAAAACAAACAATTGTTTTCCATGAAGTGAAAAGATTTCTTTTAAAAAAACTTTGTTAAACCAGGCATGGTGGTGCACACCTGTAATCCCAGCAACTCTGAAGCTGAGGTAGGAGGGTCTCAGTTTAAGACCAACCTCAGCTTCTTAACAAGGTCCTACGCAACCCAGCCAGACCCTGTCTCTTAAAAAAAGGGGGTGGGGTGGGGTGCTGAGGATGTAGCTCAGTGGTTGAGCACTCCAGTTCAAACCATGGTACCAAAGAAAAAAAGAAAACTTTTGCTAAATACTTAAATCCAAACAGGCATAATTTGTCAAGGTTTTTTGTTATTTTTTTTGTTTGTTTGTTTGTGGTACTAGGGATTGAACGCAGAGGTGCTCTACCATTTAACTACGTCTCAAATAATTTTATTCCTCATTTTGAGACAGGGTCTCACTAAATTGCTGAGACTAGCCTTTAATTCAAAATCCTCCTTCCTCTGCCTCGCGAGTCACTAGAATTACAAGCATGCAGCAGCACAGCACCCCACTTCAGTTGTATTGTGAATTAAAAATGTTTCATGAAGCTGGGCACAGTGGAATGTGCCTGTAATCCCAGTAACCTGAGAGCCTGAGGCAGGAGGATTGCAAATTTGAGGCCAACATATCAAGAATCTGTCTCAAAATTTAAATAAACCAACTAATACAGCACCCCTGGGTTCTAACCCCAGTAAACCATATATATATATATGCAAACCACATATCCATCAAAGAACTAGTGTCTGCAAAACATAACAAACTTAAAACTAGCCAGCGTGGTGGCACACACCTATAATCCCAGTGGCTCGGGAGCCTGAGGCCAGAGGATCGTGAGCCTGAGGCCAGAGGATCGCATGTTCAAAGCCAGCCTCAGCAACTTAGAAAGGCCCTAAGTAACTCAGTGAGACCCTGTCTCTAAATAAAATACAAAATAGGGTTGAGGATGTGGCTCAGTGGTTAAGTGCTCCTGGATTCATTCCCCAATACAACAAACAAACAAAACCCCTCAAAACTAAATAATGAAAAGGCAAAATATGGAGCCTAAATCTTGGTTTCTAATACTATTCTTCAATAAAAGAAACCAGGACTCCTTGGAGAAATATACAGTTTGGACACTAGAAAACAAAACATACAAGACGATGAGCCTGGAGCATCTTGTAGTTCCAGAAAGTGAAAAATAAACTGGGCATGGTGGTGCACACCTATAATCCCAGCAGCTCAGAAGGCTGAGGCAGGAGAATGGTGAGTTCAAGAATCTGTCTCAAAATTTAAATAAACAGACTAATACAGCACCCCTGGGTTCTAACCCCAGTGTATATATATAAATACTATATCATATATATATATATATATATATATGATATTATATAAATACACACACACCACATATCCATCAAAGAGCTAGTATCTGCAAAACATAACAAGCCAGCTTCAGCAACTTAATGAGGCTCTAAGCAACTTAATGAGACCTTGTCTCTATATAAAAAAGAAAAAGGGTTAGGGATGTGGCTCAGTGGT